GCACAAATTGTCAGTCAACAAGGACAAGAGCGAGTTTCATGTCAAGAAGACAGTGTTTCTGGGTTACGAAATCTCCCCGGGATGGGTCAAAATCGAACCCGAGAAACTGGAAGCTGTCAAGACGTGGCCGACACCGACGAACGCCACAGAGGTCAGAGGATTTATCGGATTCGCCAACTTCGTCAGGATGTTCATCAAGAATTTTGGCGACTTCGCGAGACCTCTGCACGAACTTACCAAAAAGGATGCCACATTCCAGTGGAAGCGGGAGCACGAGCAGGCTTTCCAGCGGATCCGCGATGCGATCATCGCCGACCCGGTGCTCATGCTGCCTGATCCAAGCACACCTTTCGAAGTCGAGGCTGATGCTTCGGACTTCGCGATCGGAGGGCAACTTGGTCAGAGGGACAAGGACGGCAAGCTTCACCCAGTTGCGTTCTTCTCCAAGAAACTCGAAGGACCAAGGCTTAACTACCCGATCCATGACAAGGAGCTTCTCGCAATCATTGAAGCATTTCAGGAATGGAGGCCATACCTCAGCGGCACGACACACGAAGTCCAGGTGTACACGGACCACAAGAACTTACGATACTTCACCACCACCAAGGTGCTGAACGGACGACAGACTCGGTGGGCAGAATTTCTGTCCGAATTCAACTTCACGATCCACTACAAGAAAGGCTCAGAGAACGCACGAGCAGATGCCTTGAGTAGGAGAGCGGATCATCACGACAACACATCTGAAGTCTCACCACCATTGCTACATCAACAGACAGACGGATCGCTACGGCACGCTTCCCAACCGACTGAAGACTACGAGATCGCAGCACTTCAGCAGCAGTCGGAAGATCCCGAAGGCAGGCCTCTGCAACCGTTTGTAGAATGTTGTGCGACTTTCAGGGAACAAAGATTGGAACAAGACTTCCAAGGAATCATCGCGGACGACGAACGCGATGCATGGCAAGAAGAGCCAGAATCCAAGATCGCGGGATTGCGACTTGAAGGAACGAGACTCTGGTACCACGACAAGGCCTATGTCAGGCTGGGTGACCAAAAGGAGCTCATTCGAAAGATCCACGAGTCGAGACTCGGAGGACACATGGGAATCAGCAAGACAATTGCGAAAGTCAAGCAGAACTACGACTTCCCAGGAATCAAGCAGACGGCAGAAGAGGTCCGGGCGGAATGCGACCTCTGCAAGCGGAGCAAGCCAGGACGACACAAGCCGTACGGGCTACTACAGCCATTGCCAGTTGCAGAACGACCATGGAGTTCGGTGACGATGGACTTCATCACCAAACTACCAGCCTCCAAGGACTCAGTAACGGGAGTAGAATACGACAGCATCCTCACGATGGTGGACAGACTCACCAAGTGGAGTTACTTCCTCCCTTACAAGGAGACATGGTCAGCAGAACAACTCGCAGATGTGATCTACCGCAACATCACCTCGGTCCACGGCTGGCCGGAGGAATGGATCACGGACAGAGACACCAAGTTCGCATCAAAGTTTTGGCAGGCTCTGATGACGAGACTGGGTACGAAAAGTAAGCTCTCAACCGCTTACCACCCACAGACGGACGGACAGACGGAACGACTCAACCAGGTCGTCGAACAATACCTACGGTTGTACGTCAATTTCCAGCAGGATGACTGGGTCGAGCTGCTGCCGACAGCGCAACTCGCCTACAACACCACCGTCACGGAGACCACCAGGGTCACACCATTCTTCGCGAATTTCGGCTACGAAGCAGATTTGCGACAAGGGCCCGAAGTTTCGGTGCCCAGAGCGGCAGTCAAAGCCGACAAAATGAGCTCGCTGCACGCGATGCTCAAGGAAGAACTCGAATTCGTACGAACACGGATGAAGAAGTTCTACGACAGAAACAGGCTCGAGGGACCTCGCCTAGAGGAGGGGGGCAAAGTCTACCTCATTTCTCGAAATCTTCGCACGAAGCGACCAAGCAGGAAGCTCGACTTTCGCAAAGTCGGACCGTTCAAGATCGACAAAAAGATTTCGGAGAACAATTACGCTCTCGCGTTACCCTCGACAATGCGACTACGGACCAACGTTTTCCACATCTCACTTCTGGAACCAGCGCCCAAGGGCGCACGACTCGACAAGGACGCCGAGGCAGAAGACGAAGAGGAAGAGTGGGACGTTGAGGAAGTCCTAGATTCACGCATCACGAAAGGACGGTTGGAGTATTTGGTCAAATGGCTGGACTTCGGCCCAGAAGACAATTCATGGCAACCAGCTACCAATCTCAACTGCCCCGAGAAACTTCAGGAGTTCCACCAGAGGAACCCGGATCGACCAACGGGAACCCCACGGACAGGTCGACCCCAGCAAGAGGGTCACCCAAGGACCAATCGAACCCGGAGGAAGGGTCGCCAGAGGAACTAAGTCAATCGTCAGCAACCAACAACGGGGGGGGAACAAGAAAAACGAACCTTGAAAGCCACGCAGGGTCGTGAGGGAGCCCGACGGAAGAAGGGTCTGCCGACGGGGGACCGGCAGCTGCTTTTGCCGCCGCCTCCTCCGCCTCCTTGCGCTCCAGTTTCTCCAGCTCCTCGATGGAATCGAGCCCCCGAGCAATGGCGCGCTGCATCTTCACCAGCCACGTTCTTTTCAGATTTCGGAGACGACGCACTTTGGCGTTGGCTGCCTCCGCCAGAGCCTCCGCCTGCTCCAGATCCGACTCAACTTGATCATGTTGAGCCACGATACGCTGAAACATTTGGGCTGTTACACCCAAGGCATCACAAAACGGTTCGTGTCGACGAGTGCATTCGTAACAAGAAAAAGAATCGTCGGAGGACACCTTGCACTCAATACCGAACTCCTCGCACCGAGAACAAGGCTTGTGCATAATGACTCCTAGGCGCAAGATACGCGCTAGCAACTCGTCACGTTTAATAGTTTTGGGATGAGGCGTAGAGGGTTTGGGTTTCGTTTTGCTTACGCGGTTCGACATCTTGTCAGCATCATCGCGGCAGTAAGGCGAGGACAGAAAGAAGGACAGGGAACCACGCACATCAGGGATGGGCTGACTGTCGCTACTTAAGCAGAAAGGTTGTTGGGGCCTTTCGGGTCGAAAGGCACGGAGGAGGGGCATCGTGTCATGATCACTGTGCCAGACGCACGGAAGCGGGGCGCGGGACGCCCCGAGCCAATCGTCAAGGATGGGAGCGTCAGCCAATAAGAAGCGGATCGTGTGGGAGAATTCACGATCCATGGGATCGTGGAATAGATAAGACGATCCAGGATGGATCGTCTTGAGGATAAGACGATCCAGGAGGCATAGGTACGAAGGTACCTACGGACCTAGATAGTATATAGTCACTCGTTCTGGAGAGCTCTGGGAGTTCTCCAGTTAGCAATCACAACTACAGTTCGCTACAAGCTCGAGAGCCTACTGTTGAGACAAGTCTTTGTTGTGCACCCTTTGGCTGCACCGAACCTAAGCACCCTTGAGAGAATACCTTCGACCGATACTGAACCCTAACAGGACGGGTCCAGAGACAGGTTCGTCACAAGAGGTTATTAAATACTAGTAATATATATATCGATAACTCCTAAACCTCTAGATCCTTTTCGCTAGATAGGGTAGGTAGGGCAATAAATATTCTCTTCTCTATTGAGATCACCGTTATCTTTACCTCTTAAAGTTATTATATAAGGTTTTAGGTAATCTTATTCTATTACTTATCTCTCTTCTATATCTAGTTGGTTAGGGTATAGAGGAACTCCCTTATATTTTCGCCTAAGTTAGCTATAATACCTTCTTTTATTATTATTATTTTTAATTAATAAAGTTGTTAAAGATAATATCGGTAATAAAGTTAATAAAGGTTTAATTAAATAGAATATTAAAATATTCTAGAATAATTATTGAAATTTACTATAAAAGCTACTAAATAATAATAGCTAATATAACTATAAAGATAGCTATAAGGATCCTAGATATTAGGATTAAAATAGGCTATAATAAAACTAACTATAATTCCAGTTTAGAATTATAGACCTTAAGAACTTTTAATTATTAGATAATTTACTCGAATTAACCTAGCTTATTAGATATAAAGCCTAAAGTAGGAAATAGGTTTAGAACTATTTTATTTTCAGACCTTACCAACCGATTAACGGTTTTGGGTACTACTACCAAAGTATAATGAAATTAAATATATAAAAGTAAAGAAATAAAGGAGAATAGTCGAAAACTACTGTAAAATGCGCTATACGGAGCTCATAACCTGTAGGACTCGCGATAGTAGAGTCGGTGGGAAAAACGTATGTGTAATGTTGTATGTGGGAGGAAAAGCTAGCTAGCCCTGCCACTGCGGGAGGATGTGGGCGGTTGCCCTGTACGTAAGGTGGGCTAGGGAAGGCCCCACCTCTCACAGGACTTGTGCTACACAATACTAGTTCCTTTCCACGCCGTGCTCGTTCATGTTGTGGAACGGGCCCAAACTTGTGAGGGTCCAGACCGTTCTCCTTCAACGCCGCTATATAATATCAGACAGTAGTGCAACGGTATCGCCTCATTACTTTTGTCTTCGCCGCCAAGATAAAGGGCCATCTCGGATGTGCTGGTAGAAATTCTCGACCTTCACTACCTAGGTACTCAAACTAGTCCCTATGTAACTTTCTATCCGGTTATGCCCACGGCATATGTCATTTTCCGGGAAAGCTAGCGTGCGGCCGCTTTGTTGGTAAGAAAATCACTGGGCTGGTTCACCGGTGCCCTTTGACAACTCACCGGAAACAGCACATGGGAACTAACCTCGGAACCCGATATCGATGCAACCCCTCCTCCGTAAATCGGCTCAAACTGCATGATGATGCGGTGGCACATCGTCTAGATTCGCGGGGGGATATATGCTCAGCCTAGGTGTGGCCCAAACGTTTCCAACGGCTACTGAGCGATGCCCGCTGGCGTACCCGAGGATTCGGTCCGGTCTTTGTTTGAACCTGTGTAGGCCCGTATTTATGATGGTCAAGCTCCTCGATGCCCTAATGGTCCTTTCCCTTCCCACCTTTCTCTGCCCGTTTTCACATTTACAAATCCGTATCGCACACTAAAATCATCTTGCAATATCCTCGCGTGCTTCCACAGCCTGAGCGAAACCTGCCACGATGAGCCCCTCCACACCGCACCGTATGCTTTCCTTCGCCTCCGATGCAGGCCAGAACGGCTCGCCTAGCAGGCTCCCCATGCTCACCAAGCCACTGACGAAACGCAACAACATCGTGGCAGGTATAGGAGAGTTCGTCGGCACATTCTTGTTCTTATTCTTTGCCTTTGCCGGGACGCAGATCGCCAACACCCCCCCGCCAACCCCGACAAATGGAAGCGACACAGCTTTGCCCGATACGTCCAACTTAATGTTCATCGCTCTAGCCTTCGGCCTGAGCTTGATGGCCAATGTTTGGGCGTTCTACCGAGTCACCGGGGGATTATTTAACCCTGCAGTAAGCAGCAGTCCTCAGCAATGCCTCTGCTCAGCTGACCATCTTCAAGGTCGCCCTCGCTCTGTTTCTAGTCGGTGGCCTTTCTGTCATTCGTCTCATCGTTGTCGTGATCGCCCAATTCCTCGGGGGCATTGCCGCCGCAGCGGTCGTTTCAGCGCTGTTCCCGGGCCCGCTGACCGTCACGACCACGCTTGGTGGGGGCGCAAATATCGCACAAGGCTTGTTCATCGAGATGTTCCTCACCGCTCAGCTCGTTTTCGTCATCATCATGCTCGCGGCCGAGAAGCACAAGTCGACGTTCTTGGCTCCAATCGGGATCGGGATCACTTTCTTCTTGGCTGAACTCGTTGGTACGTTGAAACTCAACCCCGAGATCAAAGCTTGCAACTGACTGTTGCGTGACAGGTGTTTACTTCACTGGTGGCTCGTTGAACCCGGCTCGTTCCCTCGGTCCTGCGGTCGTTAACCATAGCTTCCCTGGATACTTTTGGATTTATTGGCTGGGGCCTCTTCTTGGGTCGCTCCTCGCCTGCGGCTTTTACGTCCTACTCAAGTACCTGAGGTGGAAGGAGTGCAATCCGGGCCAGGATTGGTGAGTAGCGTCTTTATCTAGACCCCGGGTGTTGAGGTTGGTCCATGTAGCTAACCCAAAAATAGGGATGATGTCGAGAAACGCGAATCCGAGAGACATCTCACCAGCAAGGGGTCTTCTAACCATAGTGATAGCCCAAACAATGGTGCAGCCGTGGCCAACGGCGCCACAGGTGTACGGCCGGAGGCTTAACAAACTTCATGGCGTGGTTGTTGTGGCACAGGTTTGGGGCGACGACGCTCAAGGCACCGCAGGGGAGTATTTCCACACTAATTAAACAAAGAAGAGCCTCTCTTGTCGGTGTACCATGTGTGCGGCATAACTTGTGACGGGAACGGGAATTTGTTGCAGGCTAAAAGGGGGATCACGTTCCTACTCCTGTCCTTACATCATTAAGACCCTGTTGCAATGTCAGGTGGGATAATCTCAAGTACCATTACAATCACAGAGGACCATCGGCTTTCAACAAACGTGTGCAGTTGTATTGATCTAGTCTTGACATACGAAACACCATTCCTTCACCACACCTCCGCACTCCCAATTCCAGTTCACCCCAACACCTACTGCGGGTCACAGTACCCAAATTGAGGTTGACAGCCAACAATGTACGGACAGTACTGGTCACCATCACCGCAGTACCCAAACTGGCTACAACACCGCCCGAATCTCGACCCAAGACAGTTCACGTTGTTACCGCATCTGCCGTCGGTGCTGGACGTTTGGCCGGCTGGGAGTGTAACAGCAGGCGAAGAGGACGTCGTCCTAGAAGTGGTGGTGGTGGTGGTGCTAACTCTCGTGGAGGTCGGTGTCGTGGGGGGGCTGGAGGTAGGTCCGCTGCCGCCGGATGTGGTGGTGCCGTTGGTGATGGGGCCGCCGGGAATGCCTGGGATACCAAGACATGCGCCAAAGTCGCTCTGGCAACCGGCACCGCAGAATTCGAGGGAAGAGCCGCACCAGAAGAATTGAGAGCAGCAAGGTCCGAAGTTGGGGTTGCCGATGCACATGGTGTTGTTGCCGCACATGCCGTCCTGGGTGACGTCAAGATCCCCCGTCGGGACCGGAATTGTGACAGATGTGGACGTCGTGGGTGGTCTGACCGAAGTGGAGCTTGGGGTTGTCGTAGGAGGGACTGGAGTCGAGCTCGTGGTAGGGCGGGCGGTCGTCGTCGGGACCACTCTCGGCCACCCACACGTGCCGTATTGTGCCTGGCAGTCAAAGAGCGGGTGGCAGTGGTCGACCGAGTCTCCGCAGAAACCGTAGCTGGAACAGCAGAGATCGCCAGGGCATCTCCCGAATTCGGCTCCGCACTGTTGGTCCCCCTGACGCGCACCAAGCTCCGCAAACTCGCTGCGGTATCTGCCGCTGGACCTCGTAAGGCGGCGTCGGCCGGCCATCATTGCCACATCGGCATCCCCCTTCACCCCGGCCGGGCTGGCGCTCAGGGCGCCGGTCCAGCACAGGGCAGCTGCTAGGCCGATGTAAACGGATCTCATGGTGTCGACAGCCGGTTCAAGTCCGTGCGGTTATGCAAAAGGTGACAGGGTGCGAGGGATCGGCGAGAAGGCAAATCGCAGATCTTCTGGATAGGGGGGTATTGTGTGAAATTTGAAGCCCTGCATTTCCACCTCGTGCCAACCATCGATCATATGCCATCTACCCCAAAGCCGGCTGCCGGCCGTAGATCAGGAACCCGCAGGAAGGGTTAGGTTGTTTAGACAGAGGAGAGATGCCAATGCGCCCTGAAATTAATCTAAAGAGCAGAAGGGTAACAGCAAACACTATCCGGAGCATTGTTCGAGTATATCTAGAGAAACGACGAATGAGGCTAAATAACAGGCTGCCGATTTTACCGAGCTGAGTGCCCGTCTGCAGGAACGGCAGGAGTTATTCCGCGTCGTTGCGACTGAAAACCACCTTGGCAGTAGCTCGACAAAGCACCGCACTTTGAGAAGTTGGAGAGGAGTCCTCGGCATTCGAATGTGGCTCGGCATGGGCCGCATGAGGGGTCCAAGGGGAGTGAGAGGGGGGGTTGGTGGACGTGAGGAACAAGCCCGAGGACTCGTTCCCGACTGGTACGGTGACACTGGGAGGGCATGGAGAGCTCGCTTCCATGCATCGATGGGGTGGAAGGCCTGAGTGGGGATTCTAGAACACCGAAAACACCGTGTCACCCACTTCTTTCGGCCTATTCGAGTTTTGGTTCTGACCAAAAATGGTCTGGGCAATAAATAACCTGACTGATACCGTGTCCTTCCCCTCGCCCCGAGCCATGAAGCGAAGTCAAAAACTTCTGCTTCCGGAACATGACTACACGCGAGGTGCAAATCGGTCATCTCCGCAGTTGCAGTCTTCCTGCCAACAGCGCCAAAAGCTACCACACTCCAGCATTCATCGGTTCAATGGTATGGGATGAATCGGGTTGAATGCCCGAGGGCGGTCAATATTACTACCCTAGGATTATTCCCTGGTCAACCTTCAACTTACCCGCCTTGCTGTTGGACGGTTTTGCCCCCGCTCGCCAGGTTGCTCTCCCACCTCGGAGTCAGGTTCTCCTCAACTACCTGGTATCTCCAGACTTTGGGATACGGCCGGTGATCCGGGGGTGGCAATGGTTGACGGCACAGCGCGGATCACGTCTACCGCACCGGGCTGCTGGACCCTTCCCATGTGATTGTTGGGCGCCAGCATATTAGTGAGGTTACATCGGCGGATGTGCAATTTCTAAAATAATCCGAGGCGACATCTCGGGTCGGGTGATCGTTGCCGTCCCCTCCGCGGAAAAGAGCTTCCAATGTTACCAACGACACGATGACGATGCCAGCGCAAGCCGGGTAAGTTAGTATCATGGCATGCGCTGGGTATAATCGCCCGGGGACGAATGGAGTTGGTTAGGAGCAGGGAAGTAGCCACGTGTCAACACGATGGATATTATGGACACGGTCTTTGCTGGTGATAACAATGACCGTCCTCATCATCGGCGTGTCGTTGCTATGACTAGCGCTTCGTTCTTCGTGACCTGCAAGTGCAATGCAGTCTCCTAAAACGAAACCGGGGAATTCTTTGTCATAGAGTTTGGCAAGCGGGTCATGTTCGACCATCACGTTTTAACTTTTTCGTGTATAGGTAATTACCTAGGTAGTAATCGCGGATGGAAGAAACAGTTGTTAGCTCCGGTAAAGTTAATAGCTGCTAAATGGTAGCTACCGTTACATCTCGTATCAGCAGCTCGCATAAGCTCTAATTACGGTATCGGGTGCGTTCAATTGCATGCAAGCCAGCCGAGATAACCGGGCGATTCAGGGCCAGGGCAGCATTGGGCGGTACAATGATGGGAGCACCGATTCTTAGGTTTGCTTCCGCGTCGTGGTTTCTCAAAGTCTTCACACCTTGAGCCGCCCTACGCGGCGCGGGGGAATAGTGGCTAAAAGGTCAGTGATGCCGGCCCTGGTCACCGCGGCACGAGGAACGTCCGACATTCATCAGTGTTATGCTTGTCGCATATTGAGACGCGGTTCTGTGCACCTGAAATGGGATCGATCGACATTGGTAAAGATCCTGCGCGGCGGCTGTGGGTTTAGTTGGGGCCATAAGTGACAGTCCGATATATCGGCTTTAATCTAACCCGGTGTGGCCATCCAGTCGTTTTTGAGGCATCCATGATGAAAGGAACGGGTTGGGAGATCGGCGACCTAAGCGAATGTCGAGAACATCGAAGTCGCGCATGTAACGGAGAATGGAGCATCAGAATGGAAATGGAACTTTATGAGTTCCGTGGTTCGGGGAATTGGGTGCTGCGCGTGGTCGACGTGGTACATACACCCACCCTCCTTTGGTTTGGCGGGACGATTCGAGGTTATCGACAACACACCGCAAACGCGAGCATAAGGGTAGGAAATCGCTGGAGATAGTTGTGAGTAATCATGAAGAAATTGGATTATTCGGTTATTAACGCAGTATAATTTGGCTACCTCACCGACCGACCTACTCCTCAAACCTGGAGGCTGGAGCCCGAAACTCGGCCACTATGACCCAACCAGGACACCGGAAGACCTAAGAAAATCAGGGTTGTTGAGTCCTTGCTAACTAGACGTTGGGCCGTCGATGGCTCACAGGCGTCTTGGAAATGCAAGCGTCCAATGACCCACCCCTATGACGAAAAGCAACGCGAACCATAGTGGCAACAATAACGCTGATCCACCCTAGAACTGCAAATCAGTAATATGTGCCCGAAGGTTGAGCCACTCGAGGTGCCCTCCGATAGGCCCTCCTTCTCACTGCTCCATACCATCCTCCGGACCCTTGTGCCAGTTCCCGACGTATTGGTAGATGAAGTACTCGCATGTCGAAGGCGTACTCAACGCCGGCCTCCGCATAACAACCCTACACTTGCTCATTCATATCTGGACCCGCAAAGTTGGCATGCCCAGCCACATCGCACCAGTCGTCGAAGATATCCTCGCCCTCCACTGTCGGTACGGGGTAGTTGCACTGGTTGATGGACTGTAACATGCACCATTCCTCGTCCTGGCCGCGAAGAACAACTGACTTCAGGTTGGGAAGCTTGCCATTGCGGTGGCACTCGATCGGGATGTTCCGAGACCTCCGTGGCGTGGGTGGCCCCGATGCCCAGATCCTCGAGGGACTCGACGCTGCGAGGGAGGAAGTTGATCAGCCGACGGTGACCGTGCTCGTTGCCCGTATTGCCGTCACGGAGGAGCACACGCGGGAACAGGGACGGATAGTAGATGTTGTCGGCGCTAATCGCGAGGCGACGAAGGGCAGTGAAGACCGAGATTGTGGGGACGGCCTTGAAGATTTTCTCAATATCCCATGGGTGTGCGGCGAGGAAGGTCGACTCCGAGGTGTCAATGTGCATTGTCTTGAGGCGCTTGTGCAGGCCGTACTTCTTGAGGACTCGGAGGGCGACAACTTTGCGGTCTTGGACGTCGTCCCTTTTGGCACATAGTTATCGGGCCCTGGAGGTATGGTGAACAGGAAGTGCTAAAGGTTGCCACAAGTAGAGCATGCCAAATGCCGTTCAAAGCACTGTTGCTTGTGGCGGTCAAATTGAGGGTGGTGATGATGCTCTTGAGGGAAGGCCGACAAATTTCTGTGACCTGTTGCCCGGAAATGCTATGTTCACCGCCGCGGACTTCGAGATTGTGGGCCTCGGCAAGATGTGAAAGGATGCCAACAACTTAGCTCACATCGACGAGGCATTTGTTGGACTGGCGGTGGGGGTTCTCGTTCCTGCTATCCAGTCGTAGAATCTCAACCTCGGGCAGCAAGCGGATGTCGGGGTGGGCGGCCTGGTCGGGCGCGTGGCCATTGGCCTTGGGGGCCGGCTTCATCTCGGGGAAGACGGCAAGAGGCCACTCGCTCAGAATGGCGACGGCTTTGGCCTTCTTGGCTAGCTTGAAGAGGAGGGAGGCGTTTAAGCGCGCATTGGCGATGCGTTTCTGTCATTAAATGTTAGCCAAGGGTCATTCCACCCCTCACAGTGTGTGGAGGAGGGAACTTACGGTCGCCACGGGGGCATTGGTAGGGGCCCAGAAGGCTGGGCTGCCGCCAGGTACACCCAAAGTCATGTCGCCTGGGCGGAGTGGGGAGAAGAAAGAGTCCTCGGGCGACGGAAGTTATTCGAAGAGGGCTAGTAGTCGTTGCTCCCCCGTGGTGCTCAAGGAGTCCAGGTCGGCACCCTCGCCGAGCCTAGCCAGATTCTTGAGCGTGTAAACGGCCTGGGGAATGCCCAGATCCCGCAGGGAAAAGTCGAAGAGGGGGAACCGGCGATCCGGCGACGATAAAAAAAGAAAATAAGCCGCGGCGAGCGCGGCGACCAAGAGGGGAGAGGAGAAGGGACGAGGGGATGCACAACAGCAGCTCAATTATTTTGAATGTTTGTGAATTCTTTAGGGTTCATTTTGGGGCGTGCCTGGCAAACTGTCCTAATCTAGCAAGTGAACAGGGATATGCCGGAGTTCACAGTCGGAGCGGCTTTCGTAACGGAACCCGGCAGTCGTTGCCAGGACCCACAAGGCCGGCCTCCGCTCCGGGCCACCCCCCGGGCACCCCGAATAGCCTGCGGGCCTGCTGCTAAGCAGCTCTACCAACCCTAAAGGACCTTTGGCTGGTCAATTATGTGTAGGCACTCCTGAACTGCTTTGTTTCCCTGAGCTCAACCTTTCCAATTGCCTGTTGGCAGTAATTCCATTGGCAAACGTTCCTAAAGAACAAACTTTGATTCAGCTTTCTTTCTGCATGCCATTCAGGTTTCCTTTCGTTCTTCTTCAAGAACCTGGCAAGAACTTCCCCTGTGTTTTCTAGACGGGTACCCATGCACACATGACCAAACACCACAGAACCATTTTTCGTCTTTGCTTTTGAGTTTCTCTTTGATCTTCTCACAGTGCCCGACAGCCAGAAAGTTACGGCGGATGTGAAACGGAGTTCACGGGGAGCCTGATGCCTATCAGTTGGGCGGTCCCTTCGCCTGGTTCGAGTCCGAAAATGATGATAAAGAAAACGCTGCCCCTGGTGTTCAAAAGTAGGTACTATACTTGCCTCCCAATCGAGGTACATACGTAGTAACGTCTCAGGCTGTCAACCGTTTCAGCTCCCTGGATGGTGCAGAGTGAAGAACACAAGAACAGAGGAAGCGCGAGATGAGCGACGAGCGTGTCCTGTGCCTGTCCCATCCGGCGCAATCTTGCCGCCTTGGCGTGGCTAACTTTCCCCGTTTAGGAAATCGGCCGTGCAAGGCGTCCATTTTTCTAAGGCGAACTCCCGAGCCACATCATTAGTTAATTCAGTTGTTGGGTGAGCAGGGGCTGAGTACCTACCTAGGAGTCGTTGTCGGGAAGAGACGGGTGCCGACTACCGTTTTAGGGAGTCGGGATGGCTCAACCCCAACTTGAAGCCTAAGCCCCGACCTTGAGAGGAAGGACTGCTACAAAACAGCGTGAAGGTCTGGTCCAAGATTGAGAGGAGCGAGAGGCTCATACAAGAATGACACCTTCCCTATATAGATCTCGAGTATCCCGACTTCCACATGCACCGTGGAATCCGTAAACACCACAATGCTGTCGCTGATGCAACCTGTCGTAAGCCCAATGACTTTGCACTCCGAGGACCGTCGCCCGGGGACTCGTCCAACTTTCCGCCTTCTGCCCCCATGCGCTCATTCGTATGTTGTTCACCGCTACTTGTTACGGCTCATGGCCTGTGCAATTACAGCTAACGGTCTATCAGCAGTCGGCGCCCACGATCCTGGAGCGGCCTCGACCATGACCTCGCTGGGGTTGGTGCTTGGGCTGAAGGTGCAGTTGGCGATGGCAAAGAATCCACGTCATACCACCCGCCATGTCGCCGAAAGAGCCCATGCACCCCGAATCCCTTGTTCCTTCGTAGAGTACTCGCCGTCAGCAAGTCAATGCAAAGAGACGAGCACTTTTCGAGGCACAGGAACCTTCATGACCACGTGGAGGCAGAGGCCACACGAGCGAAGTTCAACATGATGGATCATTTCTTCAATGAAATTCAGGACTGCGGCGAGTGAGAGGGGGCCGAAGATCTCGATTCACGGCACGGTTTTGGCGGTTGTATGTGAACGACCTTTCCGGCGACGTGTTGGGTTGTGGGAAGCCCAACTGGGGGGTAATTGACTCCCACGCGCTATTCAGTTAGAAAAAGGAAACCCCAATCTGTGCATTTTCTGTTCCCGGGAAGAATGGAAATAACGCTAGCGAAAGATAGAAACCAAACTGTCATGAATCATCAACCGGATCTCATGTGCCAACGTATAATTTGTCGTCTTAGACTTGAGGCATCTCCAAAGCGTAAATGTCCACCTTCTCCTCCTCCCCGTCCACCTTCGCAGTCTCGCAGCCCACGAGGTTGTACCCGAGATGGTCATAAAGGCTCTTTCCCATAGGACTTGCCATGACGGTCAAAATCCAACCGCCCTTCCTCGCCGACTCTTCCACGCCCCAGTTGCAGAGCTGAGTCCCGGCGCCCCGGCGGCGGAAATCGGGGTGCGTAATGAGCATCCACAGATGAAGTTGTTGTTCACCGTAGCGAGCGAAGGACCTGTCAAAGCTCCGCGTCATCGCCTCCCCGTAGGCCACCATGTGTTCGCGGTTGGCGTCACGCCGCTCGTTGATGCCGCGATCTAGGAGCGCCGTTCTGTCAGACTCGCTTGGAAAGGTGCATCATGAGACAATAGTACCTCCGCCCTTTGCTTTGGTCTCAACAGCAATATCCCAGATCCCGACGGCAATCGGTTCGTCGACAAGGTCGTCCTCGGTGGCTGTGACGACAAACGAGGCAAATTTCTCCGGTTGGTCGATGTACTCTGCGTACTCCAGCCTCGTCCACTTTTCAAAATCTCCAGGGTACTGGTCGCGACCGGGGAATTTGTAATTGCAACCGGGATCATCAGGAAAGCCATCCTTCACCACCTTGATGATGGCGTCCAAATCCGCCTTGGTGGCTGGACGCCTGACCAGTGGTCGCCTCGGTCCGACTGGCCCACCACCCATGTTTTCCGACTGTCTGTCGTTGTGGGGCGTGGGGGCGAAGGGGGGCCTGGAGAAGTGAGGCTGGGTGGGAATGGGCCGTGTTGGGCACTTCTCGTTGCTGATTTATCCGTCACGCTTCGTGCCGAGACTAAGGCTGATTCGCTTTTCGATGGTTGAAAGGCTCCGAGTTCTCCCAGGAACCCTGGAACGGTGGCCGTAGCTTGATGCCTTATTTGTGGCTGGCTTTATTTTCTTTCTTGAAAAGAGCCTTGGTCATGGCAGGTGCGGGGTTCAGTCAGTCCCTGTTTGTGTGACAGGAGTCCCCAAAGGTTTGGACCAACGGATGACAACTTAACAAGACGAGGCTTCCCTCATGCCGATTCCCCTTTTTGGCAGTCGGCTCCTCTGGTTGACCGATTCCCTCTTTGGGGAGTCGGCCCCCCTCAGCCACAATCCAGGCACGTCCTACCTGCACCTCCCAGTGGCCGAACCCAAGCCATGTTTCATCAATCGGGCAAATGCGGGGCTCTGGCACTCATCAACCAGACGGAACAGAAGTTGTGAGCTTCTCGTCAGGGCCAGGTGACCTCCACCCCCAGCAGATAGAAATCGAATATCACCACCTCACCACCTTCCCCGCAGTTCTCTTTGCATCACGTCAAGCTTTTGGGCCTCGGTGCTGGCCAAAGACTTGGGGTTAACTTGGATGTCGGTGACGCCATCTTGAAACAGACGGGTAACGGGTACCGTCTTATTCACCGTCGGACCGCCCACAATTGGGTCCGAGAACCCGATTCCCTTATCAGTTAACCGATCGTCACCCCATCCACTGTTCACGAGGAGCACGCCATGTTTCTTCAGACGTCTCCACAAGTTAGAACCGGTCGAGATGAACAGGAGGAGTACGGGGACATGTGGCCTCTTTTCCCAGACCCCCTCGATACCAGCAGTTCCGAGTGGGAACTTTTCCCCGCCGCCCTTCAGCATCTCGACGACTTTACCTCTCTACTTCATCACCAGACACTCACAACCGCGGTTGACGAGTCCGAAGCCGTTCCCCTCCGGTCTCAGGACCAGAACCTGATGCAAGGCGTCGTGTCTGGTGACCAATTCTCTAATGTCGTCGCGTCTGCTGGACACCCTCACGGTTTGTCTTTGAGCCAAAGGCTCGAGGATCTCGGTGAGAGCGTTAGCCATACGTCGGTCTCGAGTACTGCTGGTGTGTCCGATTACGAGCTCTTCTATAGACCCCTTCAGTATATCTCCGACATCGCCTCTGTGGCTCAACTTCCTCGGGATCTTGACCAGCCCGCCGCGGTTCAACATTCGTCGTTGAACCGAGCTCAAGCCCAAGTTACCTCACGTGCCTCGGCTCTCCCTACCTTTGGCCCCAACATCTCTGACCCGGAGACTTTAAGGAGTGAGCTTGCCACAAGCTCCTCAGTCACTGGCTTCGAAGGCGAGCCATCCCCGGGCACCATTTCGTCTCGTACCATCTCTACTGCTACTGTTTCTGCTACCTCCGGTTCGCCTGAAACGATTGATACCCCGCCGGAACCGTCCATCAATTCGGAAGCGACGCTTCGGGTCATTCGGTATGGGCAAATCAGCAGGACGAGGGCCACGATGGCCTCACGGGAGCCAACCCAATTACCCCAACCAGTGAAATCGTCGAGCCGAGTCGCCAAGCAGAAGAGGCATCGCGCCGTGGGTACGAGAGTGGATGTCATGAAATCGGGGGCAGTACGTTGTCCTCTGACTGCTATTCCAAAACGCTACCTCCCTAGGTACCTAGCTAACATCGCCCTTAGGATCCCAAGACTGTCACCAAGAGAGATCAAAGTGGCAAATTTGGCGGTGATTTCATGATTTGGGGCCTTGACCAGTACGTGCGCACTCAGGCAGCGAATGCGGGAGAAACAGCGAGCCTTGCACGTCGCGCTCGCAATGCCTGCAAGAGATGCAACAAAATGAAGCAAAGTGTAAGCCTACTTTACTCATGTCTCCCACCGATAACGAAATCCATGCTAAAACTAGGCACTTAGTGTATCGCCCCCGAAGATGATTACTCGCCATGCAATCGTTGCAAGTCATTTTGGTTGAGGAACTTCTTTAACAGGCGGAACGCAAAGGGAGGCTTCCAGTTCCAACCCTGCTTCAAGGTTGAGATAATCGACCTCAAGCTCCACCGGCTAGGTGAGGAATATACCCTTTGCCCTCAAATCACCCCTCCCGCTAACGTTCCGAGGCCCGACAAAATACAACACTCTCGGCACGTGGGTGAGGGACAAACAAGAACTCTTGCAATATTTCGACCACGACACCACACAGCATCTGTTTCTTACCCAGGGATTCGGTGAAGGTACCAACAATGCGCTATGCTTGAGGGTGGCGCGCTTCGAGCCCGTTGGTCCCGAGGACAGGACTTCGTACTTCTGGACCGACAATGAAGGCCGGCTTCGGAGGCATGAAATGCCCCCATACTTCATCAGCGACCTTGACTTTGCAGAAACAAGTGTCCTGACGTTTCTCCGCGACGCCCGTGATGTATACATTGACAGGCTACTCGGGGCCGGAGACCCTTTGATCCGCCGGACGTTCGACATTGCCCGCTCGTTTTCAGCGGGCGGCAAGGTAGGAGCGGCTTCATCTCAAAGTACATAAAGGGTCAACCTTCGCTAACAAACTGGTCAACTATGCAGAGCCCCCTGGTCTCGGATGCGCTGGACGCGTGGGTTTCCGGGCGCTTCATTGAGGACCACTGGAAGGTGTTTTGTGGTGGACTTCAGATCGGAGCTACCATGACCGACGAGCCCGGTCATCCATACCACGGCTTCATTCCCGTTACGCCTATCATGGACACCCAGCTCGATGACCTCGTGATCCGCGTACTGATTAAACCCCGGCTCGCCAACTTTCTCGTTGGGCTCAAGAGAAAGCTAGACGAGAAAAAGCGAGAGAACTGGTTGGAGTTATTCCTGGCCACATTCATCATGATGTCCAACACTGGGTGGGTCATCAAGGACATGATGGCCATGACAAAATGGAAGGGGTTGAAGGTGAGTGGCAAAATTCTTGTCTGCGGTTTCAAGGTACACCCAGCTAACAAGTGAAATGCAGCCCGGCAACCGGGGTGGTGCACTCACACAGGGCTATATGCACGCCTGCAAGACGATGCTCGCTCACTTCCACTTTGCATGCGCCGGCTCCGTACCTCTGACCATGGACTTCGATAAGATGTGCGGGAGCGACAAGGCGTATCACGGCATGACCAATGATCAGCTTGAGTACGTCAAGTTCTTGCGGACCGAGATTGTCCGCCAAAGTACGTTGCTCCCCACCTCCCCGTTCCGCGCCCGGTTGGCTAACAAGAGACATCCCCAGGGATAAAGCTGGCACGATGGAAGGACCTATCCATGTACGAGGACGATGCATATTGGGTCTATCAACTTATGTGCCAGGACTGGAGTGGCGAGTACAAGCACCCAGGGGAGATTGACGATTTCACCGAAGACGATTTTCTCTCTTCCTCGTCTACGTAACTTCAGGGTCATAGAGCGTATATAGCAATTTTGTGTGTGGGTTGGCTGAGATTCAAGATGGGTTAGAGCGGTGGGGTTGGTTCAGAAGGCAATGAAACTGAAAACGGCTAGAACGCTGTGTGTTTTGGCTTCAAACTCAGATATTAGTCGGTTTCAGCTTCCACTACCTAGATTTCAAGAGTTTGCACCAAAAACACTCGAACCCGTGGTGTTTAAAACCGTCTAAGAGGCAATGTCGGACGGGAAAGCTCAAACGGACACGCGTTGAACTGGCGCTTTTCACGTCTCACAGGGAGTGACGAGACCCCGGGCACCAATTAGGCCGCTGCGGTTTTTCTCGTGGTGGCGCAGCCACTTTTTTCCGCGCATCCCACTGCAGTGACTGCACCCAGTGAGCGGCGGCCCTAAGCTCGCAGCCTCATTATCTTGTCGTTCATCAAACTTCCCCCTCAACTATTGTTATCCCCATGCACTGAGATGTCTTCAACACAGCAACCCGATACCCCCCTACTAATAGGAGAAAACATCATCGCCGATGATGACCACCCTATTCCCCCCAACCCAGAGGAGGAAACCTTGCTTCCTCGGCGTCCCAGCGCGATCACCTCGACGTCGAGCCGTCTCTTGTTCTTAATGGGACCTGCTTTGCTAGCCGGGTACGCGGCCTGGTGCCATTACCGTTGTTCGGTTACTAACAACGTACTTTTAGCATCTTCGTCAAGGCGTTCGACATTGCCTTTCTTGCTACGAGTTACTCGCGTCTTGGTGCGTTCCGTCTTGCGGTTAGGTCCTCTTTGTGGTGGGCTCGCTGCTAATTCCCAGTCTCCCAGCATCGGATTTTCAACATTTCAAGGACGCATCATGGGTCATGCTGACCGCGTCGATATGTTCTGCAATTTTTGTTCCATTGGTGGGTGAAAGTAACTCTGTGGGAGCAGTCCAGCGTTGCTAACGTGGCACTGAAGTATTCCTACCTTCTTGAATCATTTGGCATAAGGCGAATGATGTTTGTTGCGTATGGGGCTTTTGCACTGGGGTTGGCCTTCTGGTATTCCCCTCTCTCTCCACAGCGAACCCACGGAAAAGATGGCTAATGTCGTGACACAGTGCCTCCAGCACCTCCTTCTGGCAATTCTTGGGCTCCAGGTTCGTTGTCGGGTTTGGATCATCTGGAGTCACTCTGCTCTCCATGATTGTCATCAACGGTTCGTTCCCGTCCTGCCTTTGAAGTACTGGGGCCAACAATAAATCCAGAAATCGTGGGCATGAGACAGCTTGCCATATGGGAAAGTTTTGTGACATGCATCGAGATGGCGACAAGCATGACTGCCGGCCCCTTAGGCGCCTCAATGTACCGGTCCTTGGGCTGGCACTCGTAAGTGTTATCGAAACAGCGGAAATATCCCAAGACTAACATCGACCAGCGTCTTCTGCCTCGAGCTTGGCTTCGCGGCCATCGGCTTAGTCGTCTTACACTTCTCGTTTTTAAGACTACGGTCGCGCCCAGAGCATTCGCATTCGATGCTGCTCAATGAAGGGGATTCCAAGGTACCTCGCATTGATCTCGGGGGTTGGGTACTACTTAGCCTGGCAGTTATCGTACCACTCATCGCCCTTACGCTAGGAGACAATCTGATCAGCTGGGACCACCCGCTCGAGATTTCTCTTCTCATTTGTGGGCCCATTCTTATAGCGTCGTTTGTGCTCTTCGAAGCAAAAGCGGCTGCCGTTCCGATCATAAACATGACACCCGTCTTCAAGATGGAATACTTGGTGGTGTTGTTCCAAGTGTTTGGGGTGATATCAATCCTCAACTCGGTACCAAACTGCCTTAGTCTTCGGCCCAATGAAGTCCGCTTGGCTAACCGCGTCAACAGATTGTCTTCATCATCCCGCCATACATTCAAGTCCGCGCCTTTAACACACCCTCCTTCGAGGACTGGGCCTTGACTTGCGTGTTCCTTGGGTTTCCTCCCGGTGCCATCCTCGGAGGCTATCTGATCAAGTCGGGCACCTTTCCTGTGCAACGGATGATGTTGGCAAATGCAGTATTTCTGCTATGCTTTTGTGTGTTCTTTGTCACGAGGGTGATAAGTGCGTCGTTCAATCCCGCGATAGATGGCTCCATACGCTAAACGACTAACAGAACCCGAATCGGGGCGATATGCTCCATTGCTGGCTGGCTTTGGGGTCTGCACCGGCATGTGGCAGAGCTGCCTTTTGTACGCCACTCTGTCGAGCACGCAGAAACGCTGTAGGTAAATACCATGGGGTTCGACCATCTGCACCTACTGACCAAACAACAGGGTGGCCGCAGACGCTAGCACTGTATTACCTCGTCGAGACGTTCGGCGCAGATTTAGGAATGGCATTAATGTCAACCATCACGCGGTCCGTCGCAAAAGCCGGCATCCGAGCACGCCTACAAAATTCCCCAGCGACGGAAAAGGTTAGTCAACAAGCTGCCCATTGTTTCTATCCTTGTCACAAGAAACTCATGACGAGTGCAGATCATCATGGATGCGATGCGAGACCTGAACACGGTTGGTTTACTTGACCAAGAGACCCGTGCCGCGGTACTGGCTGCATTTGAACATGCCATGCATTCCTCGTTTGGTGAGCTATCCCGTGCATTTGACTGCGAGACCGAACTTTGCTAAAATATCGCAGTCTTGCCGTGTGTCATGGCCGCTATGGTCATCGTTCTGGCCGCTGCTATGAACATATGGCCGAGGAAGCCAGATCCAGAGGAGGTCGCATCTGAAGACCATCCATGATCACACTAGGGATCTGTGGAGGTGCGAAATCGGCCTAGGATCAGTGGCATGTGAAACCATGTGTAGATAATCCGAACTTGGGAAGCAACGAAGAAATACGTTCATCATAGATCTGGTTATACTAGAAATCCATACAAGCATTTGGTCATACTGGAGGCCCATACAAGAACGAATAGGGATACCCAAACTTCTCCAACGATCAAAAAGGCCGTTAACCATTCGATAGAGCTCCCGAGCCCGCCCAGATCCTGCCGTCCGGGAGCCGCTCGTCCTTGACGCTCAGCTGCCACGTCTCCTCCCTCGTACCATCCTCCCGGTTCGGCCCATACAGTCGCTTCGAATACCACTCCAAGTGGCCCGGCAATTCCCACGCCATGTCCGGGTCCTGCAGCATCAGCTTGACCAGGTGGCGCTTCGACGGCAGCGGGTTCCCTTCGGCATCCAGATCGAAAGCGCTGCGCGCGTGCATCAGGCATAGGTTGTTGATGTAGGCGATGTCGCCCGGCTGGCGCGGGAGCGGGAAGGCGTGCTTCCATGCCAGTTCCTCGACATACGCCATGGCCTCGAGGCGCTTGGCCGTCAGGGGGGGCAGCGTGGGGTTTCCCTTTTGGCTGCGGAAGCCGGTGATGGGGAGGCGAGAAAACTGGAAGACGAGCTGGTTGGAGGCCGTGTTGGTGATGAGAGGGGTGCCGTCGCTGTAGTAATCCTGGGAGCTGGAAGAGAGAAGGGCGGGTTAAGATAGATGGCCGGGGTGGGGGAGAAGGGATGGCAGATGAGATGGGACTCACTGGAAGAAGACCCAGTTCTTGCCCAGCTCGGCAAGCAGGTCCGGGCGCGTGGCGGCGAGCTCATTGTAGAGCTGGGAAGAGCTGACAATCATGGTCTCGCCGCCCGTGTCGGAGACATCGAGGGCGAACAAGGCCAGGATGTCGCCCACGTCGGTGTGGAATGCGAGGCGGCCGTTGGTGAAGGCCGGACGCAGGTTTTGCTCCTTGGAGCCCGGCCTCATATCCTCGCTAAGCACATGGCCTGGGGGGTAATCTCAGTCCAATGTTTTGTCAGCGCCCTTGTGGTGGAACTTACAGGTGACCATCTCACGAGCCAGGTCCTGGAAGCCTCGGGTTGGGGCTACGTGCGAGGAGATTCCGCCAAAGATCAAGACATTTTCTTCATCAGAGTGTGCGGCTGGGTCCAATCCACGAAGCACGGCAAATCCACGACCCTCGTAACATCCGTGAGTTAAAGTTCTCAATCTCTTTACGAGCTCCTCGGGGAGAGGAAACGTCTCGCGGTTCAGCGCACCGGGCCCAAGGTTCAAACCTAATGTTTGTTAGCGGCTACGAAGTAGGACCCGCCCCCCGTAAACATAGAAACTCTACCTTGGAAGTGACGCAAGGCTTGCCCAATGTGGGCTTTGTCTTGATCTGTCAAAGCAACGATCCACTCGTCCTGCTTCGCGACCATGTCTGAGCCCACCCAGACTCGTTCCCCGTCATAGCGGGAAGGAAAGCCAGGCAGGGCTTCATCGAGCTTCGGTGGATCAACCAGTGGGGAGGAATGGGTGTCACTGAATAGCTTCAGAGAATAGTAGCCAAGGGCCTGGGGCCGCTCCGTGTCCGTGATGGCAGCCATGATTGCAGAGTGTGTCGCAATGGATGGCGTGCAGGATGGGGTAGCTCCGTGAAGGTCATCGTCAAAGGCGCCTCTATATAGCCCGCTACAAGGTTACTGAGCCAAGATACAGTCCCCCATTGTCCAACGGTAGGATGAGGCTCTGCGCTGAGCCGCCTGTTGTGGTGGTTCGACCCCGCTTTCGAATCACGCGAGGTCGAGGGCGGGTGGAAAGGGGTAGCAGTCCAGGAACCGATTAGGCATCACCGCGAGCTTATCAGATTGTCCAATTGGTCCGTTGTGTCTTGTGGTGTGCACACTATATGCCGGGTTAGATGTTGTCGATGCGGCAATTTTTCTACTGGCTGGGTTAGACAGATTGCAACCCATATGTAAACACTTCTCGACACCCTCAACCAACTATCACGGACTTACCGAACTCTATCGGAACCTACGGGCCAGAACTAGTACGGCCAATCATTGGTGGCCTGCGTGCAAAAGGGGAAACTCGGCGAGACAAAAGCGAGCACCTCCCGACATACACGGCCCGCATCGGTTGCGGCTACTTCGTACCTATGACTGACCGTTGAGCGGGGAAGACGTAACAAACTGGTTAGCGCACGAAAGTTATTCCCCCGCATATCCATCACGGAGTACTTGTGTGGCAAGTCGCTAGCCAACTACCAATGTCTACCTTGTGCAATTATCGCGAGATATCTTTGGGCCGCATCTTTGGTGTTGAAGCAGGAGAGTCTTGTAGAAGTCGCCGTTTAAACGAGTGCCATGGCGAAAGGCTTCGGTCATCGAGTTACAAAGAGTATAGCCCTTGGACATGTTGACGTGACGGCGACGGGGAGGCACATGTTAGCGAGGTGAGACTGACGGAAAGCAACTAGAAGGCGGGGGGTGAGGTTGATGCACAATGGGAGACGGGCAAACGAGATGAAAGTACAAGAGGGAGATGTGGGAAGAGAAGGACTTCGTTTGATTAACTCTCTGAATGTATACAAATGTGATGACATTGCCGCGGGTATTCAATATGCATGTTGGCAATCAATATAGATCCGTCCACTGGCAATTTTCTGGGTACCAAGGCATGTATGTACATCGGTTCCATTCAGGGGCACCCGCCGCCATCCCGCAACTGCAAGCCGCACATCGTATTCAATAATCCACAATTGTGTAGGTGTACAGAAAAAAAAGCCGAACCAAATTCGCAAGAAAAGCCGGACCAAAAAGAACCCCTAACCCATCCTAACCCATGCCCGAATTTCCCAGCCATCATTCATTCGTTCCCATCAGCTTCTCGCCGTATCCGTTCATCACTTCCTTAGAAGCAGTTCTTCTTGACGGTGCTGATGCCAAGCAGTTCAGCGGACAGGTTGACCAGGATCTCACCGCCGACCTTGAGCTTCTCGGCGCGGGTCGTAGCGCCGAGGAGGAGCTTGACGGACTCCTTAGCGCCGCCGAGAGCCTTGATGTACTTCTTGATGCGGAGCAGCTTGGCGGCGGGAACGGCGGTGGTGGCGAGCAGCTGGACGATGGAAGCGACGCACTTGGCAATCTTCCAGGCCGAGGCACGGGCGATGAGCTCGCCGCGCTCGAGGAGGCTCAGGTTTTCGGCCTCCTCAGCATCGAAAGCGGAGGCGTCGGCATCGCGCTTCAGCTTCTCGTTGTCGATCCGGAAACCGTGCTCGACGAGCCACTGGTGCAAGACCTCGTCGCCCTTCTCGAGGATCTCGTCGGGGATCTCGTCAATCTCGGCAAGGAGACGGTCGAGTGCGAAGTCAAAGTCGACGGTGAAGTTGAAGTTGTCAACGATATCGTTGATGGGAGCGACACGGGCCTCGAGGGTTGGGACGTCACGGACTTCGACTGTCTCAACATCCCGAGCCTCGATGGCATCAAGGCTACCATCATCGACCCAGTCATCGGTGTCAATCTCCAGACCGTGGCTGTCGGTCTCGGCCACGGGAAGGGCGGCTGCGGTGGCCGCAAAGATGGCGGCGGCGGCGGTGATGAGCTGGAACTTCATTGTGAAAGGTTGGGTGGGATGGAAGTGGGTGTTTGTTGTCTTGTCGCTTTTGGGAGTAGAAACTTGAGTGCGGTACGGTGTGAGAGTGCTTGGGTCGGCTCAGGCTGGGAAGTGAATGATGATGGTGATGGTGATGGCGATGGTGGTTCGAAAAGTGGTAGAGACGCCGGACGATACGGCTTCCTTTATACACATTCTCAAGCCCGTAGGACCTCACACATCACAAGCGGCTGAAGTCGAGCAGAAGCGATTCCCCTCGACTGACCACTGACGCCCCGATCTGACTCTGTCGTGAAGCTCCATGTCGATCATTGTGCCCAAGTTTCTCCGTTAACCGGAAGTAATTTTAGAACCCCCGCGTTGCATACCTACTCATGATGACCCGACAAACAACACTTTATTCAGGTTCTCAGGTTCGGTGAGTCTTTGGAGACATCGGCCGCAGTGTCGATCCGCGGGGCAGCCCCCTGTTTCCTTTGAGCATCGTGCCATGCCTCGGCCCCGCGACCCGCTTGCCATGCGGCACTGGTCGATGTTGACCTCAAGAGCCGGAGCTAAAAAAGCCACCATGCCGAGGAGTGGATCTCGCGCATGACGAGCATGTCTATTTTCTCCCCGGTCGTGACGAGAGTCGGAAGCTTTCGAGATGCTCGGTGCCCCCCCTCATTTCTGAGTACTGGCCAATGACACAACGGAATTTAGTTCCACATCCCGTTGAACCATGCCAAGAAGTAAGCAGTCACCACAGTTTGAGGCGGCATGGCTGTGGAATGTAACCCTACAGATCTGTGCAGAGAAGAAAGTTGAAGATCACTGCGGCGATCGGTCCGAAATAGCAGCAGCTGAACTGCCTCACCACATTTTCCCCACACACCTCGTCCAATCCTGTAGAGCAGACCGAGGCTCGCCGTTGCCAGCCCTGTCGTGCCTGTCAGCCCTCCAAACCGAGGTGCAACGCCTCCGGTTATTGATCGACAACATAGCTTTCGGGAAAGAAGACCGGCCAATGAAAAGCATCAGCATGGCCGTAAGACAGTGACATTGATTTCAGGGTACCAGTAATTAATGTAAGAATAGACCCGAACGCGGGCCAACTTCCTCCTGTTGGATTGGAAGTCAAGGTGAAAGCCCTGTTGATCACTAGTTTTGCAGCTTGTCTGGATCAAAATAAGCTCTCTTGGTATGACGCGCACATGAAGCAGTCTCTCTGTAATTGCAAAAGTTACCAGAGCGCGCCACCGACCTCGGCGAAAATGGTCTCGGTTATGGTCTTGGCGAATCGGGATGATCTTTGAACCGACAGATCGTTTTCCATGCGGCGCTGGAGTTTCTCCGGCGATACTTAGATAATCATAGCCGCGGTTCAAACCGGGTCGGCCGTGTCCGGGAGCCTGGCAATCGGGTGCCACGACGGCCCGATTCAGATTGTTTGACGGCGCGAGTATGTCCGCGGCTGGATTGATTCCATTTGGCCGCCGCACTCGCCGCGAGGCCGTTGACATTGGTCAACAGGATCGACTGCGCGTTTGCTTGACGAGGATGAGGATGAGAACGAACAAGGCGGTGAACAACGAGAACAATAGTGGAACACGTGGATGCTCTGATCTGATCGCTTCCCTACATTTCCTAGCCCGAAGCTGGCTGTTGTGGGATGTCATTACAAGTTTCTACAACAATTGAACCGTGACCTCTCTCCCCTCTACCATCCTAGCCCGGGAGTAATCATACCCCCGAGATGTCGCCTCTCTCAAGTCTGGCGTAGAGTTCCTCGTGCGACCGAGCAATAGCCTCCTCAAAATACACTCTTTCCGCTTGGATGGTCAACTCCAACAGCTTGAGGGCTTCCTCGAGGTCGGACCGAACCCGCCTCAGCTTATACTTGGCGATAGCAACTTCGAACGCTCCTAGGTATCTGGAAATGGTTAGTATATTGGAAAGCCCAAATCAAACTGACGCCGGCTACATACACCTCGCGAGTGTATGACCGTAGCGAATGGTGCTCGGTGAGCAGCTCAGTCCGTCTCCTGAAACTGCCTGCGACTTGCTCGAGCGCCGCGTATGGCCATTTCTCGGCACTCTTCAACCGGCCGTCATCGTCCAAATAGCAGGCGGAGTCTTTGTAGGTTCGAAGAAGAGCGTGAAGGCGCCGCTCGTGAGAGTGACTGAATGGGTGACCAGGATCGCACGCTGGACACTGGCAGGTAAAACCCCAGCGCTCGGAGAGCTCGCGCTGCCGGATCTCGCGAGGCGCAGCGCGCATGATGTACGAAGTTGTGACCTCTTCGTCAGCATTGATATCCCGGTTGGCACGCATGACCAGGTCACCGGTGCCTTCGTTGGCTACCTGGTCGGCGTTCGGGATACACGAGTGGTTGATTCGGCAGGCATTCAGAAACAGCTCACCGGCCAAGCCAGTGTCATGGGCGATGGTGAAGGCGTTTGTGTTGTTGATATCGTCCAGCTTGAAGACGTCGTAGTCGTTGTCCCTCGGGTAGGTCTCGTCGACTATCGCACGATAATCTAAGACGGTTTGACCCACCGAGAGTTTCAGTATGTTCTGTCGTGTCGTGACTGGAAGCATAATGAATCCCAGGTATCGCTCCACTATGTCTTCGCCCTTCCAGGCTCGGAAAGCGAGCGGATCACGCATGATGTCGGCATTGCGAGGTGTGTTCTTGGTCGCAAAAACTCCCAGTCCCTTGCCCGGCGAGCTGCGGATTTCAAAAACAGGCGAGAACTCTAAGAAAGCACAAGTCGTTAAGTTCTGGGTGTCCAGTGGGGGCAACCTGAAAAAGCAGAAACCACTTACCCTTTCCCAGGTGTTGCGTATCCTTTTCCAGGTGTTGAGTACCGTTTCCCAAGTGCCGGGTGCTCTTGACCAAGTGCTGGGTGCTCTTGACCAAGTGCTGGGTGCTCTTGACCAAGTGCTGGGTGCTCTTGACCAAGGGTTGGGGACCCTGTCCCAAGTGTTGGGTACCCTTTCCCAAGTGTTGGGTACTCTTGCCCAGGTGTTGGGCAGCGCTCCGTGCAAACCTGCTCGGTGCTCGGGACGCTGATTGCAGCTTCAGCATTGGCTTGAGCCAGGCCATGGCTTCAGAGTGTCGAGTAATTGACCTTGCTGATCGCAACTCTTGTTCCGGTAACTGGAGATAGAAAAGAAAGGAAGGCAAAATATGGGAAGATTCAGTTTTCGCCAGATAAAAACAAAGGTCGGGAAGTCGCCTGATTCAGCAACCAAAAAACAAGTATTTGTGGCAGCTTTTATTATCATCCGGCCAACCAGAATCTACCGGAAAAACTATCAGGTCGCTACACAGTAGGTGTTTAATAACGAGATGGACAATGTTCACCTCTCCCTGTTGTTTACACACGGGTAACCGCGTTCTTCTGTAGCTGGAGAAATCTTTTTGTGAAATAGTACCAAGGTAAGGCCTGGAAAAGGTCAACATCAGACACCGATCAACAGACACTGACAACAGGAAGCCCATCTGAGGAGTAGGACGAACTCCGTATATCCAGACGTTGTTAGAAGACAAGGTAAACAAAACCTTTTCCAATCGTGCCAACGTCACCACCCATTAAAACATACCAGGTAAATTGACACAATCCCCCATCTCACTCCTCTACTAATACGCCAAACCAAAGCCAAGCTCAAACTCAAGCTTAAATACAAAATACCACCAGCAAGCCCCAACAAGTCCGCCGCAGCAAGTGGTATCCCTAGGCAATGCGTGTGTGCGAGAAAATGGATATCAGGAGCTGTTCGGCATGAGTTGCCCCAATCACAGGCGATGAACCAAGCTCGCGATCACCGGTCACAACCAAGGCAACGAATTGGCCATAGTCGGACTCCTTACCGTATCTCATTGTGGGACACTATGACTGCCGAGGACTGAAATGACCTAACCAAAAGGGGAGAATGAGGAACAACGGGAAATATCTGCCGGTGAGCATCCGAGAATGCCAACCTTGTTTCCCAAAAATGACTACCGAGATCTTCGAGGAGTTGCTCCGAGCTACTCCGTACACGCCTGTGGACTTCCCCTGCCTACCCTCGGCTTGTTCTACATACTCGACGCCAGAAGCAATCCTTGATCAATATACATTCATTCAAGCGAAATGACTCGATATTCAGAGCTAACCGGAACAACAAAAAAGCCGTTACACATGCGGTCGATCCCATTACAAATCCTACAGTGCAGTCAAGGTGAGTTCATGGGCAAGAAATGCAAAGTGGTACATTCCTCCGCCGGTCCAATGTAACGTACAGAAAACTTGAGAACTCGTGATTGCCAACTTAGGTGCCTAGGTGGTTAAGTACAGAGGTGTACATCAGATGTCGAGCAAGACATTGATGCAGACCCCTATTGTCGGCGCTACTCAATAAGGGATATTACTCTATCATTAACAAAAGACACTATCCAAAAACCAAGGCGACAAATCCAGATATCGACTTCAGACTTCAGACTTCTGACTTGTGAGCCTTCCTGATACCACGGGATATGAGTCCGGGTGCGCCGACGCTCAGAATATAATCGGGAGCTGGAGAAGCATCCGCGTTCAGCGTTAGCTCGTCAGAGGCCTCTGGCACTTCGTGGTCCACAAGCCCAACGAGGGCGTCCGTCTCCTCCATTTGTCGGGATTCCTCCGGCGTCGGCATCCACAATGCATCCGACCTGAGAAACCCCCCGTCTCTATCCGCCAGCTGTCTCGTAATTCTAGCGACAGCCATAGCGTCCAGCGTTTTGGTCCACGTCGGCATGCGGTAAATGTACCAGACCAGAGCCAGGATGCCGAAAACCTGTAAACCCAGCAACACCGTGACTACAACCAGCCCCGCCGTTGACACGACATGAGTACGAACCGCGATCCCGTCGGCCCGCCAGATCTGGTGAGTGGTTCCAAAGTATGAACCTCTCGCGACGGCAGCGGTATCCAGTGTGGCTTTACTGGCGAGGTACATGGTTGTGTCAAGGAGGCTACCCACGACCCCGTTTGTCTCGCGGATGGTCGAGATAAGCCCTTCCACGCGGTCGTTGGCCCAGCCATACCTGGAGGCAAATCTACCCCGTTCTTCGCCATAGCGACCGCCACCTTCTGTGTCTTCCGGGTCACAGCGGCGCAGGCTTTTGTAGGCACGCTGGAACGGGATGGGGCTCAGCTGGCAGAGGGTCTGGGAGAGCGTGTCGTTGGGCCCAGTGATGGACTGCGCGAGCTCGAAGAAGGATCCCGCTCCGAACATAGCGTGCGCCGCGAGGGTGAGCGGACCGGGAGCGCGGAATACGGTGCCCCGGGCTATCTCGGTGTTGTAATCCTCGCGCGGAACCTGCTCCCCCGGGCGGGCGTCGTTTGTATACAACCTGGGAAACCACGTTAATGTCTTCAACGGTGCTGGATGCTTTTAGAGGAGGCTGCTTACGACGGATTGACTACTTCGTCAGTGAACTCCGTAGGGTCCCGTGTGCTGGCAGGGAATTTAAAGGACGACAGCAGCGGGCCGAACTTTCCGCCGTTGAAGGAGTTCCCGAGCTCAAAGTACCCCAGGCTGGTACTTCCGACACAGCGCAAGGTGTAGTTCAAGTAACTATACACGGGGCTGGACTTCGTAATGTACAAGGTCTCAGTCAAGTCCTGCCGGTCTTCAGTCTCATTCCAGGGGGCGCCCCGGTTGGCTCCTGCCACCCCTGGTACGCAGACGTGGACCGTCAAGTTCGCGTTGTTGTAGGAGGTGTCGAGCCCATTGTCGCGCTGCACAGGGCAGGGTACGGGGACCTCTGAGGCGGGTATTTCATCGCAGATCGAACTGCTGTTCATCCGAAGGGCATGCTGTCTGTACATGCCCGTGGTCGTGTCTCGAGCCAACGAAGACATAAAGTAACGCCCACTGTATTTCGTTGCAAATCTCTCGAGCGCATCATTGTCGTGCCAGGCCTCGGCCATCCACTCGCCTGGGAAGGCGTCTAGGAGGGCATGTCGCGTTTTCACGATGGCAAGGCCTCTCGGGACAGACCCGAGGTTCCAGACTCGCGGATCCAGCCCGACTCGTTTGCCCAACCAGCCGTTAGGTTTAGAGGTAGAGGCTGTGGTGTAAGCGTTCGAGTCAGGTTCCGGGAAGAGTCTAAGCTCGGTGTGAACTAGGATTGCGCGGATAGGGAGGAGAACGACGGCTATATTTTGTCAGTGTGCTGGCTCTTCATGCCCGGGAGGGGAGCTCGTCTCTAGCCATAACTCACCTAAGAAGACGAGGGTAGTTCCAAAAATGAAGAGTAAAGACCTGACACCATACATGTAATTTCCAGCGAGACCATAACTCAGAAAGTCCCGGTCTGCCAGAGCAAACAGCTGCTTCACGTTCAATCTCTTGCGGTTGTTCGTCCGCTGGGAAAAGACGACGGCCGCCCGCGCAAGCAGCGCGTAGATGACAGGTAACGCAGCCACTGCTGCGATAAAGTTGAGGGCATCGATGGCAAAGGACACTCGGTGGAGGTGCTGGGCCGTTTCTCGCGTAAGTGCCCCTGAGTTTTCCGGCGACGGTCGGACAGTCCGAGACGACAAGATGCATGTCAAAATCCACGGGACGAGCAGCAGGACAAGGTAGCCAGCGGCGATCCATGCCGGTTCCGCGCTGTACCGGAGCGCGGCCGGACGCGGTGGCTTTGACATGTCGATAGTTATTGAGTTGTTGAGTTGAGTTGCAGCGGAAGCCGACAGACAAATGTATCCAGGGGCAATCGCGTCGTTTATGTACGTTCCTATTTTAATGTTGAACAACGGCACGAACGGCTCGTCGTGGGGCCTCCACTTTCTGGAGTCCTTCGGTCCGCCTTGCCAGCGCGGCCGGGGGATGGGATTGGCGAAGGGTACGATATTTGAACCGCCAAGGGCGCTACCGAAGTGAAAGAGTGATGCAATGTAACTATCGCCAAGATGCCAATGCGAAATCGAAGTTGGGGGCTAAAACTTGAATTTTTACAAATTTTGAGTCCAGCGAGACATCCATGATTTCTTCGGGTCCAGGCAAAAGTCATGAACCCGGACGAAGGAAAGGTAAATATTACCTACACTAGGAGGTATGTAAGTACTTGGATGCCAAGTTTTCTCTCCCATTCAACTTTCAACATGATTAAAACAATGTTCCGTTCGTCGGGGTCGCTGTCTAATTCATCCTGACTCATCCAGCTGCTCTGGCTTTTGCGGCGAATCTGTGAGTTGAGACAAGCAGCACTGGACTACTAGTCGTAGCCATGGTCCAACTCGGTGGGTCGAGATTAACAACCACTCTTCAGGTCTCCCTGTTTATAGCCCGAGACAAATAAGAATATAACTGCCATCAGTCCCATGGAATAGAACCAACCAGATACGTCCATACCCATATACATAGGTGCCAAACTACGTGAGCATAGCCTCGAGGTTATCACCTTTGCAAATTGTAACCCTTCTACGCCCTGAATATACCTAGGTAATTAACTCGAGATCGTCCCTACCTACTCAGAGTCCTCATTTAGGCGAACAACTCCAAGACCTTTCATCCCATTGCCAAACAGCAACGTCCAGGACATTGCAGAATACCCAACTAACTCCGCATACATCTCAACGACCAGTTTGGGTACCTAGCTTGGAAATGAAGGTCAGATTAGCGTTTCCGGGCCAACCGGCTTCCACCTTGCTCTGCTTGTCGATGGAATGTCGGCACTACCTCTCGGTACCTAGCTACCTACCTAGGCAGGGGGCCGCTGAGGGCTTCTCGAGTCTCACGTACCTACTTAGTTGCCAATAAGAGTGCAAAATACAAATAACCCTTTGGCTGATTGCCTAGAATAGACATCGCCGGTTAATGGGGCATGTCATTGTCGCGGATGATGCCGGCGCGGCCGTCGAATGGCAAAGGATAGGTCCTATGTAACCTACCCACCTAGGTACCTAATTACCGAGGCCAAACCCGTTACCTGGCAGGTAGGTAGGCAATCGACTACCCCGTAACATGGATCGGGCACTTCCCTTCATGCGGTCTTTGATGGACGCGAACTACTATTCGCCAAATTGATTGGAGAGACGTTCCTAGCGTTTGACATACAAAAGGCCAACACTAGGGAAAAAGAAATGTACTTCTAACTATCTTCCGGGACCCGTAGCTTATAATATGCTATAGCATTCGCTATGCTACCTTTTTCTTCAAATCCTCGTCCTCCTCTGCCAGTGCTGTGTTGTACAGCCTTCCAAAAGCGGATCCAGGTACTTCGAGGAGGGCGTATGGATTGTCAAACTCGACGAGTCTGCCTGCATCTAGGACGGCAACCTTATCAAAGTCCATAATGGTCTCGATTCTGTGAGCCACAGCGATAATGGTATGGTCGGCGAACTTTCTGCGAATAAGGCGCTGCATTGTCTCTTCAGTCTTTGCGTCGATGCTGTGTGCCATCATGTCAGATAACTCTTTAAAAAGGGGGGCCATAGACGGAGAAAGGGAATTCTTACCTGCTAGTGGCCTCATCCAAAATTAAGATGGTGCTGGGGCGTAACATGGCTCGAGCAAGACAGAACAACTGTTTTTGCCCGACCGAGAGGTTCAAGTCATCGACATCAGCGTCCAGTCCGCCATTCTTCTCAACGGCTTCCATCAGCTGTACACACTGGATCGCCGCCACAATGTCTTCGTCCGATGCCTGGCCCATTGGGTCCGCATTGAGTCGCACAGAGCCCTTGAGAAGGAACGGGTGCTGTGGTACCGCAACAATCTTGGTGCGAACCTCTTGCCTCGGTAGTGTCGAAATGTCCACTCCGTCCACGCGGATCGACCCGCCTTGCATATCCACGAGGCGGAACAGGGTCATGATGAGGGAAGTCTTGCCACTGCCGGTCCTCCCGCAGATCCCAATCTTCTCCCCAGCCTTGATAGACAGGGACACCTGTTTCAAGACGAGGTCATCGCGACTGAAGAGCGCAAGAACAGTTAGCGGGAAGTTTGAGTTGTATATTACCCGATGAAAACTCACTTGTAAGCCGCGGACAAATTGTCAAATTCGATTGCGCCAGCCGACGGCCAACCTGGTGGAGGCTGTTGGCTTTCCTCCGGTTGGTCCTCGGGCACTGCTGTCTCGGTGAAGCTCCTGATACGGGCCACCGAACCGATGTGCGTCTCGAGATTTGTCCAGAAGGTGACCAGTAGCTTAATGTTTTGGCTGAATTGGATGACGTTGAGTAGTGCGAGGCCGACACCGCCAGCGGCCATGGTACCCCGGAGCGCGACAACCAGTACCATAAGCAGCACGGCGACAGCCGCAACGACCAAATCCAGGACGAGGGTGAGCCAGCGTTGGACGGCAAAGAGCAGGTAAAAGGGTCGCTGGGAGCGATCCAGTAGTTCGTGGTTCTTGTCGTTCAACTTGTCCTGCCATCCGAAAGCGCGAATTGTGGCGATGCCGCTGAGTGACTCCTCAAAGAGCGAGTAGAGTGGTGCCTTGGTCTCGATATCCATGAAACGCAGTTGACGGGACGTACGCAGGTATACCTTCTGGATGAGATACAATGACAGCAATACGATGGGGAACGAGATGGCCGCGTAGACGGATCCGTATCCGATGAGAGCCATTTGTGCAAGACAAAGAACGAATGCTAAGACAGTGTCAATCCTGCTCGGCATGGAATGGGATGGATCCGATGCTTACTGGCGAAGGTGTTGAGTGCCGCGGTAGGCAGCTCCATGTCAATCAATTGAAGATCTTGACTGAAGCGGTTCAGGGTCACACCCGAGTCCGTCTTGACAAAGAAGGACATGGGCGCGCTGAGGACTGTGTTGAGCAAGGTGAGGTGGAACTTCTCGCCGGACAGGGGCACCATGGTGATGATCATTTGCCTGCATCCTCGTCAGCATATTTTGGAATGAAGAGCAGTGATTTCAACACCGAGTAGTACTCACCAACAGCTTATGAACAAACATATGATGGCAATGCCCCCGAGCATAGCGTAGATCCCGAGCCAATATCCCAAGTTACCGTTGGGATCCGACTCGTTGTACGCCGCCCACCATTGCACCCATATTGCTATCAAGGCCTGTTAGTAACATGTCTCCCTCAAAGGCTCACGGTCCCTGGACCTCAAAGGAATAGACTTACTCGGAAATGACAGGCAAAAGACAAAACCCACAACGGCAAATGCGAAGATGAGGCTCGCCCACCAGCCGACCGACTTGATGTAGTACATGTAGATTTGAACATCGCCAGTTCGTCGGTTCATTCCATCCTCAGCCGTGGCGGCACATGCTGTGTCCTCCGACGAGATGGAAGCGGTAGAGGCTGACTCTTTGCGTTGTGTAATGACGATATCGTCTTGAGCCTTAACAAGCTCAATTGGGAGTATCTGATCATCATTCTCGGGGGTGTAAGTCCAGTCAGGGCGGGGCAGAGAGAACGATGACACATAGCCACCGGCAGCATTGAGATCGTTAAATGTTCCCTGCGAGTTGATCTCTCCGTTCGGGCTAAGACACACAATGTGGTCAGAGAATGGGAGGCGTTTGACTATTGCCTTAGTTAGCATACCCCCATACGTTCTAGAATAAAGAGATTGAGTGGTGGATAGATACCTGAGGAAGAGACAATGAGAACGGTGGCGTTCATATCACGAAGCAGTCCGTCGTGGCCGAGAAGGCTATGGAAGACGTGGTTCTCGGTCGTGTTGTCAAGCCCACCAAGCACGTCGTCCAGAATGACAATCTTTCTTCTAGCGTATACCGCTCTGGCAAGGGCCTTGGGACAAATTAGCCTCTGTGAGATAAATCCGGGGTAGACGGGAAACCTTACAATACGCTGACTCTGTCCGCCACTCAGCGCGATACCTCCGCTCCCGATTCGCGTAGAATCGCCCATGGGTAGCTCTCGGAAGTCTCTCTTAAGAGAGCAAGCATGGATAACCCTCGTATACCACTTCGCGTCGTACTCCTCGCAGCCGATAATAGCCTCCTTGACGGTCCCGTTCATATGCCAGGGGTCCTGAGAGCAGTAGCTAATGCTGGTTGACCCGAGGCGTACGGAGCCTGCTAGGGCAGGAACCTCGCCAAGGAGCGACTGCAACAAAGTTGACTTGCCACAGCCAACTGGTCCCACTATCATGGTCAACTTCCGCCAGGGGACGGAAAGGTTGATTTTCTTTAAGAGGGGCTCCTTCTCAGAGTCCCACCCGAAGCTACCTCCTTGAACGGCGATGGCATCAGGAGACGAATCATCAATCTTGGGCTTCTCGGTCACCTCTTCGGGCTTGGGCATATCCGCGCGCTCCTCTGACTCGAGAAACTGTTGGATCCGGACGAAGCTGCCGACAGCCCCCAGGTAGGCAGCGAGTGCCATGACAAGGGAGGCCAGGGGCTCCGATAGCAGGGCGAAGAGCGACAAAGCTGTGAAGACGCGCGCCGTGTCCAGGGTCGCGTCCCCGCTGTCGCGGGCACGAACTGAGAAGACGGCAAAGGTCAAGACAGGGGCGAAGACCTGTGTTACGTAGGCTGACATCCTTAGTTAGTTTCTTTTTCCCCCTTCTGGATGGATCCAACCTACCGAAAACCATGTTCCAGATGAGCAACTTGCGAAATTTCTTGGAAATTCGCAGCTCGTCGACACGCAGCTGCTGCAACCCCGTGAGCAGCGTGTCCTTGAGTCCGCACATCTTGACTCCTTTCATGGCCGACAGCATGGCCGAGGTGGCCGAGATGCGTTTTTCAATGGCCTCAAGCCACATGGCCTGGCGTGACATGATGAAGTTCATGGCAAAAATGGAGCCCAACAAGGACACTGTGTTTATGTATGTTAGCCTAACAACAATAAATTTGAGTTTTGCAAGACAATGGTAAGGGGCTTACAGATTGAGACCGCAACGGGCACAACACAGGCAACACCCAGTTGTCGTTCAAGCAGGAAGATAGCGACACCGACCTCGATGGCGTTGCCCCAGATCTCGTGCATCGTCTGAAAGCCCTGGACGATGCGCTCGATATCGGCGCTCATGAGCGTCATGGATGTGGCGGGGTCAATACCCTTGAGGCTCAGGGTACCCGTCTTGCGGTAGATGACGGAAACCAGCCCGGCACGTAGCATGGCGATGGTGCGATAGGTGCGGTGTTGGTATTGACCCATCGAGACCGCAATCCCGACGTAGACGAAGAAGTAGGCCCCAATGAGGCCGTAGCCTCTCTGTGTCGTCTCATCGGTAATTGGCTGCTGGGACAGGGTGATGGCATGGTTGATGAGAAACGGCTGGCAGAAGTAGAGGGCAGTAAGACAAGCCCGCGGCGGGACGGTCTGCACCACAGTCCACTTCAGTATACCGTACGATGTGCCCAGAAGTGAGTATGTGGACTTTTGGGTGACTGGGATTGCCGGTTAGTGACCAGGACGAAAGTGGTTGGCAGCATGTCTGGTGGGAAAAAGGCCAAATGGGGCCGGAAAACAAAGAAAAAACAGAGGCAAAGAAAAGAATGAAATAGGGAGAAGGGCGAGCGTGCCAAGGGAAAGAAACGAAGACAAAACTAGGTACTCACGAGAACTCCAAGCCGCCTGAAATCGCGTGTAACAATACGACGCCTGGATATGCTTGTCGAGCACAAATAAGTCATCGACCACGAGGTCCCGGCTAAAGCCCTGCCAAAACAGCGGGTTGAGCCACCAAAAAAAGGACCGGTTATAAATGCTGCTGGTAGCCTCCGGTGGGTATGCTTGGTACTCTGGACGCAGTGAGCGGCGCTTGTCTACCGCCTCGAGCACAAGGACGGCAAACTTGACCACGACCGCGGCTGTGGAGATGTAAGAAATGCTCTGATTCACATGGTCTGCGGCGCGGAGCCACAGGGTCCTCGTGTGAGCGATGTCAAACAATAGCGTGCCTAGCAGGAAGGTGTTGATGAGAGACGACGGCTTAACAGCACGGGTGTGCTCGGCGTATGAGAGGAGACAGAGGCCGAGGGTGGAAACCAGGGTGAGGGCGGCGGCAAGTAGAGTGACCCGCGTACGGCCGGCAGACGGGACCGCCCAGAGGATTAATGCAGAGAGCTGCAGTGTAGCGAGAACCACCCAGGCGGACTACACAAGAATCGGGGACGGATTGTTAGAAAAGCTGTGATCCGGGGTTGCACAACGGGGATGCTGCATAGGACTTAATCTTACGATCTTGATGGCTGACGAGCGATCGCCTATCGCCACTTTCTTCACGCGCCCCGACAGGTACCAGGCGCGTGGAGGGAGGACTATGAGGAGGATTCCGACGGTAACCAACGTGAGGATGGTCTCCTCGAATAGGAGTGTGAAGTCGAAACCGCCCCGGCAGTCGCCAGCGTGAGGGCCGAACGAGTCGTCGATGCGTGTACACGCATCGAGGGACGATTGGGCCATGGTTACCAAACTCGGGGCATCAAACAAAATGCGCGTAGCCGGAAGATCCTATGGCGCAGGGTAAACGGGAGGGAATCTGGGGAATGGTGACTTTGGTGATCGACGAGAGAATGTTTCGAAGCGGCGAAGAACCAGGTCCTGGGTTACAGGGCTACCTACATATTGATTTTCATCTGACATTTTTTCACAACCATATTTCCATCTTGTCTCGCCGGGCCTGGGCCCGCCGTTCATCCGGGGTGGGAAGGATGACAAGGGAGGCACACACACCAACAGGGAGAAAGGACAGAAAAGTCAGCTCCGGGCTTGGTGATGGATGGATTAATCCCATGGCCCCGGACCATGTGCCAACGCATACAAAGAAAGCAATGCTAATTGTGGTCGAGACAGACACCTTCGCCCCCACAATGGGACGTTACTACAGAACGATGTCGACATGCTGCCTCCCCACCTGGCTGTCCGGAGGTGGCCGGGTAATCATTGACGGGGAGCCACTTGCGTCAATACACGGCTGACAGCTGGGCGAATACGACTGCGGGTTTCCGGCACCGTCCTCTTCACCAGCCGCAGCCAGGGAACTGAAAGTGGAAAATCCTGTTTTTCTTGGCTCCCTTCAGGTTTAATTCGCTTTGCTGTAATATTTTCATGGTGCGTTCCGTTGACGTGGGCCATGACGGACCTTGGCAGGGCGAACTTGCAGAGCCGCCGCATGCCAGGGGGGCCAGAGGTGGGACAGATCGGGTCATCGGGAGCGAGAGGAGGGAGTGGAGGGGGTGTACGGAAAGAAAATTTGCGACAGAAGTCGGCAGTATTGCTCAGCGTGACAATATGCGGTCAGTGGCGTTATTTGTACCGTGCTCCAGATAATTCCTCCGGTGGTACTGCGCCTTCAGCCGCCCCTGTGTGGTAGCTTCAGCTCCCCCTTTAGGGCACCAAGATGTCGCTCCGCCTGCACGATGCGACTGGCTGTTTGCACAAACAAGGAGTTGGTGAGCGGGAGTTGCAGTTGCCATTCGATGACAGGGGCCAAGGATCTGTCTTGCCCCCTGGATCATTGGCCGTCTATCTCCCGCTTCCCCCAGTGGATCGACAGTGCCGCTCCCCACCGGCTCGATATCCGTTGCAGCTGGCTGGAGCTGCCCCTGCAAAGCAAACCTGCGCCCCCTGCATGGATGGTCGGGGCGGGACTCGGGAGAACGTGTTGCTGTCATCTAGACTCAGGATTAATGCACGTGTTGGTCGACCTGCCCAATACTGCAAACCCACCGTCGATCATCTCTTCGGATTTGGTAATCTCAACGCGATTTACCCAGCTGGTTGGCGTTCTGGGCCTCTTGGACCTCTTGGAAAGTTTCGATCCCTGTCCGTTGACGACAGTAATCTGTAAGTCCCAAAAATAAATGGCTGTCAGGTTTTTTGCCAGATGCCACCTAATACTACGACGCCGGGTACTAGTCGTGATGGTTTAAGAAAATCTCTGACCTGACTGCTCTTTTTTCGGAAGCGAAGGACGAAAACCAGGAAGAAAAGAAGAAAGAGAGTTGACCCGAGGGCAGGGAGCCGGTCCGATTCTATAACTGGTGGAATGGTTGTGCCCAGTCATTGACCCGGGTTTGTTTCTCCCGGCGTGACTTTCATCTACACCTGTGTACAAGTATCGGTAGGAATTGGTTGCGTCTGAGTGATCTACATGTACTCTGCGTAGCCGAGTCCTTGTTTCCATCTTTCCCCAGCTTTGTTGTCTCATCTCATATTGATTGCCCTTGGTGAACACAAACCGCTCTATCCCTGTCCATCGACAACATCGTCCTACGCTGTATTGTCGATCACACTCGGCAGAGCCAACAGCAGAAACCTCTTCTCATCTCCATTCTCGCCTTTGGCATCACTTTCTACCTCGTCAGACAGGACCAGTCTCGATACCCTACTACGTCGACCCCCGAACCATAATCCATAACCATGACTTTCACCACCGGCATCAACGACTGGGAGACGTACCTCAAGGGGCTGACGCCCTGTCGGTTCCCGAGGTTCGGCCGTGTTTCCAACAATACCGCAGCTCCATCCCGGCAGACCTCATCAGTCCGGGTGGATGTTGGGCAGGCAGAAAAGCTGCGGGAGCTGTCCACAACCGATCCCAACGAGTTGGCTGCTGTTATCCGGACGGCATGGGCGTTGCTGTTACGGTGCTACACAGGCCAAGATGATGTCGCCTTTGAATTCCAACTCGGCGGCGGAGGCATCACCAGCGAACCCATCGTGGCCCGTTTCCTCCTTGACGAGAGCGAGTCTGTCGCCCGAACGGTGGGCCGTGCTAAGGTGGAGAAAATCAATGATCTCCCCCGGGTCCCACCCCGGCTCCAACAAACCGGAAACTCGGATCTGTCAATTTTTGACACATCCGTGGTGTTGTGGAGCTTCACAGCCGGATCGACACCCTGCCCTGTTTTGACACCGGTAACTTCCCTACCCGCCCCGCACCGAATCTCCACACTCCTACCCCTGGCATGGTTGTATCCCGATCATGACCCCCCCTGGAGCATCCACTCCCATCGAGCCCTAACCCTTCCATTCACGACCCTCTTCGGTGCTGATGGCTAACACGAACGACAGGAACAACACAAGATCCGGCTGCTCGCGAAGCGCGGCGAGTCCAGTCTGAGCCTGTTTCTTGAATGGAGCAGCAACCATCTCGGCATGTCTGCGGCGCAGGGTGCACTGGTTGCCAGCACGCTGGACAAAATCCTGTCGGGCATTGTCACAAGTTCCCCTGGCGCACCCCTGAGCTCGCTGGACTTCATGAGCCAGAATAACATGCACCGCGTCCGGGAGTGGAACGATAGCTATTCGATCCAGCCAGTAGAACGCTGTGTCCATGATGTGGTTGCGGACCGAGTGCTGGAGAATCCCGATGCCGAAGCTGTTTGTGCCTGGGACGGCTCACTCACGTATGGCGAGTTGGATGCTGTGACTGGTACTCTAGCTTCCTGGCTGGTGGCGCTCGGAATCGGTCCCGAGGTCCTAGTACCGCTTTGCTTCGAGAAATCGGTTCGTAGTGACTCTCCTCCTCGTTATTAGCCGACAACGACTAACCTAATTTTAGAAATGGACGGTGGTAGCTATGCTTGCGGTGCTTAGGGCTGGCGGGGCCTTTGTGCCCCTAGACCCATCCCATCCCTTTGAGAGGCTTCGGGGTCTGTGTGACTCGGTCGGGGCCAAACTTGTGTTGTGCTCCAGCCACCTCGCCCCGGGGCTTGTCGGGGTGGTCGATAAAGTGCTGCCAGTAAACGACAACACCATTGCCGAGGCTACAACCGCCGAATCAGCAGAGGGTTCTACGAGCAGATCCAGTGTCAACAGCACCAATGCAGCATATGTTATTTTTACATCTGGTTCTACCGGCAAGCCCAAGGTAAGTCCACACATCGGCACAGAATGAAAAGGCGTAAACGTATTAACCTTCTTCAAACAAACAGGGCACCCTCATCGAACACCAGGCTTTCTGTTCTAGTGCCAGGGCGCATGGTCCAGCCCTGCGTATCGATGGCACCTGCAGGGTGTTGCAGTTTGCAGCCCATACCTTTGACGCCAGCCTGGTCGAGATATTGACGCCGTTGATGGTGGGAGCCACCGTCTGCATCCCCGACGAGCATGAGCGTCTCAACGATCTTGCTGGTGCGATGAACCGCATGCGCGTTGACCACGCCGTGCTTACCCCCTCCTTCATCAACTTCCTCACCCCAGCCACCGTGCCCGGGCTACGCAGGCTTGTCTTGGCGGGCGAGGCCATGTCACGTTCTCACGTCGCCACTTGGTCGCACATCGAGCTTGTCAACGGCTACGGGCCGGCTGAGAGCTCTGTGGCGGCTGTGGTTAATCCCAGTGTTGGGCCCCTGACCGAGGCCACCGACATTGGCTTGCCCTGCGGCGTGCGAGTGTGGCTGGTCGACCCCACCGACCACAACCGGCCCGTCCCCGTTGGCTGCGTGGGCGAGATGCTCCTCGAGGGCCCAAGCCTGGCTAGGGGCTACTTGAACGACGCAGCTAAGACGGAGGAGAGCTTCATCTTTGGCCCGGAATGGGCTCAGGGTTCGGACAATGCCCCTCGCCGTTTCTACAAGACGGGTGACTTGGCACGCTACAACTCGGCTTCTGGCTCCTTCAGCTACATCGGCAGGAAGGACACCCAGATCAAGCTTCACGGGCAGCGTATCGAACTCGGGGAGATCGAGCACCACCTTGCTGTTGACGAAGACGTCCGGCACGCCATGGTCCTTCTCCCGAAGAAGGGACCCCTGGCCAAACGCCTGATTACCATCCTCTCGCTTTCGGATCCCACTGCTGGTTCTGTCGACAGCCAAAAGTCGGGAGGCGCGGCCTTGAGCCTTGCCAGAAACCCGTCATTGACCGAACCCATTCTGGAGCGTATTCGAACACGGCTGGGTGCGCGTCTGCCGGCATACATGGTACCGTCAACGTGGTTGTGTGTTGACGGTATTCCCATGCTGGCTTCTCGCAAGATGGACCGTAAAACCGTCGCTACCTGGATCGAAACCACCCTTACTGCCGAGCAATGTCAGGAGGTCATAAGGGAGCAGCATGCTGTCAAACCGAAAGCAAGCTCGGGCGATGGCAAATCCAATAATACCCCCCTAACCGAGGTTGAAATCAAGCTCCGTGAGACCTGGAGCCTGGTCCTGAACTTCCCCGCCGACGACATCGACCCCGACGACCGCAGCTTCCTTAGCTTGGGAGGCGATTCTATTTCGGCTATGGCCTGCGCGAGCCACGCCAAGAAGGCACGGCTCGGCGTATCCGTGCAAGATGTCCTCAAGGCCAAATCCTTGAGGCAGCTGGCCACCGTAGCCAAAGTGTTGAGCCAACCAAGCGAGGACCAAGTCGATGGGGATGAAGACGCCGAAAAGGGGTTGCTCAAAGTGCCTTTCGATCTCACCCCGATCCAACAGCTGCACTTCGAGGTTCGGGGTGGGGCTCACGGTGACGAACATTTCAACCAGAGCTTCTGTCTGCGTCTTGCCCGCCGGGTGGAAGCGGCTGCCGTCCGAAATGCCATCGAGGCTGTTGTGAAGCGCCACGCCATGCTCCGGGCTCGCTTCGAACGGAGCGAGGACGGACAGTGGAAGCAATTCATTACGTCTGACGTGGATGGGTCCTATCGTCTTCGGACTCATACGATAACGACTCGCGTTGAGGCTGACACCGGCATTGCAAGCGCACAGAGCTGCCTAGATGCGCGTTCTGGCCCCCTGTTTGCCGCAGAGCTATTCGCTTTGCAAGACAACGGCGAGCAGATGCTCTTCATGACGGCGCACCATCTTGTCATTGACCTCGTGTCATGGCGAGTGGCCATGGAAGAGATCGAGGAGCTCTTAGAGAACCCTTCGGCCGCGGCTGTTTATCGGTCACTGCCGTTCCGGAAGTGGGCAGCGCTGCAGACGGACGACTGCGCTGGTAGACCTCTCAAGCAAGTCCTCCCCTCTGCCGACCAAGTGCCCGATCCCCAATTTCCCTACTGGGGAATGGGCGACCGGCCCAACTTGTACGGCGACGTCGCATGCCAGGGATTCGATCTCGACACCAGCACTACCGACACCCTCATCAACGAGTGCAATTCTCCTTTCCGCACCGAGACCGTTGACCTACTCCTGGCGGCGCTCATTTGGTCTTTCCAAACCACATTCCCCGACCGCACAGCACCAGCCATCTTTAACGAGGGCCATGGCCGCGAACCCCCCAATGAAGAGATCGACATTGCCCGCACCGTTGGCTGGTTTACGACCCTCTTCCCCGTTGCGCTTTCTTCCCCCACCACTTTCGCCGACGCCCTCATCCAGACCAAGGACCTCCGCCGGCGTGTCCCGGGTAATGGGCGACCTTACTTCGCTGCCCGTTTCCACACCCCTGAGGGCCGTGAACAATGGGCTCGCCGACACAGGGACATGGAAGTATCCTTCAACTTCCTCGGTCGCTACCAGCAGCTCGAGCGTAAGGGTGCCCTATTCCAACCCGCTGAGGGCGCCCTTATGGCTGGCGAGGCGCATCCCGGCAGCCCAACGGCCGACTTTGGAAGCAAGGCGCCACGGTTTTCTCTCTTTGAGATCTCTGCCGTGATTATCCAAGGTGCCTTGCGGTTTGGGTTTGCCTGGAATGGCGGTATGCAGCACCAGGACCGGATCCGCGAGTGGGTTGCCAACTGCCGTGGCGTGTTGGCTGAGGCTGCTGCGACTCTCCCGGTGATGGGGAATAGAATGACGGTTGGTGACCTCGTGTTGCTTCCTGATCTCGCTCCCGCGGATCTCAAAGCCTTTGAGCAAACCACGCTACCTGCTTTGACTGGGGAACGTGGTTGGGATGCAACTGAGGAGATCTATCCCGCTTCTCCCATCCAACAGGGGCTGCTGCTGAGCCGAACCAAGGATGGGAACTTCTATGCCGTGCGTCGGGCCTTCCGAGTCAAGCTTAACGGTGAAGAGAACAACACTGTCGATGCGCAGCGGGTGGTGCGAGCGTGGAAGGACGTCGTCCGCCACCATGCGCTACTCCGCACCATCTTTGTCGACGCCATCAGCCAGACTCAGGCCGGGAGCTACGATCAGGTGGTCTTGAAAGATGTGAAACCCCCAATGGTTGTACGTGAGTGCCCCGACGGCACCGAGATCTCCAGCCTGGTCGAGAGTCTAGAGCCCGTGGAATACCGAAACGACGCACCGCAGCACCGTTTTTCCGTCTTCCATAACAGCGACAGCGTCGTCTGCGTCCTAGAGATGAGTCACGCTATTATGGACGGTGCTTCCATGGATATCCTTCTGCGCGACCTCGGTCGTGCTTATGAAGGGAATCTTCAACACCTGGAAAAGCCGCGGTTCAGCCCCTTCCTCGCCAGCCTGCAGCAACGAAACCTCGAGGCCGATGTGGCATTCTGGAAGAACCACCTTTCTGGCCTTGAGGCTTGCCACTTCCCCATCCTCAACGACGGCATCAACGTTTCTGAGACTGAAAGAAAGATGTGTACGCTGCGTGTCGAAGTCCCCGGTTTGGCTGCGCTGCAAGAGTTCTGCAGCGGGGCGGGGTTCACCCTACCCAATGCCTTTCACGCCGCCTGGGCTTTGACGCTTGCGCACTACACTGGCACCGACGACGTGTGCTTTGGATATCTTGTCTCAGGGCGCGATGCCGCGCTTGAGGGTTCGGAAGATGCTGTCGGCCCCTTCATCAACATGGCCACCCAACGGATCAAGGTCGGCGGCGAAGGCGATGACCAGTTCTCTCTCCTGCGCCTCCTCGAGGCAGTGCAAAAGGACCAGCTCGACTGTATGCCGTACGCCCAAACCTCGTTGGCTGAGGTGCAGCATGCCCTCAACGTGCCGGGGGGTATGGCTCTGTTCAACACGTGCATCTCGTACCGCCGCTGTCAACCAAAGACGGATACTTTGGGGAGTTCGCTCGTCTGCGAGGACCTGGGAGCTCTCCACGACCCGACAGAGTATCCCATCTCGCTAAACGTTGAGATTGACGACGACGGAGGAGCTGCTATTGACCTCGACTACTGGACCGATGAGGTGGCCACCGCCCAGGCCAAGCATGTTGCGGCAACCTTCTTGCAAGCCCTGCGTAACATTGCTGAGCGTGCCGAGACACCCCTGTCGCGGCTGGATAATGTCCACAGCATCAGCAAGGAGCACATCTGGGCCTGGAACGCCAACATGCCGGCCACCACCGCCGACTGCATACACCGCATGGTGGAGAGGCAGGTGGCACTCCGCCCTCAGGCCCAGGCCATCCGTGGCTGGGATGGCGACTTCTCGTACGAGGAGATGAATAACCTGGCCAATCGTCTGGCACGTCATCTCCTCGACTTTGGTGTCGGCCCCGAAACGCTCGTACCGGTGTGCTTCGACAAGTCTGCCTGGACAACCATCTCCATGCTTGCCGTTCTCAAGGCGGGCGGTGGAGTGGTGCCCCTTGATGCTACTCACCCCGCGTCGGCGTTGGAGGGCAAGGTGGTTGATGCCGGCGCCCAGGTCGTCGTCGCGTCCGAGGCCAGGGCCATGATGTTCGAGGCCATGGTTCCGTATGTGGTGGCAGTGGGCCCGAGGCTGCTGTCTCAACTCCCCGCGGCAGTTGATGCCGAAGAGATCCAGTCGGGAGTGACACCTGAAAACCCCGCCTTCATCATGTTTACTTCCGGCAGCACCGGCAAGCCCAAGGGCGTTGTTCTCTGCCACCAGGCCCTCGTCTCGAGCTGCCTCGCGCACGGTTCCGCCCTCGGCCTCGGTCCCCATACCCGCTTCCTCCAGTTCGCTGCGCACACTTTCGACAACAGCATCGAGGAGATGTTTACCAATCTCATCCACGGCGGCTGTGTGTGCGTACCGTCGGACGCCGACCGACTTGGCGACTTGCCCGGTGCCATTGACAGACTCGACGCCAACTTCATGGACCTCACCCCCACCGTGGCGGTCATGCTCCGGCCAGAGCAGGTGCCCAAGATCAAGGGCATGGCTGTTGGCGGCGAGGCTCTCACGCGCGAGGTGCTGGATATCTGGGGAGGTGTCATCCCTGTGCACAACCAGTACGGGCCCAGCGAGTGCTCCATCAATTCGGCGCACAAGCTTCACCTCGATAAGAACGGTGACGTTGGTAGCATCGGAACCAACGTCGGTAGCGTCTCGTGGGTGGTTGACCCCAAGAACCATGACCGGCTTGTGCCTGTTGGGTGTGTGGGCGAGCTGCTGATCGAGGGCCCGATCCTCGGTCGGGGCTATCTCAATAAACCCGTCGAGACCGCCAAAGCCTTCATCGAGATGCCGAAGTGGGCGCCTGAAGATCCTCGCCACTCCGAGAGGGGCAACCGGAGGATGTACAAGACCGGCGATCTGGTACGGTACAACTCTGACGGCGCGCTCATTTATCTTGGGCGCAAGGACACGCAGATCAAGCTCCACGGGCAGCGCATTGAGCTGGGCGAGATCGAGCATCACGTCAAGAGCAACCTGCCCTCCACCGCGCAGTCCTCGGTTGAACTTGTGGTTCCTGCACAGTCCAAGAAGGCACTGGCTGTGTTTGTCTGTGCCTCGTCTTCTCAGACGGATGAGAAGGTCCGAATCCTTCCCATGGACACACAGTTCCGCTCCCTCGCTCAAGGAATTGTGGGGGCTATGAGCGCCCAGGTCGCTTCCTACATGGTGCCCCGACTGTTCTTCCCAGTTTCCAGAATGCCACTCACCTCGTCAGGCAAGCTTGACCGTCGGTCGCTGCGTACCATGGCCCAGGCATTGCCCAACGTTGTCGACTATCGCCTAGGCACCGAATCCGCTGGCGGACGTGTACCGGAGACGCCCATCGAGAAGCACCTCCAGGAGCTGTGGGCGGCGGTGCTCAATGTGGCCGTCGGATCCATCACTGCTGACGACAGCTTCTTTACTCACGGCGGCGACTCGGTTGGTGCTATGCGCCTAGCTGCTGCGGCTCGACAGAAGAACATCGTCCTCACCGTGGCCAACATTTTCAACTCACCCAAGCTCTCCGAGATGGCGAAGACAGCGACCGGAAGCGGAGTGGATGCCGATACTAACGCAGGAAACAGCTCGGCCAGCATTATCCCCGAGAATGAACCCGTCCCAGGTCCGGTGGAGCAATTCTCCCTACTCAAAAACAAGGGTTCAATAAGCTTAGAGGCATTGCGAGACCAGGTGGCCTCCATTTGCCGCATCGATGTTGGTTCTGTTGAGGACACGTACCCTTGCACCCCCTTGCAAGCAGGTCTGGTTGCGGCGTCCCAAAGACAGCCCGGGGCCTATGTAGCCGTCAACTTCTACGAGCTGCCGTCTGGGATCGACATCGCGCGGTTCAAGCGGGCCTGGCAAGAGGTGGTCAATTCGGAAGCCATCTTGCGAACGCGGGTCGTCTTCGTTGAGGATATCGGCTTCCTGCAAGTCGTCGTGCGTGGTGAGATCAACTGGATCTCGGCATCAAGCCCCAGCGACCTCCCAGAGACGCATCGCCATTTGCCACCTCACGACGGCGGTGTCCTGTCTCGGTACACCATCATCAACGAGGACAGCCTTCGACCAACCTTCGGCTGGACCGCGCATCACGCCGTCTACGACGGATGGAGCTTGCCAACGCTCCTGGGTCGTGTCGAGGAACGGTATCAGCACCCGGAGGCGTCCTTGCCTGCAACACCTCATTACTCTCGCTTTGTCGAGCACCTATCTGCCATCGATGCTTCCGCCTCAGACACTTTCTGGACCGAGAAGCTCTCTGCCCCGAGCACCACCCACTTCCCGCAACTCCCCCACCCCGCCTACCGCGTCCAGGCCACCAGCCAAATCACCCGACAAGTGCGCTTTAGCAAACCCAAGGGAGTCAGCCTAACGATGGCATCTTTCCTGCGCGCCGCATGGTCCCTCGTCGTATCTATCTACTCATCCTCGGACGACATCATCTTCGGCGAGATCCTCAACGGCCGCGACGTCCCCGTCGCCGGAATCGAGGACCTAGTCGGACCCACGCTAGCGTCCGTCCCGCGGCGCGTCCGCATCGACCGCGACATGACCGTCCAGCAACTCCTCATCGACGTGCAGAACCAGCTGAACGACGTCATCCCCCACCAGTTTGCCGGCCTACAGCGCATCAAGAGCCTCAGCCCCGCGACCTCGACCGCGTGCGACTTCAAGAACCTGCTGGCCATCGACATGGCCGACGAGGTGGCCGAGAACGGCCTCTGGAGCAACATGACGGGCGGCGGCACGGCTCAAGGGCCGGATTTCTTCAGCCTGCCGCTCAATGTCACTTGCACGTTGGGCCGTGGTGGAAGCGGGGTCGAGGAGATCCAGATGCGCGCCATCTTCGATGCTGAGGTTGTCCCGCAGTGGCAGGTCGTCCGGATGCTCGGGCAGTTTGAGACCCTGTTGGCGCGGCTTTCAGCTCCGGAGAGCCAGGGCGAGAAGGTCGGGGAGGTGGACCTGCTCAGCCCGGATGATAGGGCTATGCTGAAGGAATGGAACACGACACCCGGACCGTTGGTCGAGCAGCGTGTCCATGATATGATCTCGGAGGAGCTGGCGCGTCGGGGTGCTTCTGATGCTGCCGTTGTCGGCTGGGACGCGACCTTGACGGCCGGCGAGCTGGATGCGCTTTCGACGGCGCTGGCAGGTGAGCTTGTGGTGAGGGGTGTTGGTGCTAACGGGAGCAGGTTCGTTCCGTTTTGCTTTGAGAAGTCGGCATTTGCCATCGTGGCGATGCTGGCTGTGCTCAAGGCCGGCGCTGCGTTTGTTCCTCTGGATCCGGCGCACCCTGTCGGTCGGCTCAGGGAGATCGTTGGGGACTGTGGTGCCGACGTGGTCCTGTGCTCGCCGAAATACGAGAGCTTGTGTGCCGACGTCGTCCCAACAGTCATTCCAGTCGATATGGAGATGCTTAAGAAGCTCGAGGAAAAGACGACGTCGACGGTGATCTCGAAAGGTGCGTCCCGTTCTCTCTTTGTTTACTAAACCCCCTGAAAACCCTATTTGCTGCCCCTGAGTTAGCGAGGACCACATCCTGGAACCGGATGCTAATGGAAAGCAGCCTGCCAACCGAGCGACGCAGCATATGTAATTTTCACGTCTGGGACGACAGGAAAGCCAAAGGGAACAATCGGTGCGTATTTTTCTTTCCGCGTCCATTTCCAACAATGGTTCAGGTGCTGGGGTTTGTGTGATTTCCCTCCATGGCGTTCGTTCGCCAAGCATTACCCCACTACGGACCCTCTCATCTCGCACGCGGTTTGCAAACGGCCTTCCCTCCCCTCCCCTCCATCCACCATCACCACCACGCCTTCTGAGCATATCCTTCGCTTCCTCGGCTAGGATTTGTTTAGGCCAACCCCCAATATTTTATCTGTCTTTTTGACTTTTTTTTCTGTCAGCGAGAGTTGCAGCGGGAGTTGCAAAATGGTCAAACCATGGATGGGGCCGCGCTGCGCCTTTGACGCGTTTGCTTTGCTCGACTGGCAGTTGGAGATTCATCCAATAACCCCTCCATGACGACTTCAATTCCATGCACTCTCCAGAAGAGAATAATTTTCCCCTACCCGAGTCCGAGGTTCTCTCGTATCAACCGAATCACTCCCACTGACCGACATGCCCAGTTTCTCACACGGCCTTCTGCTCCGGTGCCGCCGCACACGGCCCGGTGATGCTCATGACACCCCCTTTCCGCTTCCTGCAATTCGCATCATACACCTTCGATGCCTCCTTGGTCGAAATCCTGACGACACTCATCTTTGGCGGCACCGTGTGCGTCCCCCAGGAGGAGGACCGCACCAACGGCAACATCTCTACCGTCATGGAGCAAATGGGCGTCACCATGACCCTACTTACGCCCTCGTTTGCCCGCGTTCTCGAGCCCTCAAGCGTCCCGCATCTCAAGACCCTGATCCTCGGAGGCGAAGCCATGGCCCAAAGCCATCTTGCCACTTGGGCCGGCAAAGTGAACTTGGTCAACGCCTATGGCCCGAGCGAGTGTGCTGTTGTTGCGACGGTGAATCCCAAGATGCGTCGCTCCTCGAACCCGGCCAACTTGGGAAGAGGCCTCGGCCGCTGCTGGATCGTGGATCCCCAAAACCACAACCGCCTCGCGCCCCTCGGCTCCATCGGTGAGCTGCTCGTTGAGGGCCCCACGCTCTCAGCCGGCTATCTCAAAAACGAATCGAAGACCCAAGAGGTCTTCATTGAGAATCCTCGCTGGGCGTCGGAGACAACATTGCGCTATCCGGACATGCCGTCGACAACACCGCGCCGTATGTACAAGACCGGCGACCTTGTCCGCGTATGCGACGACCTCTCCGGCGAAATGGTTTACATGGGCCGAAAAGACGCCTCGCAAGCCAAACTCAACGGCCAGCGACTGGAGCTTGACGAGATTGTCCACCACCTCGCCGCCGACGATGCCGTCCGTCACGCCGTTGTTGTCCTCCCCAAGAGCGGGCCTTGCGTCAAACGTCTGGTGGCTGTCCTCTCGCTTCGGGCAACCACCACCAACGGTGCTGGCAAGTTTGAGTTGGTGACTTCCAACGAGGCAGCTTCCGCCCTGGATCAAGTCCAGGACCGGCTGCGAGAAAAGCTTCCCGCATACATGGTTCCCTCAACCTGGATGGTCCTTCAAAACATTCCGCTACTGCCATCTGGGAAGCTTGACCGCAACAGTGTCGCTCGCTTCGTTGAGGGCATTTCCGAGGATACACTTGACAAGATTAACGGCGCTCGTGCTACTGGCCAAGCACAAGAGACCGGAAGCACCTCCCCCCAACGGTCGCTCCCCCTCGACGAGAGGCTCAAGTCCATCTGGAGCCAGGTTCTCAACATTACCCCCGAAAGGATTGGCCGGAATGTCTCCTTCCTTCACCTCGGAGGTGACAGCATCACCGCCATGCAGGTCATGGCGAAATGCCGAGCGCAGGGTATCCGCATTGCTGTGGCGGACATCATCAGCAGCAAGTCCGTTCATGACCTCGCACTGAAGGCCATCGTACCCAACGAGCAACAACAATCCGCCGCTACCACAATCGCTGGCGAAGATCAGCACGAGTTCGACCTGTCGCCCATTCAGCAGTTATACTTCCAGCTTATGTACGTGAGCGACAACAAGGGTTCCTCTACTAAGCCTCACGCGCAGTTCAACCAGAGCGTGCTACTGCGGCTAGCTAAGAACGCCACCTCCGATCAACTGGCGCGCGGTCTGCATGCCCTGGTCGAAACCCACTCGATGCTCCGGACACGGTTCCGGCGCGACGGCACTGGTAACTGGCGGCAGAGGATCACCTCGGACGTTAGCGGATCCTATCGTTTCAAGACGCACGTCATCGGGAACGCGAGCCGCATGGAGAAGCGTATCCAAAACTCCCAGGAGGCGCTCAACTTCCAGAAGGGGCCGCTAATGGCAGCGGACTGGTTCAGCGTCGGGAAGACCAACAGCGAGGTCTACGTCTTCATCACCGCCCACCACCTAGCCATCGACGTCGTGTCCTGGGGCATCCTGCTCCAAGACCTCGAGGACTTCCTCGCCAATGGCAACATAAAGCCTCCAACCTCGCTACCCTTCCAGACTTGGACCCGGAAACAATCGGAGAAGGCTCAGGCCGAGGAGAACGGGCCGTCCTTGCTCCCGCACCATGAGACCTCAGCTGCGGACCTCGAATACTGGGGCATGACCGGCATGCCTAACGTCCACGGGGACGCGATCCACGCCAGCGGCATCGAACTCGACAATGAAACAACAGCCCTACTTCTCGGCCCGAACTGCCACGCCCCGCTACAAACCGAGGTTCTCGACATCCTGCTGGCCGCCCTGTTGCTGTCATACCGCAAGGCATCGGGAGGTCGCCGCGGGGTGCCCACCATCTACAATGAGGGCCACGGCCGTGAGGTCTGGGACGATGCGATGGACCTGTCGCGCACCGTGGGATGGTTCACAACGCTGTATCCTGTCCACCTCCCGGATGAATCATCTTCTGGTAAGTTCCTTCTCACGAACAGCAACCCAAAAGCGTTTTGCTAACCGTGGCCTGCTAGACGACGAAATTGTCAGTGCTATCCGATGGGTCAAGGACTACCGGAAGCGCTTGGCCGGTAAAGGACGGCCCTACTTCGCCTATCGCCTTCTCACATCCGAAGGGCGTGAGGCGTATGACAGCGGTTGGCCAGTCGAGGTCGCGTTTAACTACCTCGGTCAGATGCAACAGCTCAACCGGGACGATACCTTCCTCCAGTCCTTCGACAACGGGCAAGGTGCCAACGCATCGTCCGACGTCGGCAAGGACGTGCCCCGCCTCGCGCTGGTTGAAGTCTCCGCCGTCGTTATCGGCGGGAAGATGACGCTGTCGTTCGCCTACAACAAACACATGAAGCATCAAGACTCCCTTGACAGATGGGTCGAAGAGTGTCAGTCTCTCCTGCAGGATGTCCCGCGGAGATTGATGCAGCACGCGCCCGAAAAGACACTCAGCGCATTCCCCCTCCTGCCCCTTGCCTACTACGGCCTGGAGAACCTCGATCAGAGACTCCAGGAAGTTGGCGTCAAACTACAAGACATCGAGGATGTCTATCCCTGCTCTCCCATGCAACGTGGTTTGCTCCTTAGCCAAATCCGCGACCCGGAAAAGTATGGTTACAAGGCCATCTTCCAGGTCGAGACCTTTGGAGCAGAAAACGTTGATGTAGAGCAGTTACGGGATGCATGGCAGTCCGTGGTCCGCCGGCACGCGACCTTGAGAACCATCTTTGTCGACACGGTGGGTGACGAAGGCTTGATGGACCAAGTGGTCCTCTGCAACGCCCTAGGGCGGGTCCAGATGCTCAAGTGTGACACGGACAATGACGCGGTGCAAAAGCTGCGAACATTGGACTGCATTGACTACAACGAGAAGAAACCGCCGCATCGCCTCTCCATCTGCGAAAGCAAGAGTGGCCATGTCTTCTGCCGGCTCGATATCAGCCACGCCATTTCCGACGGCTCTTCGATGCCGATTATCCTTGACGACTTGACCACGGCTTATGGCCATGGCATGAGCAGCAAACCGGTGCCCCTGTACCGTGACTACATCGCCTACACCCAGTCGCAACCCCGGAGCGAGAGCATTCGCCATTGGAAGGACTATCTGGGCGGTGCCGAGCCTTGTCTCTTCCCCGCGCTCGCGGATGGGGAGTCGGAAACGGAACCATCACTTGGTGCGCACGCCATCACTCTCGGCGGCATGTCCGAGATCAACGACTATTGCATGAACTCCGGCATCACCTTGTCCACCCTACTCCAGTTCGTGTGGGCTCTGGTCGTCCGATCATACACGGGCTCGGACGAAGTCCTCTTTGGATACCTGGCGTCGGGTCGAGACGTTCCCGTTGCCAACATCGAGCACGCCGTGGGCGCCTTCATCAACATGCTCGTCTGCCGTCTCCAGATCCCAGCCAATATCGAGGTTGGCGAGGCGCTCGACACCATGCAGACCGACCTCGCCGATGCCATGGCCCACCAGAGCTGCTCCCTTGCCGAAATGCAACATGAGATGAAGACATCGGGCGCAATGCTCTTCAACACCGGTTTCACATACCAGAAACGCACCGAGGCTGGTCGAGACCAAGCACAGCAATCCTCGCAGTCCACCCTACGATACCACGTCCTGGACGCCGAGGATCCCAGCGAGTACGCCGTTGCGGTCAACGTCGAAGCCACCAACAAGTCTGTCGAAGTCCATTTCAGCTACTGGAAAAACATCGTCTCGGACGCCCAAATCAAGAACGTTGCCGCCACCTTCGAGCAGGCTGTGAAGGACCTGATCGCCGATGGAGCGGACGATCGCACCGTGGGAGAATTGGACCTTGTCGGCCACGCGGGGATCGAGCAAATTACCTCCTGGAACGACTACGAACTGCCGCGCGTCGATCAGTGCGTGCACGATGTCATTGGGCAACATGCTCTTCGCCGTCCGGCCTCAACTCCAGCAGTGTGCGGTTGGGACGCATCGTTTACCTACCGCGAACTCGACAAGGCCGCTACCGTTCTGGCACGCCACTTGGTAGCCCAAGGCGGCGTTGGGCCCGAGGTCTTCGTTCCGCTGTGCTTCGACAAGTCAGCCTGGACCGTCGTCGCGCAGCTTGCGGTCCTGAAGGCCGGTGGTGCCTTTGTCAATCTTGATCCTAGCCATCCTAACAGCCGGCTGGAAAGTCTCATTCAAGATGTGGGCGCCAAGACCTTACTCTGCGCGCCGAAACACAAGGCGAAGATGGACCAGATCGCGGCCAACGTTTTCGTGGTTGACGCAGAGTCCATTCGAACCCTCAGCCAAGCCGCAGATGCTGCGCCGTTCACTTCGACAGCAAAGGCATCCAACCCGGCCTACGTCATCTTCACATCGGGGACGACAGGCAAGCCCAAGGGCACCGTTATCGAACACGGCGCCTTCTGTACTGGCGCGACCGCCCACGCCAAAGCCATGTTTATGCACGCCGAGTCGCGCGTCCTGCAGTTCGCCTCCTACACTTTCGATGCAAGCATCATGGAGACGCTCTCCTGTCTGCTCGTTGGCGGGTGCATCTGCGTACCTTCGGACGAGGACCGGATGAACGACGTTTCTGCCGTGATCCGCAACATGGGCGTCACTTGGACGCTGCTCACGCCATCCGTGGCGAGCACCGTCAAGCCCGAGAGTGTCCAATGCCTCCAGACCCTCGTCACGGGTGGAGAGGCCATGGCTGCCGGCCACATCGCTCGCTGGGGCACCCAATGCGCACTCGTCAACGCTTACGGGCCTACCGAGTGCTCCGTCGTCGCAACCACCAGCACCAAGGTTGACGAGTCCCGCCGTGTGTGCAACGCTGACCGCGCCGACATCGGTACTGCGGTTGGAGGCCGTGTCTGGGTCGTTGACGCGCAGAACCCCGATCGCCTCGTGCCCATCGGTGCGATGGGTGAGCTAGTGGTCGAAGGCCGATTGGTAGCACGCGGCTATCTCAACAACAAGGAACAGACCGACAAAGTCTTCATCCGGTCGCCGGAGTGGACGCAACACCCGAGCTTCCCCAAGTCCATGTGGTGCAACGAAGACAAGATGTACCGAACGGGTGATCTTGTGCGCTACAACTCGAACGGGTCCATCTCGTACATCTCCCGGAAGGATACCCAAATCAAGCTGAACGGCAGGCGCATTGAGCTAGGCGAGATCGAGTACCACTGCCGGACCGGCCTACCGGACGACGCACAATCTGCTGTGGAGGTGGTGCTGCCGGCCACCAGCCGCGCCACATCCAAGGCCCTCGCCGTCTTCTTCAGCCTCCCGAGCAACGCGTCGTCTACACCGACCTTCTCCCTCCTGCCGATCAATGAGTCAATCCGCAAACTCGCGCTCGCCATGGAAACCCATGTATCTACCAACCTCCCGTCTTACATGGTCCCCCAACTTTTCGTCCCCGTCTCGGCCATGCCATGGACAACCGCGGGCAAGCTTGACCGAAGACAGCTCCGCCAGGCACTCGAAGAAGCCAGTCGCGAGGTGGTGGCCGGGTACAGACTTTCCGCTGCCGCCGCCGCCGCCAAGAATCGGGGCCCCGCCACGGAGACGGAGAAGAAACTGCAGGGCCTGTGGGAAACTGTTCTTGGGCTCCCGGCCGGCTCTGTCGGTCCCGGGGACAGCTTCTTCCGCCTTGGTGGCGACTCTCTCACGGCTATGCGTCTGGTCGGGGCAGCGCGTGCCCACAAGATCGTGCTGACCGTGCTGGACGTCTTCGAGAAGCCCGTCCTCGCGGACATGGCACGGGCGTGTGGTGGTGCCGAGGTGGCGGTTGCTCCCACGCCGGAGTTGAAGCCGTTTGACCTGGTGTCGCGCCCCCGATCGGAGCTCGATGCGCTTATCGACGAGGTTTCTTCCCAATGCAAGCTCTCTGGCGACCAGATCCGCGACATGTATCCCTGCAGCCCGCTCCAGGAGGGCCTTGTTACCCTTGCAAGCAAGCAAGCAGGAGCATACGTCGCGGTGAACAGTTTGAGGCTTCCGGGTCATGTTGACTTGGACCAGTTCAAGGCGGCTTGGCAGGAAGTTGTCGACGAGACCGATGTTCTGCGCACCCGGATTGTGCATACTGCCACGTCGGGCTTCCTTCAGGTCGTGGTCGCACCGCAGCCGATCGATTGGCATGACGAGCCATCGCTGAAGGAGGCGGTCCTCAATGGCCAGGCACTCGGCTTACAGACCGGAGGTTCACTAGCCAGGTACGCTATCGTAGATGGCCCTGAAGGTCGTCTCTTCGTCTGGGGCATCCATCACGCTCTCTACGATGGATGGAGTCTTCGTCTGCTTGCGAGACGAGTCCAGGACATGTACAACAACATTGTCTCTGGGCCGCAGAAGACAATCGCAACGACCCGCGCTTCGTACGCCAACTTCATCCAGTACCTCGCGGCCAGAGATATGGTCGCCTCCGAAACCTTCTGGAAGAATTCCCTGGACGGCGCCTCCTCCATCGCGCACTTCCCGCAGCTCCCAGCCGCCATTCCGAACCAGACCGAGACCCCGAGCTTCAGATCGGAGATTCGCCGGGTTGATGTCCACCGCCGTGGCGTTCTCAGCGACATCACCGTCCCTACCTTGGTCCGGGCAACATGGGCCATTCTCCAGGCAGCCTACACCGGCATGGACGATGTTGTGTTTGGAGAGACGCTGGCTGGCCGCAACATTGATGTTCCTGCTGTTGTGGAAATGGCCGGGCCGACCTTTACCACAGTTCCGACGAGAGTACGACTGGACCGTGACATGCGTCTGGCCGATTTCCTCCAGCGCTTGCACAGCATGGCCAGCCAAGTCGTCCCTCACCAGCATTTGGGACTTCAGCACATCAAGAGGCTCAACTCGGACTGCTCAGGGGCCTGTGACTTCCAAAACCTTCTCGTCATCCAGACCGCGTCACCCACTTCCAGTCAGGAAGAGAAGTCCCAGGAGGCCGATTGGGACTTCCAAGGTGGTTCCTCGACCGAGAGCTTCTTCACCCATCCGCTTGTGGTGGAATGCACCACCACTGACACTGCGATCGAGGCCACATTCCACTACAACGAGAAGGTGCTCTCCTCTTGGCAAACAAAGCGGCTTGTCTATCAGTTCGACGCCGTACTGAAGCGTCTGCTTGAGAAATCCGCAAACAAGGACGCCACTCTGGCCGACATCCCAGCAATCAGCCCCGAAGACCAATCTCTCATCGCACGGTGGAACCGCTCCAACATGCTTGAGGCGGTCGATTCATGCATCCATCATCTTTTCCTCGCTCGCGCCTCTGAACAACCTGAACGGATCGGTATCAGCGCCTGGGATGCCGAGCTGACATACGGCCAGATCCGCGAATATGCGTCCCGTCTGGCACTCTACCTCAATCAGCATGGCGTCAAGCAGGAAACATTGGTACCCGTTTGTCTCGAGCGTTCGGCTTGGTCGGTTGTCATCCTAATGGGCATCTTCATGGCCGGCGGCGCCTTCATCCCACTGGATCCCGCGCACCCTTTGAGCCGGCAGAAGGAAGTCTTGGAGACTATCGAACCGGATCTCATAGTCTGCAGTCCGGAACACGCCTCTCGCTTCTCCGGCGTTGTCAACACGCGCCTCTCCGTTGACGGCGCCATGCTTCGCGACCTTCCTCGGTCCAACGGACGGGCGCCCCCTGTTGTCACCAACCCCAGCAACACAGCCTATGTGCTGTTCACGTCTGGCAGCACAGGGCGACCCAAGGGTGTTGTGGTTGCCCATCGAGACTTCTGTAGCAGCTCGGCTGCGTTCACTCGCGTGTGCAACATGGACGCGTCTTCGCGTGTCTTCCACTTCGCCTCCCTGACCTTCGATGCCGCGCTCCTGGAGGTCGTGACACCGCTCACGCTCGGCGCCTGCATCTGCGTTCCCACGGCACACGACCGTCTCCACGATCTGGGAACCGCCATGGCCCGCCTACGCACTACTTGGGCTTTCCTCACGCCGTCCGTCGCCAACCTCCTCAACCCGGATCTCGTCTGCCCGACATTCAAGACCCTTGTCTGCGGCGGCGAGGCCATGCTCGCCGAGACCATCCAGCGCTGGGCAGACCGCGTCGAGCTCATGAACGGCTACGGGCCCACCGAGACCTGTGTCTTTGCCGTTATCAACCCGCATGTGTCCAAGGAAAAAGACCACACCACCATCGGCCGCGGTACTCCGGCAGCACGGCTGTGGATTGTAGACCCTAACGAGGGCTGCAACGACCGGCTCGTGCCTGTTGGCGCCATCGGCGAGCTGGCCATTAGCGGGCCCCTCATGTCCCGCGGCTACCTCGGCGATTCCGAGAAAACAGCCAAGGTATTCGTCGACAACCCAGGCTGGGCAAGGAAAGAACTCCTTGGGGGCGCCACTCCGCCCACCCGCATCTACCGCACCGGCGACCTCGTGCGGTACCGCTCTGACGGCGCCATCGAGTTCTTTGGCCGCCGCGACGGGCAGGTTAAGGTCAACGGCCAGCGCATCGAGCTGGGCGACATCGAGAGCCACCTGTCAGCCGACCGCCATGTGCGTCTCGGCGCTGTTGTCCAGCCAAAGAAGGGTCCTTGCAAGAAGCAGCTCGTCGGCGTTGTTACCCTGACTAGCACACATCGTCCCGTTACCTCCGAGGGCACCGTCGCAATCGCACCGCTGGGTGGCTCGCGAGAGCAGATGACCCGGGTCCGCTCTGAGATTGCCGACATCCGGGCTCGTCTGGCCGATCTCCTCCCGCACTACATGGTTCCCGCCGCGTGGATCGTGCTCGAAACCATGCCGGTTGTTGTGTCGGGCAAATTGGACAGACGGAGAGTGGCCGGGTGGGTTGAGGGGCTTGAGGACGCCGAGTACGAGCGTATCGCGCAGAGCCTCGGTGTCAGCGCAGGAGAAGAGGATGAGGAAGAGGAGACTGAAGTGACTGGGCCTGTCAAGACTTTGAGAGAGATCTGGGCGAAGGAGTTGAACCTGCCCGTGGAGCGCATCAAGCTCAATCAGCCGTTCCTTGGTCTCGGTAGGTTTCTTTCACGGGAGGTTGTTGTGCGAAAACTGATGGGCTAACTTGTGCACAGGCGGAGACAGCATCAGGGCCATGGGCGTCGTCTCGCGGGCTCGCAACGCAAAGATCAAGCTATCCATCCAGGACGTGCTCCGGTGCAAGTCCATCGTCCACCTCACCCAGCTCGCCAAGGGTCTTCCTTCATCCGCACCCGCGACTATTCACAAGGAGGAGGGAACCGAACAGCCATTCGCACTGTCCCCCGTCCAAACCATGTATATGAAATCGGCCGTCAAGCATGCCGGTGTCGCTCGCTTCAACCAAAGCTTTACCCTGGGTGTTCCCCGTCGGGTTACTGCCGAGACCATCAAGAAGGCCATCAATTCTGTCGTTGAGCGACACGCCATGCTTCGCGCGCGCTTCTCCAGAACGCAAGATGGCAGATGGGAACAGCGAATCTCAAAGGTGAGCTTGCATCTCTTTCCGTTCCCCTTACCGTACGATGGACGAGTATTAATGCGTGCTTAGATGGGCCCTTCCACTTACGCCTGCCTTGAACACCATCTGCACTCTCGCGATGAGATGACTGCCATCCTGGCAACAGCACAGGCCAGCCTATCCGTCGAACACGGCCCTGTATTTAGAGCCGACCTGTTCGACGTGGCCGGTCATGACCTCACCATCATCTCCATGGTTGCTCACCATCTCTGCATCGATATGGTTTCTTGGCGCATCATCGTCCAGGACCTCGGCCAGATTTTGGAGACCGGCTCCCTCCCAGCTGAGATGCCTCTGTCTTTCCGGTCCTGGTGTGCCCAACAGTCCGCGGACAACCGGACAGCCGATGTCAAGAAGCTCCTCCCATTCAAGGAGAGCTCGCCTAACCTGGCCTACTGGAAGACCCAGGGTCCACTCACATACGGCAAGACCACCACTGATGCATTCACCCTGGAAGCGGGTACGACAAAGCTCGCCCTAGGAGAGTCCCACTACGCCTTCAGGTCCGAGCCGGTGGACCTTTTCCTCGCGGCTATTGCCCACGCATTCGCGAGGACGTTCCCGGACAGGGGTGTGCCGACACTGCACGTCGAGAGTCACGGCCGTGAGGCCCCCGAGGGCTCCAACCTTGACCTGTCGCGGACAGTCGGTTGGTTCACCACAATCTGCCCCGTTGCCGTCCCTGACCATGCCCGTCACCATAATGCCCTCGACACCCTACGACGGATCAAGGATGTACGACGCAGCATCCCAGGCCACGGCAGGCCGTACTTCGCCCACAAGTACCTTGGAGCGGCCTCTGGCGACACGTGGTCTCCGATGGAAGTCCTATTCAACTACCTAGGTGGTGGGGTAGGTGCGCAGCAAAACGAGCAAGACGATTCCGTCGTCCGCCAGGTCGATCTCGAGGACGACGACCTAAGCGCTGCAGATGTCGGATCCGAGACCAGGAGGCTGGCTCTGTTTGAGATCTCTGCCATGGTTGTTGACAACAAGCTGCACTTCAGCTTCATGTACGACAGCAGCCTCGACCGGGCAGGCGATGTCCGCCAATGGATCAGCGGTTTCCGACACACTCTCGAAGATATGGTCAGGAGTCTCGCTCAACACGCCGCCGAGCCCACTCTGAGCGACTATCCACTGCTGCCAATGACATACCACTCCCTCCGCACCCTCACCGAGGTTGCTATCCCACGTGTTGGTATCGACCGCGCCTCCTCTTTCTCCCAGATTGAGGACATCTACCCATGCACGCCGGTCCAGGAGGGTATGCTGATCAGCCAACTGCGCAACCCGGAGGCCTACATCTTCCACGCGGTCTACAAACTCACACACTCGAACCCCGGTCATCACCTGGACGCCGAGAAGCTTGTACGGGCTTGGCAGAAGGTGGTGGACCGTCACGCCGCCCTCAGAACCGTCTTCATCGAGAGTGTCCGCCGCGGTGGCGTCTTCGATCAAGTTGTCTTGAAGAAGGTTGACTGTGGAGCCGTTCTCCTCAACAGCAGCGACCAGGACGCGATGAAGAAACTCGGTCAAGTCACCCTTGCAAAGGCTAAACGGCCGCAACTCGCCCATCGACTCGCGCTCTGCACGACAAGCAGCGGGAAGGTTCTCCTGAAACTCGAAGTCAACCACGCCGCCATGGATGGTGGCTCGCTTGCAATCATCCTCGAGGAGCTGACATCGGGCTACATGGGCGGTCTCACCAGTATCCCTGGCCCCTTGTACAGCGACTATGTCCAGTATATCTGTGCCATGCCGGCTGGAGCTGACAGCGATTACTGGATGGGTTATCTGAAGGACCTGGAACCGTGCTACTTCCCCAACCTCAACAGCAGCACGATCACCCTTGTTCCCGAGAGCAGGAAGTTGTGCTCGACAGCTCTCGAGTTCAACCGCTACGCCGAGCTCCGTCAGCTCTCCGAGCGCACACACGTCACGCTCGCCAACATCATGCACGCAGCATGGGCCTTTGTGCTGCGCAAGTACACTGCGTGTGACGATGTCTGCTTCGGCTACCTCACAGCAGGCCGTGACGCCCCAGTAGAGAACATCAGCCGCACCGTCGGCACACTCATCAACATGCTCTGCTGCCGTGTCAAACTCTCGAAGTCCAAATCACTCGAGAGTGTTTTCATGATGGCGCAGGAGGAACACCTCCAGAGCATTCAATTCCAGCACTGCTCCCTGGCGCGTGTGCAGCACGAGCTGGGCATGGCAGGGAAGCCACTGTACAACACTTCGGTTTCGATCCAAAATCATGCGGAGAGTGGAGAGGGAGAGGGGGAGGACACCATTCTTTTCGACATGGAAAAGGCTCATGACCCTAGCGAGGTAAGTTGCGACTATGGTCCTTGTTCTACTAATTCACCGGGAGTTTGCTAACGGGTTTCGCAGTACGCCATCACGGTCAACATCGAAGTTTCAAAGAACAGCGAGGGTGTCGTGTTCCGATACTGGTCTGACCATGTCAGCGATGAACAAGCCCAGGAAGTGGCTCGCTGCATGGCGCGAGTCTTGGATGCCTTCATCACGCAACCCGCGCAGACCGTTAGGGAGTTGGACTCGACACTCAACGGCAAGACGACAATCGCTCACCAACCAACTGAGGACCTGGTGATCGACCCGATGGAAGAAGGCCCGGGTGTGATGACACCGAGAAGCATGGACTCATCATCGTCTGGAAATTCTCCCAGGACACCCAACAACGAGCTAGTTGACCAGGGTGCCTACGAAAAGACACTCCTCTCAATGTGGAGCACTCTCCTCGACCTTCCTGAAGATACCATCGCTGGGCACGACAGCTTCTTCGACCTCGGAGGAGACAGCATCACGGCCATGAAACTCGCTGGCGAGGCCAGGGATCATGGTCTATCGCTCACCGTCGCCGACGTGTTCCGGAACCCATGCTTTGACGCCATGGTCGCCCGAATCCGGGCCACAACCGATCTACACGCCATGGGCAGCGACCTGGTCAAGAGCAATAGCGGGACCATGACTCCTCAATCCAGCAATGGCGACCTCTACGAACGGTTCTCACTCCTGGCGGCGTCAAACGTCGACGCCTTCCTACAAGCCAGCATCGTCCCCCAGGTTTGTGTCTTCAGGGGTGGCATTTCGGACGTCCTTCCCGCCACCGACTTCCAGTCACTCGCTGTTGCCGGCGCGCTCCTCGAGTCCAGGTGGATGCTGAACTACTTCTACCTCGACGGCAAGGGACCTCTGAACGTCGTTCACCTCAAGCGGGCCTGCTTCCGACTGGTGCAGGCACTGGACATTCTGCGCACCGTCTTTGTACCTTCCGGCGGTCGCTTCCTGCAGGTCGTACTACGCACTCTTCGGCCTGCTTTCCACGTCGTTGAGACAGAGGAGTCACTCGATGACTTCCAAGTCGGACAAGAAGGGGGTGAACCCAAACTCGGCGAACCATTTGTCGAGTTCACGGTAGTCAAGCACCTTTCCAGCAGCCGGCACAGGCTATACCTTCGCATTTCGCACGCCCAGTACGACGGCGTGTGCTTCCCCAAGATTCTCGCCGCCCTCCAGGCCGCATACAGGGGCGAGGCTGTTCCCCGTCCACCCACGTTCGCCAACTATCTCCGTGCTTCGGCCGGCGCCCTGACATCGGAACACTACCAGCACTGGAAACAACTCCTCGCCGGGTCTTCCATGACCGAGATCGTGCGCCGCGATGGGCCAAACTACAACAGGAACTCGGCGGGCACGACTACCACATGCCTCAAGAAGACAGTCCGTCTGCCGCCAGTCGAGTCCGGCCACATCACCACCGCCACTGTCGTTAAAGCTGCGTGGGCATATGTGCTGGCACAGGTCTCGGCCAGCTCTGACATCGTCTTCGGTCACACCATCAGCGGGCGCAACGCCGCGGTCGAAGGCGTCGGCAACATGGTCGGACCCTGCCTCAACCTAGTGCCGGTGCGCGTGCAATTCGGCAGTGGGCCAGACTGGACGGCTCGCCAACTCCTCCGCCAGGTCCAGGACCAGCAGGTCGCCAACATGTCACACGAAGTGCTGGGCTTCCGCGAGATCATCCGCCACTGCACCTCGTGGCCGCGCTGGACCTACTTCGCCTCGACGGTCCAACACCAAAACGTCGACCAAGGCGGCCAACTGCAGCTAGGCGACACCGACTACAAGGTCGGGTGTGCGTCGGTAGCGCAAGAGGACTTTGGCGATCTGTCAGTCCTCTCGCAGCCGCTTGCCGACAACGACACGTACGAGATCATCCTGAGCTTTGCCGAAGGCGGAGCCGTTCCGCGCGACTTTGCCGAGCGCATGCTCGACATGCTCTGCAGCACCGCGCAGCTCTTTGCTACCGACCCGGACCTGGCCCTGCCCTCCGCCGCCGATCTCCGCGGCAGGCGGCAGCAGACGCCATTTGATGACGTCCCGGCCTTCTCCGACACGGAGAACATCAACAACAACAACCTAGGCTTGGAAACTACCAGCCTGAAACACCTCAGTGACGACCAGCTCACGGATCTCACTGCAACCGTCAGCTCGGCATGGCGTCAAGTCCTAAACCTGGACCCCGAACAACAACAACAAGAAACAACAACCACCCCAGCCGAAACCGAAGAAGCGAACCCCTTCGACAGGGAGACCTCCTTCTTCGACCTCGGCGGCGACATCATCGGGCTCGCGCAGCTGGCCTGGCTGCTCGCCCAACAAAAGCAGGGCGGCTCGTCGGCGGCCCCGCGCCTCGAGGAGCTGGTCGACAACCCGACCGTGGGCGGGCACATGGCCCTACTCGCGCGGGGCCTCCCGGCGGCTGCCGCTTTGGCGCCGCCGTTGCCTCTTGCTGGTAGTGGTGGGGATGTGCAGAAGGCGGCGACTTTTCCCCTAGTGGTGGTGGGGCAGAAGATGGGTGGGAAGGGGGAGGCGCCGTCGAAGTTGGTGAAGGCTTTGAATGGGTTGGTGAAGAGGAGGTTTACGGGAGGGAAGAAGAAGGGGGGCGTGGTGGAGATTGTTGCTTAGGAGGATTGTGCCTAATCAGGGTGCGCGTGTGATGGATGCGGTGATGGAATTCTTCTTTTGTAGGGTGGTTTGATTCAGGAGTTGGCGGCGGCGTTTTGGTTGACTAGGTGGTTTCTGTATTTGGCGTTTGTGCTTTATGCTAGTGTTTGGTTCGACCTCGATTTGGCGTCTGTGCTGGTGTTTGGTTTGACTTCACTCAGTATCTGTCTTGTCTGCTGTTCCCTTTGTTTTTAGTCACTAGACACAAGAAGTTTTTATATCATACTGTACTGTTACGTCCTCTTCTTGGTGGTTGTGATTCGGTAGTGACCACGCCCCCTTACCATGGCCGCGTCATCTTCCACCATTTTTCGTAACCTCATCTTCTATTTAGCAACAGCATTGAGGGCATCCCCGGCGACTTCATCTTGGGGCATTCCTTCATCGGACTAGCCTTCTTGCTCCTTCCTTTCCGGGTCAACTCGCTCTCCTTACTAGGGTCTAGCATGTGTCCTCTGAAACCATTTCTCCACTTCCCTGGCCTAGTGTCGTCGCCGACGCTGGTGGAGTTTTGATCCATATTAGCGCAGGTCTCGACTCGAGACCACTGGAACTATCTCGGTAAACAACAAAGAGTTATCTCCATCAAGGTAGGAGTCGCAGGAGGACACACACAAGACGGATGTGGAGGAGCACGTGAGGAGTATGTACTACCCGTGCCACGCATTTCTGGCCCCCAAGCTGACTCCCGTCAGCAAAGTCAACAGAGATCAGCCATTTGTCACACCCACCCTTCGCCATGGGAAATTGGTTTGGCAGAGTAGGATTGGCTGCTGCTTTGTCTCGGGCAGCTTCGACTGGCCATTCAAGTTTACAGGCCCGAATTCGTGTGACATAAACTTCGAAGAACGCGATGGAGGAATCGAAGTTTCGCACTCAATTCCGAAGCAGCCGGGGGCAACGAAGCAACATCTCCCCTCACGCCATCGCCAGCTCGGGCATTATACAAGTCTTCCAGGTCCGTGATGGACACTCGGGTCTTGAAACAATGGAATTCGCGAATTCACCAAGCAAACGCTCCCCAGCCACGTGCCAGCATTTCGTCCACTACACTAATTATAAAGCCGGTAGTGGCGGAGTTGTTGAATCCGCTCCGCCCAGCCAAGCATGACGCGGAAGCAACTTCGCTAAGCCCTGAGAATGTACCACGGATCGCAATCCCTGTCGCATCTCGACCAACATGGGAAGTTTCGTGGTTTCCACTCAATGGAGAACCCTCGATCGATGGATGCCTTAGAGGGAATCCATCCACGCGTCGAGTGGATGGACGCGTACGTCGACAGCGACATGGGCACTCCATGAGCCTCACCAACGCCATTATGCGTCTCTGGAAGGGGCTGAAGCCAGCCTCAAGTCCTCGACCACAGCCATACTTAACCGGTTAACCCAAGTCCATCTAATATCGAGATTCCCATCACCTTCGGACAACTGTTACTCGTAAACCCCCCATCTCAACTAACACTAACACCGACCAATGATGCGTCTCCCGGCCCCCTCTTGGACCTTCTGGTCCACGGCCCTCCTCTTCACCACCCCCACCACAGCCTTCCTCCCCCTCCGCACCCGCCAAGCCGAGGACATCGCCGCGGCCTTCGACTGGGCCTCCATCACGCCCACGCCCGACTTGCAGTACCATCCCTGCTATGACACCTTCCAGTGCGCCCGGCTGCGCGTGCCGCTGGACTGGTCCAAGGAGGCCGGCTCCAACGCCTCCTCCTTCTCGTCCTCCTCGCCGGGCCCCTACGCCGCCATCGCCATCGTCACCCTGCCCGCCACGGTCCCCGTCACCGACCCGGCCTATGCCGGGCCCATCCTGATCAACCCCGGCGGGCCGGCCGGCTCGGGCACCGACATGGCCCTGGGCCTGGCCACCGTCATGCAAGGGCTGGTCGACGTCCCCGGCGTGCGCCACTACGACCTGCTCGGCTTCGACCCCCGCGGCGTCAGGCTCAGCACCCCGAGCGGCTCGTGCTATGCCAGCCAGTTTAACCGGGCTATGGATGCGGTCGCGCTGCGCGGGATGCCGACCGCGCTGAGCGAGCAGGGCTTGCAGATGCGGTTTGGTATGAACCGGGCTGTGGGCGAGTTGTGTGATGGGGACGTGTTTCGGCATCTGTCGACTGCGTCCGTGGCGAGGGATATGCTGGAGATTGTGGACCGGAGTCATGAGCTGGTCGTGAAGGCTAAGGGTGCTGCCGGTTCGAATTCGACCGCGAGCGCTTGTGGAGGGAACGGGGAGAAGCCGAGGCTGCAGTACATGGGCTTTTCGTATGGGACTTTCTTGGGGAACACGTTTGCTTCCATGTTTCCGGGGAGGGTTGGCAGAATGCTGGTGGATGGGGTTGTTGATGGCGCGGACTACACGGCGGGGGTAAGTCTTAAGCGATGGAGTTCTCGCGTGTTGCACTGCGATGGAAAACTAACGGACGCAGACCTGGGAGAAGAACATCGGGGACGCCGACGCTTCGGTCGACATCTTTTACCGCACCTGCTTTGATTCCGAGGCCTCCTGCCCGCTCCGCCAGAGCAGCGATACTAGCTTCACCGATATCCGCACCCGCGTCGACGCCCTCCTTAGTAGCCTCCGGGAAGCCCCTGTCATGACTGTCTACAACGACCGTGTCTACACCATGACCTCCTACCTCCTAGGCGAAAAGATCCGTACCTCCCTCTACGCGCCTATCCAGAACTACGAGCCCCTCGCCATCTCCCTCGCCGAAGCTCTCGTAGGCAACTTCAGCTCGATCCTTGCCGACCAGGTTGTCATGGGCTTCGACCTCCCCTCCAGCGTCTGCACCGAAAGCTCCGCCAGCGACCCCGCCGACCCGCCGCAGGAGTACAACTTCGCCAGCGAGGTCTCGAGAGGCATCATCTGCGGCGACTCGCAAGCCTCCGCCGGCGAGCGCGACCTCGCCTGGGCTGCCGACACCGTCGCCCGCATCACCAACCAGTCTTCCACCATCGGCGAGGCCTGGACCAACATCCCGCTCGCGTGCGCCGACTGGCCGTTCACACCGCCGTACGCCTTCGCCGGACCGTTCGGTAGCAAGGCGCCCGATAACAGCAGCAACACCCCCGCTGCGCCGCTGCTGATCTTGTCCACCAAGACGGACCACGCCACGCCGCTGGAGAACGCCTACTCGCTATCGCGGCTGCATGAGGGCTCGTCGGTCGCCATGGTTGATGCGGTGGGCCATTGTGCGCTGCTGGCTACCACGAGCTCGTGCATCTATGGTATTGTGCAGGAGTACTTCCACACGGGTAAAGTGCCTGTGAACGGGACGGTTTGCGAGGCCGAGTGTGTGCCGGAGATTCCGTTCAAGGCTTGCCCTGGGTTACCGTAAGGGATGGAAAGGTCGGGGATAATAGTGAATAACAGGAAAAAGTAGTTGCAATATCGGGAGGGATGGAGAACATGGACAAGAAGAGCTGTCATGGTCGGTCGATCCCGCTCAGGCATTCGATTCGCGCAAAATGTTTTATTAAAATAGAAATAAGCTCATTCCAGAGATTGTGTAATTATTCAATAATAGTGGCTGGTCATAACGCTATTATATCAACTATTAACGTACCGAAATATCAGCATGCGTAGGAGCATATAGATCATGGAATTAAACAAGATCTAAATACTCCAAATACTGGTATTGCGAACTCATAGGTATTAGATGTTAGCTTCGTGGCGCAGAATGTGGGAATCAAGACGAGGACAAAACCACAATTCCAAGCACCCCGCGATAAAATATCCCAACTAGCACGAAACTTCACAATGTTTGTACCTCTATGCCACTTGCCCATGAGTTTATATCCCCCTATCCCTTATGTTCGCTGTTAGCAAATAAGCATGCCTATCTTCGTATACAAGGAACTAAGACCCCAACATAAAATAGCATCCACCCTATTCCCAAGTCAGGGAGGCAGAACGCTTTCGTACAATCACTTAACGACAAATATGTACGGGCCTCGCCTTACTGCTGTTTATTTATTATCCATAACCTTCACTCAGTACACATCACCTCGAATCAACTCCAGCCCATTACAGGGGAAGCTGGACTTGTTTGATGTTCCTTTTGACTACAGCAGTAAGTTCACTACCCAGGCGTCTATTCTCGTTCACGAGTTCCCCCATCTTCGCTAACACTTTACGCCCTGTCCAGCCTACTAAACTACCCTGAACAACCCTACCATGTGCACGACCATTAGCTATCACACCAAAACGAGGCGTGCCTCGTGCGGCACCATCACTGAGACCAAGAAGCCTCGCAGGGTGCACCTCCAAGTGTGGCCCGGTCAAATAAGGCGAGAGCTTGGCCACAGTATCGTGAACGAGAGACGGGTTGTCACTCCCCATAGAATGGGGTAAAGTCTTGCAGGGTTACAGTAATAGAGAAAGGAGAAAAATACGAGTCCCTAGCCCCGGTGTTCAGTGGCGGGTTACTCAAGCGGCGTGCAAGTCAATACTCCTCCAGTGATAAGCAGTGGGTTGAGGATTCACTCCAAAACTGACTAATGCCTTCATGGTCGACAAGCAAGGCGGTGTTCATGTATGGGTTTTATTAGCCGCAGTGAAGGATTCTTCCTAAAGTACCTTGCAGATATTTATTACCTCACAGTCAGACTTAGCGTGTTCGCCGACGCGACCCAACATGCCATGTGAGTAATAGGTCGGGCGATCATTCTGAGAGGTGGACTTTATAACCGCGTCCCAGAGTCGATGAGGGGTCCCCTTCTGGCAACAACTTCTCATCAGCCACTCATCCTATTAACGAGACATCCCCCGTTTTCATCCAACACCACAATCTGACCATCTCCCAAACACCCACCCACCATGTCTGACAACACCAACACCAACCCCGACCCCCAACCGCCGCAAACCGCCTTCGGCCCCCCCAACCGCTACGTCACCACCCACGACCCCGCAACCCGCCAGGCCGTCTTCACCACCGCCCTCCCCTCCCCGGTCCTAGGGTCCGGCATTCCCGGCACGCCCGGCGTAGCCATCTTCGACGCCTACAAAACCGTGGTCAGCCCCGTCATCATCACCAACGAAGCAGACCTCAACGCCATCAAATCCCCATCCCAGCTCCCTCCTCCTTCAGACACCACCACCACCACCACCACCACCACCACCACCACCCCCACCCCCGGCACAGACTCCGATGCACCATGGTTCCCCGCCCCGCACCAAACCCTCCTCCGCTACACCGACTGGGCTCCCGGCGCGTCGGCGGAACTGCACCGCACCGAGACGCTGGATATGGGGGTGGTGGTGGCGGGGAGCATGGAGGTGCGGCTGGATTCCGGGGAGACGAGGATCCTGAAGGTGGGGGACACCATCGTGCAGCGGGGCACGATGCACGCGTGGCGGAATCCGAGCCAGACGGAGTGGGCGCGGATGGTGGTGTTTTTGGTGGGGGCGGAGGAGGTGTTGGTTGGGGGGGTGCCCGTGGGGGGGGCGATGGGTTAGTTACATGTAGGGGAGGTGGTTTGGGTTATTTGGGGAGGGAGGAGGGGGAGGGAGAGGGGAAAGGAGGAGGGGGGGGGAAGGGGGGGGGGAAGAGGGGAGGGAAGAGGGGTGTCTGTCCAGGGTATGAGCTTGAGGCGGATCGGGCACAATATGAACTGAGATATGCGGCACGAAGCGTGTGAACGTGAACGTCGAATTCCTTCCCCGTCTATCTGCCTGAAGCCCTATGCTTCTTCTATGCGTGCCCTGCCTGATATGCTTGGTATCTAACAATTAAAAAAAAGTTCCTACCCAATTATGCTATGCAATGCTCCTCAAGCGACCGTCTTCTCGTCCGACTTGCGGCTCTTGAACAACCCCTTGACCCCGGCGATAACCTTGTCGACAGCGTTGAAGAGGGGACCGAAGCCGAAAGTCATGCCCTTGATGCGGACAGTGTAAATAAAGAAATAAACAAGCCTAGTTGTACTGTTAGTGTCTGATCCAGAAGCCATCTTGGTTAGGCACTCAAAAACTTACATCCAGTTGGTGACGCAGAAGACCAGGAAGATGCCAAAGTTGCGCCACTTGGTGTCGGGCGAGATGCCGAGCGTCTCCAGGTACTCGGAGCCGTCGACGTACGGGCAGTAGCCGCAGTTGGCCGTGTCCTCGGGGTTCATCAGGTACCCACGCCCCGCCTCGCGCACGAAGTTGTTGGCGAACTCGAAGCAGGTCTGGCCGGAGGGCGGGTTGAAGTAGGCCGCCTCATGGGGAGCGCAGTTGACGGTCCGGGCGGCCAGAGTGGCGGACAGAACACCCGAGACCCAGTACGAGCTGGGGTTGAGCCAGTAGAGCTGGGAGATGTTAGTTATTATTCACCCTGTGACCCGGAAAGATATTAAGGGACTTACCCAGTACTTCCAGAAGACGTTCATCTGGGTGTACGGCACCACGACACCGTTGAACAAACAGAAGATAACCAAGAAACACGGCAGGATGTTGCTAATGACGGTGAAGCTGGGCGCCCAGGCACAGATCCACTGACCCCAGCTGGACTGGAACAGGAAGAACAGAAGCGTCATGAGGAAGACATAGCCCGCGGAGGGCGCGTCGTACGGCAGGCCCGTGGGAAGGTACCACAGCAGCCAGTACAGCACGGCGGCGACCAGCGAGCCGGGGATCTCGGAGAGCACCTCGGCGGTGCAGAAAGCGACCCAGCCGTAGATACGCGAGGGGTGTTCGCGGGCCTGCCACAGGGCGAGGTTGGTGAAGAACTTGGGCAGCACAGCGTTTAAGACCTGTTGTGGCTGTTAGCTCCCCGCCGTGGATAAATACAACGAATGGACTTACAGTAGCAGGAATCATGATGATCAAGAAGCTCGAGAACATGGCGTTCTGGAGATCCGCCGCGGTGTTGCCAAGTTTCCAAAAGGTGAAGCCGTTGAAGATGCCGATGACAACGGCCGTGAACAGGCGGCCGTAGATGTAGGACGGATCGCGCCACTGGCGGACAAACATGCGTTTCGTGACGAGAGTGATCTGGGTCATGACGGGGGCGGCGAACTCGTGGAGGACTTCGGGAGATGTCTCGGTGGACTGGGCGGCGGTGGCGGCGACGGCCTTGGTGCGCTCAGCCTTCAGCTCCTGGATCTCGGCGAGCATGGCCTTGTTCTCGGGCGACCCGCGCCACTCGTTGGGCCAGTTGATGCGCGTGCCGTCGGGGCGGCGGCCACCCTTGATGGCGGTCTCGAGGAGGAACTCGGCGACGTTGCGACCAGGAGGGCAGTGCACGCCCCGGTCGGCGAAGTACTGTACCACAGCGCTACCATCCTGGCCGACGGGGCCAAAATAGATGGTGTTGCCGCCAGGGTTGAGAGCGAGGATCTTGTCGAACTCCTGGATCAGGTCGGACGACGGCTGGTGGATGGTGCAGATGATGGCTTGGCCGGCGGCGCACAGCTTGCGGAGGAAACGGACGATGGAGAAGGCGGATTGGGCGTCGAGGCCGCTAGTGGGCTCGTCGAGGAACAGAAGCAGAGCGGGTCTGGCGGCAAGTTCGACGCCTATGGTGAGGCGCTTCTTGTGTTCTACACCGAGAGAGCTGATGATGGCGTCCTGGATCTCGTTGAGCTCAAGCAAGTCGAGGACCCTGTCGACGTAATCCAGCTTCTCCTGGCGCGGGATGTCGCGACTCTGGCGGAGAAGGGCCGAGAACTCGATGGCCTCCCGAACAGTGGCGCTCTCCTCGTGCAAGTCCATCTGCTCGACGAAACCGGTGCTGCGCTGGAAGTCGCTGCCTAGGGGCTTGCCGTCAACGAGCATGTTGCCGCCCACTACACCGACGGTCTGGCGCTGCGACAGAGTGTTGAGCAACGTGGTCTTGCCGGCGCCGCTGGCTCCCATGAGGGCGACCATGACTCCAGGCTTGGCATAACCGTTGACACCGTTGAGCAGACGCTTAGGGCCGTCCGGAGTTGGTACCGTGTAGGTCACGTCCTCCCAGGTGAAGACCCTATCGCTTCCCGTGAGCCCCTTGAAGGCACGGTCTTCGGCACTGGACGTCACTTCGCTAGACGAAGAGTTCCCAGAGACGTTGCCCTTCTCTTCGTCGGCGGTGGTTGGCTTGATCTGCTTGGCTGTCCGCTTGGACCCCTTGAAGACGAGGGCGCCGCCGCCTGAACCGCCAAAGGACATGACCTCGGTGGCTATAACGGTGACAAGGAGGTACAGAACCGAGAAGGCGATGACGACACCGAAGTTGCGCCAGAGATTAGCCCGGCTGTAGCCAAACTGAATGCCGACGTAGTCATCTCCCAGCACGTTGGTAGTTCCCGTCCCAGCTCCTGGGACCGCACAACCCTGGTTCTCGGGCAGAATGCCAGGCCCCTGCGGCACCAAGTTGGCAGGGGCACATTCCATCAGGCGGTTGTGGAACTCGCTGGACATGACACCCTCGAAAGAGTAGCTGAGCTGTGTGGGAGTTAGCCCTGACGTTTCAACACGGGTACAGAACCTTTTAGAGTGGGGGAGCACTTACCGGGTTGATGTGTGCAATCCAACCGAACCAGATCTTCTGCGATAGCAGAACGGGCTTGGAGATGACGTAGCCGGTGTAGATGACCAGCAGGTTCAGGGCCATACCGGAAAAGCGCACAGCATCATCCATGGACGGCGACATGGCCGCCAGCATGCGGTACAGGGCCGTGATGCAGAAGGTGGTCGTGTACATGAACAGAAGCTGGATGAAGAACTTGCCGGGGTCCAGGTCGAGGCCAGTCATGAAGAACAAGAGGATCCCGAAGATGACTACCTGCGCGACGAGGACGGGCAGGTCCACGAGAGCGCGGGCGAGGGTGACGGCGCTGGGCCGGTAGAAAGCGTATTCCTTGTGGCGAGCGACGATGGCGCGGCCGGAGACGGCCTTCATAAGCTCAGCGAGCTGCAGCCAGCCGAGGAAGACGATGGCGAAGAAGATGGCACCGCCGCGCGCGAAGCTGCCGATGGTGGAAGCGGGAGAGTTGTAAAAGAGGGAACCGACGATGAGACCGTTGCTGATGATAGTGAAGTACTTGGAGTAGAGCTCTGTCTTGTTGCCCCAGATGAGCCAGAGCTCACGGAGCGCGCAGGCCAGGACCTGCTTCCAGAAGGGGATGGTATAGTTGGAGCCCGGCATCACGCGCTTGGACTTTTGCTCCTTCACCGAGTCCTTGAACGTCTGCATGTCGGCGTGACCGGTCTTCTCGAGGTGCTGCTCGAAGTCGCGGACATCAGCAAGGAGCTTCTGGTAGGTGGTGCTCTCCCGGAAAGCCTTTTCGAGCTCTTCGGCCGTCTTGGGGCAACGGGCCTCCCACCCCTCGCGGAATTGCCTCGAGGCAACGTCGCAGATGGAAGTGAGGAAATCGGGAGTCGTCTGTCGCGGCGGTGCGTAGAATCCGAGGTCCTCAAAGTACTTGCGCGCCTCCTTGGCAGGCCCCTGGTAGAGCATGCGGCCCTGGTCAATGACCATGACCTTGTCCATAAGCTCGTAGATGCCCTCGCCGGCCTGGTACAGGGTGGTGAGGGTGGTCCGGTCCGAGACATCGGTCATGATGCGCAGCGACTTGGCGTAGTCGAGTGCGGTCGACGCGTCGAGACCCCTGGTGGAGTTGTCCCAGCAAACAATGGTGCTCTTCGTGGCAAGGGTCTCGGCAATGCTGACACGCTTCCTCTCTCCTCCGGAAACGCCGCGGACGTAGGCATTTCCGACGACGGTGTTCTCGGTGTGCTTGATGGCAAACATGCGCAACAGCGCGTCGATGATGGTTCCGACGTCGCCCCTGAGGTTCTTCCTCGTCTTGTTAAGAAGGGAAAACCTGAGGGTCTGCCCGACCGTCAGAGTGGGCATGTGCTGGTCATCCTCGGCGTTGTAGACCACCTCGCCACGGTACCGCTTGCGGGCCTCGTCAGCGGGAATGCCGCTGTACGACACGTCACCCTCGACAGCAGCATATGATTCCCTATCGTTGGCGATAACCTTGAGGAAGGTGCTACACCCGCTTCCGGGCCGTCCAAGCACCATCATCATCTCGCCATGGCGCACAACACCGGTGAAGTCGTTAAGGAGGGTCCGGAGCTCGCCGCCGTGGCCGATGCGCAGCGCCGGGATGAATCTGCAGAGGTTGTTGTACAAGTCGGGGCCAAAGGTGCCGAGGATGGCCTGGGGAAGTGTGTGGACGAAGGTGGCACCGCTGGCGACGCCCTTGACAGTGAGGTTCTTGAAAACAACACCCAGCTTCTTGGCCGACTCGCCCGACGCTGTCCGCTTCTCGAGGTGGCCGTCCCGCATGAACTGTTCAAGGGGAAATTCATCCTCATCAGTGGTCGTCGCATCGTTGACTGAATCCGCATCTGAGTCCTCCACTCCAGCTTCCACGTCCGGTTGACCGGCGGTAGCCTTCGACTTGCCGCTTGCGCGGGATGCCACGCGCCGGAAGAAACCCTCTTTAGTTGATTTGTGGGAGGCTGCGGCGTTGGACCGGGTATTGGTGAGTTTAGTGGTGAGTTCGCGCTGAAGTTCTTCGAAATCCTGCATGGCCGCGCGTTGGCTCACCGGCCCGCCCATGTCCCGCTCACCCCATATTCCCTCAACTTCGGGGCTGGGTGGTGACTTGGTGGCCTCGCCAGATCCGGCTGCGTTTTGAATTTCTGGTGCCGCTTGGGTCTCATCCTTGTGGTGGAGCGTCTCGGGAAGGACACCTGCTGCGCTCCGTCGCAGGTTTTCTTCGGTGGATTGTCCCCACATGGTGGCGGTTGGCGGTGGGATAAAAAGCTTGAAAAATTATGAATGAATAAGTCTGTAGCGTGGGGGTAACTGGAAATAAACACAACAAACAAACGGCAAGTGATGGCCCCCAGGTGGCAGTCAGTGCTGCAGAACCTGCACAGACGGGATAATGTGAACCTTTGTCAAGGCCACTTGGGGGGGATCGAGGCTCTCCGTGTTGACCAAAAAGAACAAGCCGAAAGCTAGAAGGATGTTGCACCTTGATACTTATAACCCAACCTTGATTTCTCAGCAGGCAATGGCGTTTTTACCCTGTCCACAATTGCAATTCACCCAGACATGCATGCACGACCCATGCAGTGCCTAACATACAAGGGTCGGCGGTCAGCATTGCATCCTGAGGTTCCACGGCGCTGGCTCTCTGAATCATCAAATGGAGATAAGGAACGGAGCCGGGAATCGAGATTTCAGCACAGGCGCGCCCTGAAGCAATGATTCACCCTGGCTCATCCAGTCACAACTGCAGTTCCCGACCCGCACTTGCCGTGTTGGGTTGCGTGGGCAGTTGGGATGCCCTGCCAAGTACAGGCCAAGCCCATGCCGAAGACAAGGACCCCATGATTGGTGCCTCCTGAAACGTCACTTTCAAAAAGCCGACGTGCACCGCTTCGAAGCTTTGTCGAACGAAGCCTCCGCTGACTGACAGAAAAAGGGAGAATAAGGCTGCCTACTGGGTGAATCTTGTGTATGGTCTCACGAAACTCCTCCATCTGGTTAGAGAGTATCGGCGTTAGGCTTTAAGCTATCAAAGATCATGCTTGGCTCGACGGGGGTCTGACAAATGGGAACGGCATCTCCTTCGAAAAAATCGGTCGGTTCTTCATCCGGCCGACCCCCTTATTTGCACGGAGTGAAATTTTAGTTGCACGGAGTACAGGAGTACTACCAAAAAGGGCGGTATACCACCCAATAAGTTGTTAGTGCCTTTGGACCTTTTTCTGCCAAGACCTGGCCCAGCTTCCAGCTCGAGTACAGCACTTATACAGTCGCTAACCTTCACCCCGACCTAAAAAGAGGAGGGTAACTTAACTGGTAGCAAGGTGATTTGGATGTAATCTGGTCAGTTTTACTCTAATTAATTTAATTTTTTTAAAAGTTTTAGCTGGAGCTGCTTGAGGTGAATTGTATTGTAAGTGTGGGAGTTTGAGGGGTGAATTGTCCCTGGTCACGAGTCACGTGCTAGGCTGAACTCCCCGCCAAAACTTTGGGACGCTTTACCGAGTTGGGCCTAGTCACTCCGTGCACCTAAGATTTTACTCCGTGCAAATAAGGGGGTCGCATCCGGCGCTCCTCCAAATTATAAATCACAGCCGTCCCCCTAATCTTCCACCAGCGGTTCCCCCACTTCGTAGTGGGCTGCTCATAAAGGACGCCCAAAGTCCGAACGGCAAAGCAGCAAAGCTTCCCCCAAATCCACTAGAATTACGAAGAGAAAAAAGGAGGGCAGTGATCCACTCGGAGTTAACTGGCGGTGGGGAGTCGGGTTTCTCTTGTTCTCCGCGCCCAGAAGCCCAGAAGCGGAGAGAGCGCTGATCATCGCGCTCACCGTCCGCGTCTTTTCCCCATCTTTCCCGTCTTGGCTCGCCGGTGTCTTGGTTGTCTTGCACGTTCTTGTCAGCGTGCACAACCACAGTGTTGTGCAGCCTGCGAATGGCAGACTGACGGGGAACTCAAGGGTTGTGGCGCGGAATCACGAAGCGACCCCGCCGAAAACGGGCGCTGCGGGTGGCTTCCGCCGCTAGTCATGGCCCGCTCAGAAATGACAAGGACTGATTCGTCCATGATTCATCGGCTCAGAATGAAATCATCGACTAATTTCACGGAGGGGTGGGCGAGAAAGGCTTGGCCAGATGAGGGATAAAAGTGGGGACTCAACGCCAAAACCAGAACATGCACGGCAAGTGGACTGCAGTGTGATGGGCCGCAGCGCGATTTGGAGACTCGACGACGTCGAGGCCCGACTTAGGGTGGGGACCGATCACCGATGGAGGTCGGGCACGGCATTAACGGAGAAAAGCTGTATGCCCGAAATCAATGAAGCTTACACAGTAGAGAATAGATGAGTAGAGGAGAATAGAGTGCCAGCGAGGCGACGGCAATTGAGACCGAAAGGACCCGGAAGCGATAAAGCCTGAGACATGACAGAAGAGAAAAAAAGGTCGGGGAAAGGGAAAAGGAAAAAAGAAAACATAAATCGACATTCTTCCTAACCACCTTGGGTTGGGTGAAAGGGGACAAATTCTAACTAAGGACGGAGTCAACTCCGAGAACACATCGCAAAACCAATTGCTAGTGTTGCATGGGAACGGGCACGCATGGCCGTCGGAGCTTCATTCCTACAAACGGTGAAGGAAGACCATCCATTATCAAGAAGTAGCCTATAATGAACAACCCTTCATCATCCTTTGATATACATGCTAAGCTTTTGCGAGTACTGCCTCCCAGTACTCAGGTTTGTAAGAGGTGGAGACACATTCTAATCGCACTTTGATTGCGAGCCAACCGTAGACTTCAAGTTTACCGTGACCACGACGACAATCTGACAATTACCTGTACCTGTCACATTGTAACAGCCAGCTCCAGCTCGCCGCGGGATGGGAATAACACATATCAAGACCTCCATGATGCAAATGGTCGCTGAGCTAGCTGTTGTGGAGACTAGGTATGTTGGGCTCAGTAACTGATATGGCTCTGTTAAGTCTCATAATGAAAAACAATCAAGGGGTGCTCGAGCCGAGACCTTATCTAGGTAGTACTCGACTTCATCTATCAACACCAGTCAAATTCGTGCTGACATGTCGCCGGGCGTTGGAACCCCCCAACCAATGATTGCCTTACTCACCTCATCACGAACGAAAGAGCAGACAAAAAACAGACGTATTATACTCGTCTCCTCTTTTTTATTTTTTTCTACCAGTACTGACACTCCGACTAATACTCCAGATTAATCCTTGGACCTATCACTCCCATTCTGCATCTTCAACATCTCCCTCAACGCAGCCACCTCGGCCTCCTGCCGGGCGAGCCGAATCCTCAAATCATCCCTCTCCCGCGTCACCTCCTTCACCTCACCCTCCAACTCCTCGATCCGGTCGATCTTCTTCTGACGGTACCGCTTGGCCGCGAGGTTGTTGCGATGCCGCCGGTCGACGACTTCCGGGTCGACGTCATCTCCCGCTGCGGCTTCCTGCTGCTGCTGCTGCTGCTGCTGAAGCGCCGCTGCCGCCGCTACGGCCGCCGCCGACGAGGAGGCTGCGGCACCATGATGGCTGCTGCCACCGCCGCTGCGCTTGGTGACGCGCCCGTCGGTGGTGTGCGAGAGCGAGGCTCCTGCCGGCCGACGTCCCGGCTTGGAAGGGGGACCTTTTGTCTTGGGCAACTTGAGACCGGGGATGAGGAGGGACCCGCCGTCCGGGCTGGGCGCCGTGGGCGAAGGAGACTGGAGGTCGGTGGTGGCGGGGGTGTTGGTGAACGATGTGGTGGCTGAGCTCAGAGGGGGGTTTGGCAAAGAGGATGATGCTAAGGGGAAGAAGTTGTTGTTGTTGATGTGGTTGTTGTCATTGAAGAGAGGCGTGGAGAAGGCGTCGAGACAAGGTGCGAGATCGAGGTCGAAGTCGAGCTCGGGGGAGGAGAAGTTGGAGTGTAGTTCTGCCCCTGATGCGGTTGCGGCTGTGATTGAAGCGTTATCGACAAAGTCGAAGGTGCTGGCTGCGGCTTGATCCCAGGTGAGGTGGGTCAATAAGTCAAAGTCATAACTGCTGAGACTCGGCTGCAGGGTATCGCAACTAGGCGCGTATCTGGGGTTGGAAGAAGTTGAAAGAGAGACGAGTGCAGCATATTCCGGTGACGACTGCAGTTCCCATTCTTGCACGGTGGAGGGGCGGGCCCCTTAAAACAGAGGCCGAATGCCTAGAAAAGGGTTGGGTAAAACGGGGGCTTGCGTGATGCAAGTTTGGGTGTTGGAAAGGAAAAGAAGGAAGGATCGCGAAGAGAGGGTGGCGGGAATGCCATTTTGTAGAATGAGTGATTGGATAAAGCCACACCCTCCGTTTGTGCAGTGGCCAACCCCGCCTTTCCCCGAAAGGCACTGCCCACCAGGGTCTGTGCTTCTTTCCCCCCAAGCCAGCCTCTTTTGCTCTCCACCGCCTGTCTTGGTCTCACTGCCGCAAGCCACGCGAGCTGAGATGGGCTTCCTGCAAACGCGGTTCTCTCCAGCCACAGGCGAAGGAATGCACGATGTGACAATTGAAGCTGACTCGGATTGTCGCGGTAATTAAACCAGCTCATCATGCATGTCGATTGTGAACTTATCTCTTGATCGGGGAGCGGGAGCGGAAAGTCGGAGAGGCCGATACCATCCATCCAACGACAGTTAACGGCTTTCTCTTGGATGTGCCTTTCTTTTTCCCAATCGGGATGGCCCTCGAAATTATTTGAGACACTGGAACGACCTCTCTCCAAAGAAAGCTAGTCGGCGTTGCCGATGCAAGGAACGTCACCGCCGCACCGACGATACGATGGACTTTTTGGGCGGCTTGATATGATCTAAATAATTCCGCTGAGACGAATGCCGTGACCGAGCTATGGGTGGGCTGCATGATACATTCAGTAACTGAGTATTCCACGATCTGACAACCCGGACACTAGGTACCTCTTCCACACACGATTGGGAACAGAACGCGTTTACAGCACCCCGTCGTCAAGTCACACCTAAACATAATTGTTCCGTACACCCACCCGCAACTCATCCATCAAGCCGGCTTTGGTATCTCGTGATCTTTACCCCTTAGATACCCTCGGGAAACTGGGTGTTCAGAGCATCCTCCTCAGGATCCGGGGTTTTGCATTTGGGTTCGGTCTCGACAGGACTAGGAGTGTTTTGGGGATCCTTGACCTCTTGTTGGCTTCCGGTGCCTCGAGAATCCGACTTGGTTAGCTGAGCCCCGAGGATAGGACGCCCGTCGGCATCCCGGTTCCCCTCGAGGTCCAGCCACTCGGAGTAGATCTGAAGGGCGGCGTACCGATCCCGTGCGCCTTGCTGTCCCTCGGTGTCTCGCGGGCGCCCCTCCAATCGGCGTATTGCGGCCCTGTACACTTCTATCATGGCCCGGCGCTCGATGATCTTGTTGAGTCGGGCGAGTTGACCGGCGGAAAGGTTGGCGCCAGGGAAATCTCGGGCTATGGCCGCAGCCGAGTCCGAAAGAGACTGGCTCGGGGAGCTCTGGGGATCCTGGCCAGATTGAACAACTGGTGCGCTATTTAATGGCATAGTCAATGGGTCGGGCCCAACCGCCGGGATGGGGAGGTAGAAGGAAGAGCCAGGCTGACAGTCCGCGGTGGGTTGGACAGGCAAAGGGGGTCGGGAGGATGTTTTGCGATCCCGTCGCCGCCGTGTCGCACAGGGTGGGCATTCTTTTATCCCACACAAGCGGCCGCGACATCTCCAGAAACTCTTCCAGTACGCTACGTTACTGCCGCAAGTGTCGCACCGGAACGGTAGGTCGGTTGAGTCGATGAGGCCTTTGGCCCACCGAGTGTGACCGCAAGTATCACGCACACCGGCGCAAGCAGGTGTCCGGGTTTCAGGCTGTGGGCGTGGGTTTGGGAACCCTGAGTCAGGTACCGAAGCACAAATTCCCAAATGGCTGAGGTTCCCGCAAAAATAACAGGTCGCCATCCCACATCTCGAACAATCGAACGAGATTCTTTGTGGTCTCAGTTCGGCCGGCCGGGGGTTGAGCGCCTGGCAATAGACGTTTGCGCAGCGTGTGTCGCCCACGGTCTCCCATCTTCTCGCTATGGCGTCGAAGTATGCATAGACGTCCTTCGGTAAAGTATGGGGGTCTACCGGCAAAGGCCGGTCGCAGCAGGTTGGAGGAGCCGGGCAGTCAGTCGCGATGGAAGTCCGAAAGTACAGCTCGAGGCACGGGTAGCAGAAGAAATGTTTGCCCGTCGCGCACAGCTGGCCGCCTGGGAGTGGAAAAGACTCTATGCACAGAATACACAGCGGGTCGGCGAGCTGTGGTCCTTGTCCCTGCTGAGGTTCGCGTTTGGACGAGCCATCCCGTCCGCCAGCGGGCAAGAGCAGTCGTGGCATGGCAGAGGGAGACCGGGGAGAGCGCGTATGAGGAGAGCTACCCGGGGCACCCGGCGGCGGCAACCATAGGTTTAAAGTCTGGAATTAATGATGCTGAAAGCTTGGTTCGTCGAGTTTGGCGATGGGATGCCGAAGAAAGTGTGTTCTAGGGGGCGGCAACTGGACGGTCGGACATTGTTTCTCTCTCCAAGAGCGTTGACAGCCCGCATCTTGCCGGCGTTTTCACAGTAGGTGGGTGGTATCTTGACGGACACAAGCTGCAGCTGCTGTCTCGATCGACAATGCTCCTGCACATCGGTAGTAACAAGTCGGGGCATGACAACGTGGTCGGGGAGAAGGCAGGGGCCATCTACAGGGGTGAGAGAGCCTTGAATATATGTACTCTGTGTGAGTGCGAGAGCGCGCTTTCCATCGCCGGTTAGGTCTAAATCTGAGCTTTCCAAGCCGGTGATAACCACTCCTTGTGGGCTTAAGTTTGTTGGAGCATGCCTGGTGCCAGTGCTGCGGTCATGTTGACTTTGCCCTGTCGGTCCAATCACGGGTTGTAAATGCAACAGCAGTGAGAGACCCCGCACCGTCGCAGCAACGCGACAACCATCCTGGAAGGAACCAACCCGACAGCTCCAAACTGCCCGAAAGTCAACAAAACGACACAAAACCTCGAGGCCGTCAGTTAGCCAACCCTCCCAACCACGACACCGGCCGCCCAAAACACGAGCGCTCCCAATCCTAGGCTCACCTTGTCAGTTGCCTACGATCAACGAGCCGTCTCCCAGCAAACCCACCGACAATGTCAACACCAAACCCCGCACCGACCTACAGCGACTGCGTCTCGTCCCTGCGCACCTCGCTCTCCTTTCTCGAATCCTCCGTCACAACCCTCGGCACAGGCGTGCAAGACTTTCCACGCCTGACCTCCGTCCTCAAGACCGTCCGCGTATGTTTCCCCCTCCCCCCTTTTCCCCGCCATGCATGCTCCCTCCCACTCCAACTCGAACCCCCCCAACCCAAAAAAACCACAAACCACAAACTAATAACCCCCCTTCCTTCCCCTACCACACAGCACTACGAACTCATCCCCCAACCAACCCTCGCCGCCGCCGAGTCCTCCCTGCGCGACGAGATCGGCCCCTTCGTCGCCCTGCTGCTCGACCGCGCCGACAAGCACCTGGAGCGCCAGGCCCGCCGCATCGAGACCCTCAAGGCCCGCGCCGACCTCAACGCGGGGCGCCTGTCGCGGTACCCTAACGAACAACGACAACAGCAGCAGCTGGGGTTCGGGGCTGGGGTGAAGGGGGCGACGGCGCGGGGGAAGGCGCCTGCGGGTGGGAGCGGGAGTGGGAGTGGGAGTGGGAAGGGTAGGACGTTGGATGGCGGGGCTGCGCTGCGCGCGAAGGTGGTGAGGCAGAGGAAGGAGGCGCTGCAGTATAGTGTGGAGAGGCTCGAGTTGGAGGTGTTGCAGAAGGAGAGGGAGTTGAGGGTGAGGTTGGAGCAGGCGTGAGGGGTCGTTGGGGTGTTTGACGGGATGTGATGTGATGTGATGGGCGGGTCGATCGATCGACTGATATGGTTGGGCGCACACGTGGGATCGAGGCGAACAGCGTGATGGCGCTGATGCTCAACCACGATGATGGCTCCATGGTATGGGGATTATGATGATGACGCGATGGGAGACTTTGCGCCAGGGGATGTTGAGAGGTATTGTTCGGCGCGCTTGACATGCCGGATGAGAGCGCCCATGTGGGGGCGTAGACTCCGCGAAGGAGAAGCTGCAAGAGCAAGTCCGGCGCCGCCACCGATCCGCGCCGAGAATCGACCAGCGATAGTGACCAGCGATAGGGAAAGGCTTTCCATCCCACCCAGTCCCCATAAGTCTAGGTAAACTTTCCGCCAACGTTCAACAATCGCTAGCAAGGACGGCCTAGATGGCGGTTAGGGTGGTGGTGGGATAAGCGGCGCCGGGTGACTGGCTCTCTTGATGGTGACACGGGTGTTGGATGTGGTCGGTGAAAGATTAATATCCCTAGGCAAGCCTCGAGGGACGTGTAGCCGCCTACATGGGAGGCATCGGACGGTGGATGCCGGGCGTGCAGCAGCGGGAGGGTCTCGGACGAAAACTGCCGCCGCGGTGGGTGGGCATCGGGTCTCATCCCGCTTTAATCTAACTCTGTAGCTGAATCAAGGGAGATGTTGATCTGCTCATGTCTTTTGTGTCTCGGGTAGTTAACCCCCGGCACCAGCGATAATACTAAGTTCACCACAAGATTTGTAGCTTGGTCATTCTGGAGGACTTGAATCATCACGCAACGACAGGCTCAAAAAGAGCCTGTGCAAAGTGACCCCGGGCTAGAATAGTGTCACATACACAAGTGGTACATCGAAATAAACAGGGGCTTGGAGAATGGAATCCGTCAAAAGGGAAACAAAAACATAACAAAACAAAACCAGTTTAACAGAACCCCAGCCAAACCAAAGCCAGTCAGACCCGCCCAAAAAAACGACCACGATTTTAGACCTCATCCAACGTATCCCAAGCCAAGCCCAGGGCAGTTCGCAGTTGTCGGCGCGTGATGTACGCCGCTGCTCTATCGTGCCCCGCCGCGGTGACCCCCCTCATCGGGTCCACGTGAAACAGAGGGCGACACCAACGGCCCGGTCCGCTCTCACCGCGGACGGTTCGGGCTTCCGCTCATGTAACGCCGGATGGGGTCGATTCGGTTGTAGGGTATATAGAAAACGTCATCCAGACGAGAGAAGAAATTAGAAAGAAATCATCCACATGGTATCATGCGTTTTGCCCTGGCGTCTTCCATTGCATGGACCCGCAACCGCCCGTCCGCCAAACGCCTGCCTACCCAGACACACAAGCTTTTGCGCCCTAGACTATAATAGGATGAGATAGTTGCTGGGCGCAATGCCTGTCTCGCCCGTCTCCTTCCGTGCTTGCCACCACCTTCCGCTGACGTCGCTGACCTCGAGGATCTCGTGCTTCGAAAAGGAAATCTCGTTGGCGTCTTCGGGATTCGCCTCATAGCTGTAGATGGCCTTCGCGCGGTACGGGTATTCTGTGGGCGGCACGATTTCCGCGTTGGGGTTCTCGGGGTTGGGGGGCGCTGCCTTCTGGGCGGGCGGCGCCGTGTAAGCCGGCGGGACCGACGCTGCGGCCATGCCGCCAACGGGCGACGGGTTTTCGAGACCATTGAGCTGGGCTGTATACATTTGGGGAGGCTGCACTGATGTCGAGGTTTCGGGCCTGCGGCCGCCGTAGGCACCCGACATGGTCTGGCGGTTCGCCGTCGTCGACTCCTTGGCGAGGGCGAACGAATCGATGTAGGCGCGGGGAACGGCGGACGGAGCAGAACCGAAATAGAAAATCCAGACGATCTGAGGGCACACAATCAGCATTCGGTTCGTTTGCATCAACGCAAAACAGGCAAACCTACGGTCACCATCGACATGAGAATGAAGCCAGCAGCCGAGGCTTCTTTGGCGGGCTGGGTCTCATGGATCAGCGAGTTAACCGATGACGTCGTGAGCACCAGGCCGCAGCCGAGATAGCCGACGAGGGCGACATGATATGTTTGGGCGCTATCCGACGCAACGACGATGGATATCCCAATGATGAGTCCGAAGTAGAAAACCAACGCCCAGTACGCGAAGAGCGGGAATTTATCGGGGACGGCGCGCTGCGCGAGGATTGTCGCGACGAACGAAATGATCCATGCAAGCTGGGAGGCAACGTTAGCAACTTTCTCGCCAGGCCAGGCGCCGTGTACGCGAAGTGGGAAACTCACCGACGCGATCGAAATCGTCGCGAGCGCAAATGGGTCCCCAATAATATTCCCGCCGCTGATGCGCTTGCGGCCATACTGCGGTCGAGAGTATTCCATTTTCCTGAGCGATGGGGAGTGGAGCGATCCGTAGCCGGGCATAAGTGCGTGTGTCGCGCGGTGGCAACTCAATTGACGCAAGGCTCTCCGGTGTGCATGGAACAGCCAGTCGTCTAATGCAGGTGCCGCAAAACTGGCTCGAGGTGTTCGTCAGGGGAAGCTGCAGGGAATGGCTCGGGTGGGGTTTGGACGAAATGTTCGGATCGATCGATGTTGTCAACCTCGAGAAGTCGCAAGGAACGGCTCGGTGTCAATCGCCTTGGCGGCGGGGACCAAGTCAGAAGAAAAGAATGACGGAAAGAGGACGACGTTGCCGGAAAGAAAGAGGCTCGTCTCGAAGCGGCAATCAAGCGAACGTGGTGAAGTGGAATGAGAAATTGAAGCCGGCAATTCGGGGGGTGCCAAAGGACTGGTGGCCTTAAATGAGGTCGGGTTTGGTCGAATGGATCGTGTCTAAGGATCCCTCGGGTGTCGTGGTTTGTCGCTCCAGATCAAGTCCCAAAAATTCCCAATGCTCATCAAAGCCGTGCTGCCCTGGTCGTCCGAATCACTAGCCCTGTCTGTGTTCTTAATGTCGCAACCGCAGTACCCGCCAGCGTGCTTCAATCGACGACTGTGAAGCGTCGTGTGTTGGAAAAATCGAGGGCTGGGCGTGGCAAGGTCGGATGTGCCGGCGATGCGTAGGGAAGGCGTCGAGAAGAAGCGAAAGGGTAAAATGCCGTGAGAAGAGGAGACGGGGTGGTAAATGGGTTAATGCGGGATGGAAGGGAGGAAGGCTCAGGGAGGCAGCACAGCCAACTTGGGGCTGCGGAGCGGGAAGGATGGGATGATTTGAGTGGACAAGGTCGGCCAGGGGGGAGGGTGGAGGGCGGATACGATGGGACCCAACGTGCCAACCTGCAAAGTTGAGGAGGGGTGGAGCGTGCGCGTTCCTGCTGTGCCCTTGAGCCAAGGACTCCAGTTGGCTGGACCTGAGCAACCCGTCGGGGTTTGCCCAAGCCGCGACACTTGCAGCACTTGCAGCCCGGCTCCGCAGGGCATTCCTGCGTGTGCATTTACATCCAGTGCAATGCGCGTCACTCGACATTTTTGAAGTTTGGGTTTTTGGCTTTGGTCTACTCCGTACGAAGTACGGTACCTCGGTTTTTTCTGTGGAGCAAACGAATGGTCACTTCCCCTACCTTGCATTCGCTTGAGTACCTGACCTCGTTCTGTCAGCAACATGCCCGAAAGCCCAGAGTCCGGTTGCCTGACCTGGGGAAGAAGGTCAGGTACTTTTAGCCAGGGCTGGAAGCTGTCATGCGGCGGTCAGCTCAGCGGCTTTCCCACCCGCCCGCATCACTAGATAACTCATCGAGCTCAGCTTGGCCGTATTCGGTATGTCTCAACCCATGACAGTTCACTCGACATTCTGTTGTCGGGCGGGCAGGTCTCCGACCAAGGCCGACGGGGACCGTGAGATGCCATGGGATGAAGAGGGGAGGCCCGGATCCGCTGCCAGTGCCCCACAACGGGAGAGACCGGGAACAGGGCCGTTGGCAACTTTGCGCCAAATATGGAAACCCGTCGACAAAAACATCACGGGCCTGAATGAAGACACGCACGCCAAATTGAAACGAGACATTCGGTTGAGCTGTTATCGAAGCAAGAGCCCATGACCGGGTCGAGTTGTGAAGGGGGTTGACTTCCTCCATGATTCGGTTCGCTGCGACGGTTGGAACCCGTCCGCAACCCGTCCTGGTTTGCTCGTCTTGATTGGATTAAAATTCAAGCTGCGTGGGCGTTCGTTCCTGGCGCTGGCCTGGGCCCCTGACCCCTGGCATCTTGGCAACCGCAAACGCCTTGCCCCGCTTGGATGTGTTTCAAAGTTTCACAGGCTCCGCCCCAAAGCGCCAACCGACTGGCATTGGACCACCAGATGGTCGAAACACCATCCCAAGGGGCAGGTTGACTGGTGACACGGACATCGCGGGATCTTCAAGGAGGCCAGCCAGTTTGTGTCATGGTCTGTGCCCCGGCGGCGCTGGAACAGAGCTGTCCCTCCGCAGCTGCAACACACCACCACGACGCGGCCGAGGTGCATTGGTGTGTTTCACAACCTTGGAACGATCCCGTCAGGTTCGTTCAGGTTGCCCGTGATCAAAAAAAGCGATTGCTGGCTCCAACTCACCACATGCCGGCCAACAACGAAAGCAACGCCATGGTGAGATCGCCATATTCCCAAGGGATGGAGGGGTCGCCATCAAGGTCCACTGTGCTGGCCTCTCGGTCGGGTCCAACCACAGTTGCAGAGGTCAAACCCGATCTCATCGATCGACAGTCGGCAGCTGTTCCTGCATTCACCCCTCCACAACCATTGAGCTCAGCGCCAACGAGCCAGCGATGTGGAAATATCGAAAACCAAGTTCAGCGGTGGTGGTTCGTAAGATCTTCATCGAGCGCAATTATTAATTCGCGAGTCCATGGTTATTGAAAAACTTGTCCTTTGTGGGCGTATCAAAACGAATGCCGTTATTAGAACTGATTAAAAAGATTAAAAGACCCCCAGCTGGCTGCCAACTTCGTCTTCATTGCCCTCGGTCTCGAGGCATCCGGGTGCTTGTGTCACGGTAGGGGTTACGGGTATCAGTGCAATTCCAACATTCGCCGCATGCACATCGAATTCCATCCCTCGCAGCTGGCCCTCCCCTTGCGGGGAACTCAACGAAGGGATTGAGGATCCTGTCGCTGGCCGCTTACTCGCGAGGTTGTGGGCTGGTTGCATTGAAAAGTTGTAAACCAGGAGCCAGGCTGGTCGTGATCAGACAACAAGAGTGTGACCAGCTGAACTAATGTCGGCATCGCCCATCCCATCTTTACTATGTTGGCCATCTTGGCCAGGCGGTCGTGGGGCGGACCGGTCGACTTGGCTATCAGCTTGACCATGATTACTCAACCCGCTTAAAAAAAAAAAAAGCCTTTGGCCGAGTGTGTCGGCCACGATTTGCGGTGCATTTTGCTTTGAGAGCGGGAGGAATCGGTCCCATGAAACACGGAGCCCCGATTCCCGGGTGACGCCACGTGCAGACCTGCGGTACAATGTGCCTCAGCTTGCCAAATCCAGATCGTGCCGACCTCCATCAATGCACCCATGGGAACAAAGTAGTGAAGAGCTCATCTCGGGCGGGGCGGGCAAGGCCAGGCGTCGGGTATGCTAAACCAGGACAGCAGTCACTGCCCCCACGTCTGCGGTACTCGCGCCGACTCTCTGATCCCAACTCAATCGAGCGTTGAAGGCAAACCGAATGACGCAAGTGTTCCCAGCGCAACCCCCCTGGGCTGTTTCCGTATCAGGTGGGCGCCTTTCGGCGGTCGTTGGGTGCCGATCTGACGAGATCAATGCCATTGACCGGCGCCCGAAATCTGTTTCCCGGCATCCAGCAACACTGCCCAACAGACGAGTGATGTTGTGTCGGCCGATCTCCACCAGCCCGGTCCCAGAACTTCTCGAAAGTCGACAAACCAGGGGTTTATGTGGTGAAGGGTCCAGCCGGACGGTGTTCGTGCTCAGCTAGTTTTCCCCAGCTCCGATCAACCGAGCTGCCAAGCAACATTATATCTCCCGGTTCGATGAAGAAGCTCGTCACCAGCTTCGAGCCTCGCTCGGTCATAGGTTCCTCGCGCTTTCATGTTCCAGCCACCCATCACCTCTTTCCTTCTAAACCTTGTCCCGCTCTCTCTCCTAGACATCATTACCCATCCCGGCCCCGTCTTGTCACCATCCCACACCTCACACCTCGCTCGCACCAAACCATCACCCATTCGGTAAGGCAGGGCAGGGCAGGGCAGACAGGCGCGGCGACCAAACCAAGCCCACCCCCCCTTCACACCCTCACACCCCCACACATCCATCACCACCCTCAAAAACTCAAACTCAAACCTTCTCCCCCTCCTCCCTCCCCGCCACCACCCTCCTCACCCCGCGCTCCACCCCCTCCAACCTGCCCTCCACACCGGCCAGCGCCTCTCCGTACTTCAACACCCCCCCTTCGTACCACGCGCGCACGGCGGCCTCGCTGCGCGCCCGCAGCGCCGACACCTCGGCCGCCTGCGCGTGCTGCAGCGCCGCCGCGCCGCGCATCCGGGGTCCCAGCGCCGCCAGGGCCGCGCTCTGCTTCGTGTCGGGGATGGGGGTGTCGGCGGTGGCCGCGGTGAGCGAGGACGCGATCGTCGGGAAGGCGGTTGCGTAGGCGAGCACGGTGGCGCGCACCGCTTCGGGGGGGAGTTGGGTTGGTGGGAGGGGGGTGGTGGTGGTGGTGGTGCCGGTGGGGTTTGTGGTTGTTGTTGTTGTTGTTAGGGAGGGGGGTTGGAAGAGGGTTGGGTGAGATTTGTCTGTTGAGAGCGCGGGGAGGTTAGTCGGGAATTTTGAATGATGAAGGAGGTTGGGGAAGGGCGTACAGATTTTGAGGATCTCGGCGTAGACGCGGAAGTGGTGGAGGAGCTGATTGAATCGACGCTCGAGCTCGGCGAGGGATGCCGTCGCCGACTCCTGTGGTGGTTCGGTTGGGGGTGTTGTTGAGCCGTAGAGAATGTGCTCGATTCGCCGCATACGCCCCTCCAGCAGCGAAATGGTGGTCAGCGTTGTTTCGTCTAGCGTGTTGTCCATGGCGTCGGTGTTGGCTATTGTCGATTGCAGTCGAGAAAGGAAGAGAGGCAGCATCAATGGCTGCTTGTGGAGTCCAATCGAATCCCCTGCAGCTTCACCCGGCATGGTGTGATTTAACAGCTCACACGGTGCGATCATCGATTAACCCAGTTCATTCTACTAAACCACGACGTACCATGTGCTTCTCACGAACAATCCTAACACGATCCAGAAACAAAACCAACCACCACTATGGAAAATCAAGTCAATATTTCGGCCGTTTGCCGACAGGAACACTGCGACTTTCAAGCGACTTACGCGTCCTTGTTGCGGTAAGTACAAAACATCCGGTCTCGACATACCCATTCCCACATGTGTATTTTTTGTATGTACATACCAATGATGGTCGCTAACTACTGTGTAACCTACCTGATTCAGAGCCCACGTTGCTGCCACCTACTTGGGGCCTTTGGTTTACGAGCAGTGTGGGCGCAAGACGACTCGGGAGTCCGGTCTAAAAAGGCATCGCCAAGGGCACGAGAAACCGGACCGGCTGCATTGTCCTTTCTGTTACCAAGGGTTTTTTCGTCTAGACGTAAAAGGTCATCATGTCGTCCGGTATCATTCGGCCGCTCTAGAGAATATCATCACGTTCGGTATGTTCCCTTGAGCGAAGGCGGCACTTGAACGGGCGACACTAATAAAGCACTGTTTTATTAGCCCTCTCCCACAACCACCCCGCGGTCATGAACCTGCCTGTGGGCCAGGCCGCAAGGGAAAACCAAGCCGAGTCCATGCACCAATTCGAGCCAGTGCACCAATCCGAGTCCGAGCCCAGAGACGCGCTCGACCCCACTCCCGACCCTCGGCGCGCCTCGGCGGCGTGGGTGAGTTCCAAGCCCGGCGCCGTCGACCGGAAGCATCCATTCTTTACGCTTATTAGGGCTATTGAAGTTCGTGAGGAGATGGAACACTATATAAATACATGTAAGCGTCAAAGAACAGGATGACGAGATGGACGGCATGAAGAGGTGAACGGGATGTGCAAAGCAGGGTAACCGTCATGGCAGCCGAAAGCAAGACCCCGGCGCCAAGGCGTCAAGATCAGATTAGATCCTGATAAGGCTCTTGGCCTTTTGCCGACTTCCCCACTGCTGCTGGAGTTGGTTCCATTTCAGGTACAGCACTGTGAGCAGCCACTGTACTTCAAAGTACCTCGCTACCTACCACCTAATGGAAGTTTAGCAACCGCGGAAGCCCCCGTTTGTCGGCTTCACGGCTTCACGGAAATGGTATGAAGTCCAGCTAAAATTTGGGGGCAGGAAAAGGCAGAGCGGTATTGCATCTCCTGCAGCCATGGATGGAAGTGGAGAATGCTGGTGCTGGACGACTCTTTTTATCAGTCGCGCCGGATCTAATCAATCAATCGAGCCATCTCCGAGTTAACTCTCCACCTTCCCCCAGGGTACTGAATCCTGATGCGTTACTTGGCTACCGCTAAGCTGGAATTAGCAGTCGAGACCTGTTTTTCTCAACGACCCAGAACTGCCGGTTTCGGGGGATGTCGGTTCAAGTTGAAAATGTTGCTTCGAGCGGAGTCCGGTCGTACCAGTACGAGTCACGCCTTAAAATACCATCCTTCGCCGTCCCCTGTACTGCCTGTTTTCCCACTGTTGCATGTTGACGAACCCAGCAGTGAATGATGGCGATCCTCAAATCCAACCTGCTCTTCAACCGCAAGAAGCCGGCCAAGGCCGCCGCCTTGGACTCCTCCTCACCTGCTGCCGACGTCGAGATGACCGCCGACGAGAAGACGCTCGACGCAGAGGTTGTTGAGGCCGGTATCAACGATCTTAAGGGTGATACTCTCCGCAATGATGTCCAAACTGGTGTGCAGAAGATCCAGGCCGTCACCTTGACTTGGTCCAGGACATCGATGTTCTCAATTCTCTGCCTGTATGTCTCTCCTGCAACCGGTTCCCCAAACCCGTTTTCATATTGACAGCATCGCAGTCTCTGGCTAGTCACCTTGGCCAATGGATTCCGAACCGCCATATTCTACAGCTTGACTCCTTATGCCACCAGTGATTTCCAAAACCACTCGCTCTTGACCACTATCAACATTGTCTCCGGAGCCATAACTTCCGCATTGTACATCCCGGTCGCGAAGCTGGTTGACGTCTGGGGCCGTGCCGAAGGGTGGCTATTCATGGTCGGCTTGTCGACCGTGGGACTAGTCATGATGGCCGCATCCAGGAATATCGAAACATACTGCGCCGCAGATGTAAGGGGACTCCAGCTCCCGCACCTCGAATTTATGGGCTGACAGTTGCATGCAATAGGTATTCTACTCTGTCGGGTTCGCTGGGATGAACTATATCCTCTGCGTCCTCGCGGCCGATGTAACCACCCTCAGGAACCGTGGTATTGCCTTTGCCTTCACCTCCTCTCCCTACATGATTACCGCCTTTGCCGGGTCAAAGGCTGCTGAGAAATTCCTGTCGAACGTCAGCTGGCGCTGGGGGTTCGGCGCTTTCGCCATCATCATCCCCTGTATCGCCTCCCCGGTATACTTCGTCCTGAGAGCCGGGTTGAGGAAGGCTGAGCAACAAGGCATCATCCAGCTCACCGAGCGTAGCGGCCGAACCCTGATGCAAAATATCAAGCATCACTTTTTTGAGTTTGATAGTGAGTGGAAGTCCATATGCCTTCGCTTGCTTCGACCGTCCTGACAGTTTCTAGTTCCCGGGGTCATCCTCCTGGCTGGAGGCTTTACCATCTTCCTCCTCCCCTTCACCCTGGCGTCCACCGCCCCCAACGGCTGGAAAACCGACTATATCATTGCCATGATCGTCACAGGTTTCGTTCTGATTGTCCTTTTCGGGCTTTACCAGGTCTACTGGGCCCCTCAGCCGTTTCTTAAGCACGAATTCCTCACCGACCGCACTGTCATCGGCGCCTGCTTGCTCGACGCAACGTATCAAATGTCCTACTATTGCTGGAACAGTTACTTTACCTCCTTTCTGCAGGTCGTCAGCAACCTCGACGTCGCAGAAGCAGGTTACGTTGGGAGCACGTTTCAGGTCGTTTCGGGCGTCCTGCTCTTCCTCGTTGGCTACCTCATCCGCAGAACCGGCTACTTCCGGTGGCTTCTCTTCATCGGTGTGCCATTGTACATCTTCGCCCAGGGTCTCATGATCCATTTCCGCCAGCCCAACCAGTACATCGGATACATCGTCATGTGCGAGATCTTCATCTCGGTCGCCGGCGCCACATTTATCCTCATTATGCAGCTCTCCGTCCTCGCGGCCGTCGACCACCAACACGTCGCGGCTGCACTGGCCGTGCTCTTCGTCTCGGGCGGCATCGGTGGTTCCGTCGGCAACGCCATCTCCGGCGCCATCTGGACCAACACCTTCCTCCCCGCGTTACAGCGCAACCTCCCCGAATCGGCGCTCCCGAACATCACCATGATCTACTCGCATTTGCCGACGCAGCTCAGCTACCCGATCAACTCCCCGGAGCGTCTTGCGATCCAGGAATCCTATGGCTATGCTCAGACGCGGATGTTGGCGGCGGGCACGGGTCTGATGGCGCTGAACTTTGCTTGGGTTGCCTTGATTCGCAATTACAACGTCAAGAAGATGACTCAGACCAGTGGAGTTGTTTTCTAGCCTGGAGGTCATGGCGTGGCATGTTTGAATGTGGGGTGTTGAGTTGACTTCCCACTATTACCTAGGTAGGTATGGAATAGTCAACATTGTTGCCTTCTCTGTGATAGTTCTCAACAAAATTAGCAATATCAAGGCCGTGCGAGCTCTGTGATAACCACTGCAAAGCAGCTGGCATGCATTCATAATGGCAGAACCACCATTTATCTGAACAGGTACGGGAGATAAGCACCTGGCAATCATTTACCTCTCTGATGCACACCCCCTTCACACCCCTTCGCTCTTTGTTGGCCCCTCTCGCCTAGGTACATGCTGGGAAATAGCAGCGGTACTGGCGTGGGTGTTGGCGGCTCTCCAGGTGCCTTCGAAAAGACCGCTGGTTGCTGAGTCTGCGGCCGCACTCATTGCAGACCAAGGGGTTTGGGAGATGGGTACTCGCAATGTTGACCCTGTACTGTCGGTGTTAGTGGGTGTGCGCCGCGGCGACTTCAAGGGAGCTGCCAGCGGGTTGGACTGACCGAAGCGACGCTGCATCTGGGATGGTGCATTGCAGCCTGCGTATTTGCAGTGGACGACCATGGCTTGATCCAATTACTCGTTGCTGATATTGTATAGAGACATGAAGAACGGTGCGAGTCTTGTGTGCTCACACGGATCTGTGGTATGAGAATGTGGGTGAACTTGTGTGTGGGTTGAGAATCGAATAACAGTGCGATGAATTAGAGTGCACGTTGCTACTTTCTGGGGGAACTGACCAGGTACCTGGCACTGCCAAGCCAGCTGGGAACCATCTGATCTGTAACAGGGGTTAGGGTTGGGCATTGACTCGGCCCGGCCTTGGCCCATCTGGCCAGTTGATTGCGCCCCAATCTCGCATCAGCACCATCGTGTGATCAAGGATCTCTGGTCTCTGAACTCGCCTCTCTCCCGAAATTGACATTCCTCCTGCAACGCCAAAGTCGCCACCCTCCCAGTAACTGAGGCCGCGCATCGGAAACTATAACCAACACTCGTTCCGAAACCGCTGCGCGCCCTACGATTGACTATCGACTCCTCGCTCTGCCTCTCACCATTCGCTTGAGGGGCGACGACAAAACCAGAAACCCCCGATGGCGGCGACAGTGGGCGTATAGTCCAACCCCATCGAGTCATCTTCGACTTTTTTTCTCGATATACCTCCGTTCGAAGCCTGGGCGATCCAGTGCCCACCTACCGAGCCCACGTCTGGGCTAGATGACGGGATACCAAACGATAGCCTCTGGCACGGTGTCAGGAACTACCGCCGGAAACATGGCGCAGTATGTTATGGAGTTCAAGAGGGATCAGAACGGATTGATATTGACGGTTTATTTTTTGCAGTCAACGACGAGCTCGCAACCCCAAGGCGGGCGGAGGCCATGCCTCCATGTTGAGCAGCAACATCAACATCTTGAACACCAGTACGTTCAAAACATGAATACAGGAGAGGAAAGTGGATTCTAACCAGGCATTGCAGTCATTGGGGCCGGAACCCTCGCTATGCCCGCGGCCATGTCCCATTTTGGCGTTGTCCTGGGTGTCTTACTGATCATCTGGTGCGGTTTCACGTCCGCCTTCGGCCTCTACCTCCAGGGCCGCTGCGCTCGGTACCTCGACAGGGGAACGTCGTCCTTCTTCGCCCTTTCGCAGCTCACGTATCCGAATGCCGCCATCGTGTTTGAAGCCGCCATTGCGATAAAATGCTTTGGCGTGGGCGTCTCGTACATGATCATCATTGGCGACCTCATGCCGGACGTGGCGGAATCATTTGGCAGCGGGGACCTGGGTCTTCCGTTCCTGGATGACCGCCGGTTCTGGATTACAGCTTTCTTCCTGTTATTCATAATCCCGCTGAGCTTTCCGAAGCGGCTGGATTCGCTGAAGTACACAAGCATGGTCGCTCTTGCCGCTATTGGGTATTTAGTCCTGCTAGTCGTCTACCACTTTGCGGCCGACGAGATCCCCAACGACCGGGATATCCGGATCATTACTTGGGAGGGACCGGTGGCCGTGTTGAGTACGCTACCGGTGGTCATTTTTGCATACACTTGCCACCAGAATGTAAGCGAGCGGAGACTTAGCCCGGTGGTTTTTCTTGGTGGCGCTAACTCTTGCAGATGTTCTCGATCCTGAACGAGATCAAGGACAACTCGCCGGGCAGCATTGTAGGCGTCATCGGTTCGAGCATTGGTACCGCCGCGTCTGTCTACACCTTGGTTGCCATCACCGGCTACCTCACCTTTGGCAATGATGTCAAGGGCAACATTGTTGGAATGTGTAGGTGGCTCCTTTTAACATCGCATCTCTCTCTCACAACCCCACTAACACCACGACAGACCCCATGTCCATCGCGTCCACCATCGCCAAGGCGGCCATCGTCGCGCTCGTAACCTTCAGCATCCCGCTCCAAATCCACCCCTGCCGCGCCTCGATCGACGCCGTCCTCCGCTGGCGGCGCGGCCCCAGCAATCCGCGCTCCCCGATCACGCCCGGCGCCACCATGGCGTCCCCCGGCGGCGGCAGCCAGCCGCTCCTCCCCTCGGCGCGCGCCGCGTCCCCCACGCTCGACAGCCACGGCGCTCCCACGCATACCATGTCGGAGCTGCGCTTCGCCCTCATCACCAGCACCATCCTCGTGCTCAGCTACGTGACCGCCCTGCACGTCTCCACCCTCGACCGCGTCCTCGCCTACGTCGGCAGCACGGGCTCCACCTCCATCTCCTTCATCCTGCCGGGCCTCTTCTACTACAAGATCAGCGACCCCGACAGCATCCACCACCAGCGCCTGTCCAAGGAGGACGACGATGCCGCGTTGGACGGTGTCAATGATGACGACGACGATGATGGTGATGAGGAGGCCGCCGTGGTGGCCGGTGACCAGCAGCAGCAGATGGCTGGTTCCGGTTTGCTCGCGGCGAGCGTGGCCAGCCTGCGGTCGACGGCGAGCGGGTCGGGCCGCGCGAGGGGCGGCTGGCTGCGCTCGCGCCGCCGGTGGCGCTGGGACCTGGAGCATCTCGAGACGGGCCTGCTGAGGAAGCTGTCGCTCTGCTTGTCGGTGTATGGGTTTGTTGTCATGTTTGTGTGTCTGGGGATGAACATGTTTTTTAAGCACTAGTTGGTTGGTAGATACAAGGGAAGGGGATTTAGACGGGGGTGGGTTGGATGCCTGCCTGCCTGCCTGTTTGCCTGCCGGGTCTGGATCGCGAGGGTAGCCTCGATTTGGGCGCCGTTGTAAACTGGGCACGGGCACGGGCACGGATGTGGAATGGCGTAGATTTCTTGAGGGGTAAAGTTAGGATGAGATGTGTGGATATAGCAGTAGATCTTTCGGACCAGCGCGGAGTGTTGGGGATCCAGGGGAGTTTGGTGGCGTCTGGGCAAATGCTTTGGTTTTTGGAAAGGGCCGTGGGGGTTGAAGATATGCTGGGCATGTATGTACAGGACGGTTGATTGATACAGATGCAACGCAAGCAATATACGAGAATCCTCCCTTTTCCATTCCACCTTGGGTGTTGGACCTCGAGCCGGTTTGGCCGGTCAGGGTTGCCATGATGCGTTGGATTGCATGTCGGGTCGCTGGACCGTGGTTTATCCCAAGAATATGAGAGCATAGCATTTATTGCCCTAAGTTGCTCACGGTTGCTCATTCCCAGCTGGGTAGAACGGGAAACGAGTGGTCATGGTGAGATTCTGTCTGCTGCTGTAACCGCCGGCCGTAGGTGATCACTATCGGAGCGTGATTTCTCTCTCAACACCCATCCCGGTCCAACCGCCTCCCGTCTCCGGAACCCCCCTAAGCGAAGTCCATACCAGGCGCCGTCGGGAACCCAGGCGGTGTCTGTCCACCGTCCATCACGAAGACTTGGATCACTTGGTCCACGAACGGCGGGTGTCGGCCAGGGAAGATAGAACTTCAAGGGTTGATTCGTTTCCCCCTACCGGCCTCGCTCTATTATACAACCCCTCTCCCAAACCCCCCCCCCCGCCTTGCAAAAAGAAACGCCGTTGTATGTACATGTCGTCGGTTGTGTCGTGCCACTTGCGCACATGATGCCGGGAAATAGATGAATACAGTTGTGATATGATGTCACATCGTTGTTGTCATGTCAGTCAGTTGGGTGAGCTCATCACGAGGCTGTCTTATCCCCTCGCGGTGCGCCCGGGCTCGGTTTCGCAGTTGGTCGGTACTTGGGCGGGAGGATGCCGACCTAGAATAGTTAGCCCCCCCCATTCCTCCGAAATCGTGATGCCATGCTGGTGTGTGTGCCTACCAAGGAGAGCAGCCGCCACATGGTGTCGGTCGGCTGGGCGCCCACGCCGATCCAGTACTTGGCCCGCGTCGTGTCCAGCTTGATGTCCTTGTGCAGGGCGCCCGAGTCGTCGTAGAGGTCGGTCTTGGGGATCGGGTCGTAGGTTCCGATCACCTCGAGGGGCCGGCTGTTGCGCGCGGTACTGCGGCGGGTTGTTAGATCGAGGGTTGTTTTCCATGGGGGGAGGGGAGGTTGTGGGGGTGATGGTTGGGTTGGTTGGGTGGGGGAAAGCATACCGCGCATGAGAGACGACGATGTTGTAGAAGGGGGCGTTGGTGCGCCCGAAGCGCGCGAGACGGATCTTGACCACCATTTTCGGCTAAGGGTTGGGTTGCGGGTTCCTGCGAGTCGGGGTTGGTCGTGCGTTAGAGGTGGTGTGGTGGTGGTGTTGATGGTCGATTAGATTGATGAGTCGTGCACAGGCCAGCCCGCTGGAAATTTTGGACCCTTGCAACAGACCTCCGGCTTGGCATCGGTGTGGGCCAACCAGAGGCGTCAATCGGTTGACAGGAGGGCAGCCTGAGTCGACCCCTTCCCAAACAGGGCACTTGCTGCGTGCTCCCAGCCAGACGTTGCAGCTTGCAGGTGATGTCAGTTCCCCATTCCCCTCCTTTGAAGCCGACCGCGATATTTAGGTCGGAAAGCCCACCGTTGCTCCCGTTTTTCTAACACCTTCTTAAAATGAACCATTCCTCTTCTAACTGAACTAGAACACAACGCCATTAATACTTTAACGCATTCACACGGCTTGTCTACGATGGCGCTCAAGGTGCGCACTCTGACTTTGTGTGTTAAAGGCGTTCCTCCCTAGAAGGAAGAAGCACCTGGTGTTGCGGTCGCTTTGACATTCGATTTTCTAACATGACATGCCACCCAGACACTTTCGGCCAAAACGGCGGCAGCGCTGGATAAGGAGTTGATGAGCACCGGTGCTTTCTCGCTCGACCAGCTCATGGAGCTTGCCGGTCTCTCCGTGTCCCAAGTTGGTCGGTGAAATATTTCCCCATAGGCCTTCGATGTGATCTGTTTGGGTTAATATGATGATGAAATGCAGTTTACCGAGTCCATCCCCTCAACAGGGGAAAGAGGGTGTTGGTTGCTGTCGGTCCCGGTAACAATGGTGAGCGGCCTTTGTTTACTTTCGCTTGGTCAGTGCGCTCACGAGTGCCACGGCTCAGGGGGTGACGGTTTGGTCGCGGCCCGCCATCTTTGCCAATATGGCTACCAACCGAGCGTCTACTACCCGAAACGGCCCAAGAACGACCTATACATGGTGAGCATTTTATTTGTTTTCGGTTTCCGACTTTTAAATTTTTATTTTCCACCGTCGAAGTTCGTCCCGTGAGACTTGGTCCTCAGGGGTTACCCCTGAATGGCAGCGTGGAGCGGAGATGTCTTTTTATTAGCACTACGGCTATTCTCAAAATGCCCGCCGCCTCGTGGGCGTCGGCAACAGCTCTTCGTGTACTTGCTGATGTCTGTGCGCCGGCCAGCCCTGCTGGTTCTGGTTCTGGTTCCCCCTTGCGATAAGCCGCTGATTCGTGTACGTAGCGGCTTGCCAAACAGCTGGAAGCCCTCGACGTCCCCTTTGTGGATGACTTCCCGACCGCGCTGCAGTCGACCGACCACGTTATCGATGCTATCTTTGGTTCGTCGCTCCTAAACCCCTTATCTCCGTCCGTTCCGTTGTCGTGGGTTCCCAGCTAAACCACCCTAGGCTTCAGCTTCTCGGGCGAGGTCCGGGAACCGTTCCCAGCGGTCATCCAGGCCATGGCGGAGACCAAGGTCCCCGTGACCTCGGTTGATGCTCCTTCGTCTTGGGATATTGAGGCCGGTCCTCCCGAGTCCGGGGTCGGCAGCAGCTTCCACCCTGATGTTCTGATCAGCCTAACGGCGCCCAAACCCCTGGTCAAGCACTTTAGGGGTCGTCATTTTATCGGGGGCCGGTGCGTACCTTTTCCGAGTCTCCTCCGTTTTGGTTATCTTTGCTGAACTTCCGCGTTAGGTTTGTCGCGCCGGGAATTGCGAAGAAGTATGACTTTGACATCCCGGCGTATGAGGGGATCGATCAGATTGTTGAAGTTGGACCCGAAGGACTGAAGCTCTGAAGCGCCGGGTGTGGTTTGGTAAATGATGGTCTCTCCGGATCTTGGGCTCCCCTTCCCTTCTCTCCCCACTACATTAACGCACATCCACCCCCGGGGCTGTTTGGGCAGATCCGACTTGGGCAGCCCCCTTGTTCCATGGCGATCCGGGCGACGACGGTTCCGGTGGGACACCTCACCAACGGCAGGCGGAAGGCCAAGCACAATTCGACATAGACTAGGTAGTCTTTCCCACAGGCCGGGCATGCACTGCTGTGGTGCTCAGTGCACATTAACGGCAGCCCAGGAGTTTGCGGCGAGGACGCGTGTTTGGTTGTGGGAGTGGTTGTTGATGCTGGAATGCGTCGGGCGACATGTGGTTACGGCGGGTGTTGATATCTTTCGTTTTTGGTGTGGCTTGATAAGCTAAGCAGCTAAGCACATAAAAGCCTGGGGAGGCGGGAGAAGACGTGGCTGTTCCGGGAGAGGTCCGATACTGTTGTGCATGGAACGTCGTGGCCGGGGAGTGTACGTAGGGTCAGCTCAAGCTCCCCAGGGGAGAAGAAGGGGGGGGGGGGTTCTTGGTTGAGAGGCAGGCTTGGCACGGGCGACCAGCTGGGTGCGTCTCGCCACTGTAACTGTCTTGAATTACTGCAACCGGTGACTTGGAGAGCTGCTGCAGCTGGGGCGAACCATTGTGGGTAGCACGTCCGGCAAGGTCTGTCTGGAAATGGAAGTAATCGCTGGTCGATACGAGACAGAATGGGACATTTTCTTGCTCACGCGCAAGAGCGTTAGCTACTCGGCGCACCCCGTAATCCGCAGCGCGGAATGCGCTTCGTTGCTACCTGATCAATCTCTCTTCAGCACACAACGGAGCTCTGAGCAGTTAGCCGGAGCAAATGCTCCTAGGCGGATATCCCCCCTGCAGGTTTTGATAGGCTGGGACTGCAAGGGGCTCCGGGAAAGAGGGTCCTCTTCAAGCTCCTTGCACGAGCCCCCGTTTTTCCTCAAGAACACCTCGATGGTGCCGTCCATTGCGGGTTTGGGCCCGCGAGGGGGAAGCGGAGCCCCTGTCATGTGTCGCCTGTATGTCACCCAGGGCGGATGTCGAACTGTGGCCATCACAGCTCCGCAAAGCAACAGATTGGCTGCATTTGGGATGCGAAAGTTCAGTTGCAGCCCAGTTGCGAAGCTGCGATACACCTGCAACAGCTTGGGATACGCGTCGCCTGTCGACATGTCGCATCAGGGTCCTCCCACACCGGGCATGCACACATGTCATCTTGACCATGCAATGCACCGCATCTCGGCTTAGGTTAGGTGGTGAGAAGATCGATGACGAGCCCCGTCTTTCTATGTCGTCAGTTCGGCAAGCTACCCTGTCTCGCCTTGTATCGTGCCTACCAGCAGTGCCAGCTCTCGCTCGCGATAAGCGTCGGGTGACCAGGAACACCACGCAACATTCCTGTTCGTCCTGGTTGCCGGTCTCAGTTTGCTTGCTCAGCGTCATTCGAGAAGCCAATGGGAACCCGGGGCAAAGCCACTGATGAGATGAACCTTCCGGAGTTCTTGCTTCGTTGTTCCTGGCCAAGGCTGCTTCCGCCCCTCCACTGCCCCCGCACCGCCGGGGTTCCAGGTTGTCAAATGGAGGTGGGGGGAGAGCGTTCGAGGAAAAAAGATCTCTATCGAATGAGTCCGAATTGGGGATGGGATCTCGGTCTGGAACCCACCCCACCGTCTGCCGCCCGCCAGAGCCTTGCCGGGAGAGGAGCCGAACTGACCGCTGGTTCTGCGCGTCAACAACGAACGGACTTTTGCTTCGGTTGGTCATGCGCCAGGCACCACTTACGCGCTGTTCCAGGACAACTGGGCCGTGTCTGCGAGCAATTCTCCACAGGATCGCCGGGAGCACCCGCGTATGCCAGACACGTCGAATGTTTCTTCATGTTGGACTTGTCGACAATGGATCTCAAACATGCGGAAGTTTTCGCCCGGAACCAGTCCCACGGGTCGACAGCGGGTCCGCTTCGCCGAAACTGTCGGAGGAGCCTCGAAACGGGGGGGGAGGCGGGCGGGGACCCGCGGTACGAGCCTGGAACTTTCCAGCACAGTCCGCGTAGAGACCCTTTCCCACGCCGACCGGTTCCGGAGGTTTCGAATGTACGAAGAATGACCTGGTGAAGCTGGCCCTGTCCCGCGGCAATCTGTACGCGGCGTTACGCTGTCATTTGCGTCCCAGCCAGCAAAAGCTGTTGGAAGCACGCCAAGCAAGAAGTCGAAGAGCGCAGGGTGACAAGGACCCTGAATTTTGAGCAACCTGTGTGGCCCACATGCCGCACTCACATCCTTGTCTCGCTCCTTCTCGCTCGGCGTCAACGGCACCGACCAAAGTGGAAAGTGAAAACCAGCCTCGGGGCAAACGTTCACGACTTTCACTCGCAAACTGGAACCTCGTTTTGTGGATGCTCCGTCAGAATTGACGAATCGCAGAATTCCCCGAACCGCCATACGCCACACAACCGACAACCGTCTAAGCGTCTCCACGATATCAAGATATCCAGCAGGCATAATTCGGTAGTGTACTGCACACAGTAATAACTATTCGGAGACTCCGGGTGTGGCTGGAGCTGTTCGGCAGCTCGCTGGTTGGAAGCGGGTTCTCGACCGAGATTGCCACACATGCGTGACATGCTGCCCCAGTCCCCGGTGTGGTGGGATCGACCGTTTTTAGCCAGCGGTAGTTGCGCCACAATCGACAGTTATGCGAAAAAAGATTCCCATGACGAGCTGAGTGAGGCTTGCCACGCGGCTCGGACAAGCTTTTTTCTTTAAGCGATAATAAGTTCACCTCGAGTTCACCATAAATGCCATGTGAGCCCGGAGCCGATCATTCATCCCGCCACCCGACAGCTCCGCAGTTGTCCAAGTTTCGGTTAAGCGCTTCAGCAGCCACCAACCACCCAACGAGCACTTTGTAAATCCCGTGATGGCATGATGATATTCACCAACGGCACAGGCAAGCCAAGCTATGCCCCGGGAGTATTGGAATAATTACCTTCCTAATGTTTCTTCCCGTTCAGGGTGGCGAGCGTGGCTCCTGGTGTGATGCACGAGCAGGCATCAAGCACTGCATTCGCATGTCGAGCCTGATTGGGGAATGCACGGCAGGGGGGGAAGTTGGGCGGCTTCTAGTACAGACTCAACAGAGTACCGAATTTCCACCCAAGGTCGCCTTTTCATGTGGCGTTGTCATTTCTCAATTTCCGTCACCCCAAGAAAATAAATCAGTTAGCCTTGTGGGGATATTCTCCCATGCCGGTATCCAACAAACCATGACCTATGAGCACGACCTGGGGGAAGATGTCATCTCTGTTGTTACGTTTGCCCATCTTGCCCGGTGTCTTACCAAGACCCAAGAAGAGAAACTGGAGGGCACAACTGCGTTAGAGGCAGCGAAGGGGTGGGAAGAGGGCGTCCCAATGGATCGGCAGGGTTCGTATAGGAACTGACAGCTCAATAACCGCGAGTTAGCGTTGCTTCTTCAACGTTATGATGTGCCCTGATAACCACTGGCCACTTCTCTCTAAGAAAGGGGCTACTTTTACAGCGCCTGGCCTCCTGGCGAATCCCCCGCCCCGGTATCCGATGCCGGGTCCGGCCCTGACCATGAGCCCGCACGTCAGTACCTACCTACGGCGACGGTAGTGCGCCCTCGACAAGGAGCAGAGACCCGGATTAGCGGTGCCACCGAGCTAAAGTTAATACCACTTATCGCAGGAAGAAAACGGCCGAGACTAGGGACTAAAGGCTCCTTGGGTGGTAGGCCTTCCCGTTCGATGTGCTACCCACAGACAGGTCACATCTCAGCCCAACGCCAGCTGTGCCATCCCGGGCTTTCTAAGAGTGTCATTATTATGGGTACGGCTGCTGTATGTCCATTTAAGTATTGTGCTATCTGTGAGCTGACTCGGAGGAAATCAGAAGAGCCTGCATTGCGGTTGGTTGACACTTGGTTGATTCAGTTGTTGGGTCGGGGCGCTAGAATATACGGCAACACCTAATATGTCGTGTTAGTCCTCGCCGTTTGGTGTGATATTAATCCTGGGAGTCCCTCCACCCACCGACAGGACTGCAGGTTTCGGGGGCGGTCTAGGAAGCAACGTTGGGCGCATCCCGAGCTGTTTCCATGCACAAACTCTGGTGTCAGGTGAAGAGCAGCTTCGGGCCGGAACGCGTCACGGCGATGGCTTCTTCACTCGGTTAACAGTCAATAAGTCCAGTCGATAACGAGTTTGTCGCAGACGTCAAAACGAAGAACCGGGCCCCTTAAGGAAACCTGTCGGAATGAATGCAGTGGTTTATGTACCATCTCCTGCAACTGATCCAGTCCAGGGCTGACTACATTACAAGGGACGGCCTCTTGAGGAAGAGTCACATAACACCCACATAGTCTAATGGGGCACCAAAAGCTGATGTGCAGGGGCAGCGGCCCGACTAGGAGATAACCACCCCTTAGGTACGGTACTAGCTTAGCGAGCGACCGTCACCTAAGAGAACGAAGATTTTGAATCCTTCTGGCTATTATTCCCCATTCCGTTTCTACTTTCTTCACTTAATGTTTCTCGGCCATGTTCTTATCTAATTATCGAGACCATGTTTCTTCCACTTTGTTGTCAGGTTGCCCATTCTGGGAAATCGACCCTCTCAAAATCTCGGACCATGTGAATTATGTACCTTATGCGGGGTTTCGCGCTAAGTTAAGGGATTGGTTAGTTAACGTGTGCGAGACTTTCGCGACGCTCGAATCAGTGTCTCAGACTGGACGAGTTCGCATCCCTGGCTTTACCCCCGCGAAGTGGGAGCTCTTCAGCCCTGCTTCAGCTCCGCTCCTTCGTAATAACCCCCGGATCAACTGCAAAATCCCTTCCGTCTCCGGGCGAGTCTGCGTTGCAGGTTGCCCTTCTTTTGGCAGCCGCGCTACAACTCTTATCGCGCTATACGCTAGCCTCTCCTCTGGTTCCTCTGGTTCCATCACGGCCGGGCAGCAAGACCTCATCCACTCCCTGCCCGCAAGCTTCTCAGATATCGTTCCATCAACTCCCCGCCGACCAAATTTAGCCGGTATTTTTCATCTTCTGTCTGTATATGACAACCCGTTCACTGAAGAGTGTTCTTGCCCGTACCTGGCCTCCTTAATGGATATTCAATCTATTGATGTTCAGGGCGGGGAGACCTACGAAGCCGAGATCGAAGACGGGAGAAGGCTTGCGTTTCGGTCGTTGGGGTCGGGGAAGATAAGTTACAGAAGTTATATGGTAAGCCCCAAAATACGGATCCTTGGTCCGGGAAGCTAAAAGATGAGAAGGTCCGTTCAAACGAGAGTTGCGACAAGCGATGGGTTGGCGCCACATTGCCATTTGGAATTCAACTGCAGCTGGTGAACGGGAGACTTGACGAGGATGGGGTTGTCATCATTGCCATAAAGAAAGCAAAACCGGAACTGCTTGCCAAACAGGGTATCGGTCTCGCTGCAACACGGCAGCAGCTCGACACATCTGCACAATTCGGGGGTGTTTCCCATTGTCCCAACCACACCCCACTCAACGGAGAGGAGATGGGATTCGAACTGTCTACAGGGTGATCCGGTCTTTGGAATGGCTAGCTAGGTGTGAAGAGCCAAGGAAGTGTGACAGGAAAAGGCTTGAACTCTACCCACAACCGGCAGAGGAAAGGTGAGGACAATGGCCAAATGAATAACTACCGCCTACACAAACAAATGAACAAGAACAGGCGAATTCCATGAATAACCCCACCCCCCCCTTGAGCATCTGGCCGAGTACGTTTTGAACACGCGCCCCGGTTTCCTTGCAGCGCTCCATCGGAATGTCGAGAAGGTCCGAGGTGTACAGTGCTGAAGAAGAGTTAGCCAAGCTGTTAACGTCCCGTTAGACAGTGAGCAACACCCGGGCCACAATTCGCCCGCACTGCGAAAGTCTCCTTGCATACCGAGGCCCGTTGGCGTGTATCCCGGAAATATTCTGAGAATTCTATTCGGTTTGATTCTCGCCGGCCTTCAGTTCCTGCTTTTCCTCGTCTAAGCCCTCTTGGACCCATCTAAACCGTCTCTTCGCGCTGTCCAGATCGCTGCTGAGGACTGATAACCCTTCTAAGAAGACGTTCTGCGCCGCCACCATATGCGAACGCACCCTCCAGTCTTTCCATCCCAGCTTCTCGAGCGCCTCATCGTAGCGGCGCCGGAGGAGGCGCAGCTCCCACCGGTCGCGGGTGGACACCAACGCACCGTTGTACCGCTCGTCTTCCTCGTCGTACGTGTCGGGGATCCGAGGTATTCTCTCGTCGAAGGGTTCCGACGCCTGGAAAAGCAGTGGGTAGTCCCGGACGTACCAGTCGGGCATGGTCATGGCCGACTCCCAGTCGAGAATACCCGTCATCTCGAACGTGTCCGGGTCGACAAAAATGTTGGCGTCTCGGAGGTCTGGGTGGAAGAGGGAGAACCGGGGCTGTCCCGTCGCGGACGGATCGTCGGGGAAGAGCTCAGGGAGCAGGTTGCGGTAAGCTTGCACCGTGTCGATCGCTTCGTCGTATTCTTGGAGGAACTCGTCCTCGCCCTCGATCTCCAGCTCGTCTTCCACCAGACTTTCCCAATCCATAGCCAGGTGCGCAGCCGTCATATCTTCCTTGTGGTCTAGCAGAGTTTTGGTTGTCGTGATGACTTCTCTTTCGAACACGATGAGGTTATGGATCCAGTCACGGCACGATGGGAAAGGCCCGCGATGGGACTGCAGATAGCGGCGCCGGCCTGCAAAGAAGCAATTGTCCACGGCCGGTCCGACGACGTAGCAGGTGCTAGCCATGTCCCCGGCCGTCGTGTCATCGGCGGCTGTGGGGCTGCCGGTGGCCTGTTCAAGGACGTAGATGGAACCGATTTGATCGAACATGTTATCGGGTTTCCATAGCTGCGACAGAGCGCCGGCGAGCTTATCGGCAAACTCCAGCTTCTTTTCCCAGGGCATCTTCCGCCAGACGCTTCTCAGCTCAACACCCGGGAGCTTCTCCATGAGGCACCAGTCGTAGCCTAGCTCGGTATCGGCAGCAAGGCCCCAGGCCACGCACTTCGGGACAGGGACTGTGGTGCACTCGCTAAGGAAACGAAGTGAGGCCATCTCGCTTTCCATCTTGAGGGTCGGGTCGACCGGAACGGCGACCCGAAAAACGAGGGGTGCCGACCAGGCAGGATGGCTGACGTTGTAAACATTGTGATGCGCCCCGTCGGCGAGAAACTCAACCTCGATCTGCTCTTTGAGAGAGTTTGCGAAAGTCGGCTGCGCATACTTGGACCAGATCAAGTTCTTGATGACCGAGACGTCTGGTTCATGCGGCCAGATGGGGTGCGATTCCCAGCCTGAGGTCCATTTGACGCGGTCGTCTGGCAAGTAGGACTGCCACGCCATGTTGGAAAATCGAAAGCGATGTATTATGGGGGCAAACCGGAACGGAGGCAGGTTTGAGAAATGTGAAGTTGTGGTGAGTCGGCAGACGCGGGGCCACCTATAACCGAGGCAACAATGGAAGGTACGATGTGTTGGTTGTGCAATGGAAGCCACTCTGCTGTTCAAGTTTGCACCGCACAACCACGTGTTAGTGCGTCCGTGCCACGGGTACGGAATAATGCCTCCCTGGTACCTCCCTTAACCGGGCACCCTACCTACAGTATGGGCAAGAAAAGTCGGAATCCAAGTGTAAATAAATGTCGACCAAACCTGGTACTGTAGGAAAGAAACCAAAACCATCCGGGCACCCAAAGAAGCCGCGTTTACCGAAATTTGCTTTTCTTTTGCTTGATTCCTTCCATTCAGTTGCTTTTATTTTTCCTTGGGTTCTTGATTTCCTTCAGGTTTGGCTCTTGTTGGCCAGAGGGTGCTGAAGTCAATACTACCGGCCTAGGTTGTGCAGGCACCGTGGCAGGATGGCACCGATTGCCTGGCCGGTGCGACTCTCGATGTTTGATGCCCGCAATTGCATACGTGGTGTGGTGAGGCGCCGTTGAAGATATCTTATATATGTGCACTACTTCTCAGCATATAGCAATGATTTACTCGAGTGTCTATCTCCTTTCCAGGTCTCAGTCCAGTCCATATACGCATCAGAATCACCCAGCCACGCCAACCGAGCAGAGACTGACTCGTCGAACCATTACCTTACATAGGTACCTGCTCATCTTGCTTCGAGATGGCTCCGCAGAAGAAGTTGATCCGTGAATTCCTCGATGGGGTTTCCGATGACAAACTCTCCCACCTCGGCGGAGACGAACACCTTATCGAGATCGACATGGAACAAGGATTTCGACTCGATTACCAGGGAGTAAGTCGTTACAATCCTGTTGTTTTATGGAGGTGCGAGACGGTGAGATGGTCACGAGATCCACGGGGTCAAATTAAGCCTGGGTATCCCCGATATGAATAACTCGGCCTCTCAAACAGGTTGCTATCGGATTAACACCAAGTGTTCTTTCGTTTTGAGCACCTGCAACTTCGGTTGGATGTTTCGTAGCTCACTTTCACCATTCCCTCCCCTTTTGCTTCTCGCGCTGGTCAACGTGAGGATGACTAGGTAGCCTAGCTAACTCGTGATACCAGCCGAATGACGATCTCAACGAGGCTCCTTACGTGCACCGCCTCTACATCCAGCCTGTAGGCTCCAGCAGGACCAAACCCAAGTCCAAGAGGATCAAGGAGGCGCGACACAACGGGAGGATCTTGGCCCGATGCCATATAAGCGACAAGGCCACACCCCAACAGATTCGTGATGCCCTGGCCCAGAGCTACGAGACGAAGGAGAAACTCCCGGACAAGTCCACTCAACATCCTATTTGTTATGCTCCTCCGGTTAGCGAAGAAGGCTGAGGCGAAGGAACGAAACTGCACCCCGTGGCCGGGCTGTGGTATTATTAACTACCTGGGCATGGCTGAAAAAGCGGCACTCCGGAATATAAGCGTTGATTTATAAGCGTTGATTGACATATAAGCGTGTATTTAGATGGCTGAGCAATGACTTGGATTGGGTGTTGACACTATCGTCTGTGAAGCGAAGGTTGACTTGAGCAGGGCATGGCAGGAAGCATAATTGACTGGAGATGGTAAGAGTGCGGAAACAGTATTAATCAAGTCTCAACGGTGAAGGTAGCGAACTGCTGTTCAGGAGGCACAGGCAAGCAAACCAACAAGCAAAACACCAAAATGCCAAGGGTATATTTGCCGTCAACAGCCAATGACTCGGGGGGGTGGCTACTGTACACTAACAGCAGTCAAGCTGCGCCCCTGTCCGCTTGCAAGACGCTCCAAGGTGAACACGCTCTATCATCAGCCCGATCTATCCAAACCACAGGGCTGCGGGTGACACCGTCATCAAGACCGCAAGATCATCAAAGCCCAAGACCATGCCGATACGTAGAAAGAGAAAAAACAACCGGAAAAAATAAAGAAAGGAAAAAAAGAGATCCATCGCTCGGCAGATTGCCTCCCCTCCCCTCCCCCCTGTCTCCTCAAACGCTACCCCACCTCCCCACCCACGCTACCCCCATCCATCTACCTATTATACCCCCCACTACCGTTCCCGTTCCCGCTGCCCCAGTACGCATCATTCCCCCTCGCGCCCTGCCCCCCGTTCCCGTACGGGTCCTGCTCATACGCAGCACCGTCACCACCATAGCCACCGTCGGTGGTGAAACTCCGCTGCGGCTGCTCCAGCTGCTGGTACCCGGGCCCCGGCGAGCCCATGCGCGGGCTGGTGTAGCTGCGGTTCGGCTGGGTCGGGCTGCGCAGGCTACCCGGGCTGCCGGGCCCCGGGCTGGCGATGCGGGGCGACTGGGCACGGTCGCCGAGGCGCGGGATGGGGCTGTGGGGGCCGTTGTTGCCCGCAGCGGCACCGGCGGCGGCGGCGCCCCCGGCTGCGGTCACGCCCAGGGCGGAAGCGGCGGCGGAATCCCAGCGGTGGTCGAGCGGGGAGGCCGGGGTGGTGGCGTGGAGGTTGGGGGTGCCGGGGACGCTGTAGCCGTCCTCGTCGGTGAAGCCGTCGCGGCGCATCTCCTTGGCGTTGTACTCGTGGGCCTGCGAGGCGAAGCTGTCCGGGTCGACGCCGGCCTTGCGGAAGCGCTCGAGCTCGAGGCGCTCGGCCTCGGCGCGGGCCTCGGCCGCCTTGGCCTCGCGCGCGCCGCGCCGCCGCTGCCGGATGCAGTAGAAGAGCCCCGTGCAGAGGAGCAGGCCGAAGAAGCCCGCCACGCTGGCGTAGATGGCGATCTTGCTGCCGTTGGGCAGGTCGTTCCACTTTTCGGAGAGTGATTTCTCGGGTGGCGCGTTCATCACCTCCTTGACGGTCGAGTTGCCCCTGACGTGCGGGTTAGTACGGGATGCGGCTGGGTCTCACATCGCCACGAAACGGCGCGCAACACTCACTCAATGACCTTGATGCTCTCCCACGAGCCCGTCTTGTCCGTGTACTCGTACTCCTTCCCGCTGCTGTAGTCCTCGACGTAGGCGCTCTTGACGAACATGTCGAAGGGCCCCTGGCTGTAGTCGGTGTCGCCGCCGGCCCACTCGCGCGTGCCCTTGGGCATCCTCGGGTCGCCACCGGCCCAGATGCCGATGGACAGGCGCATCGGGGTCTGCGGGTAGTAGTACGTGTTGTTGGCGTCGTCAGGCACGAGGCGGCGGACCTTGCCTCCGTCAATGTAAAAGTCCAGGAAGTCCTTGGTCCAGATGGTGGTGTAGTTGTGGAAGTCCTCCTGCACGTTGGCGGCCACCTGGTGGTACTCGGCGTTGGGCACATCGGGCATGAAACCCTTACCAAAGTAGTTGCTCTGCGCGATGGTCTCGTTGCCGCCAAAGAACTCCCAGTCGATCTCGTCCAGGTTGTCGCTCAACATCATGATGGAGCTGATGACGCCGGTGCCCTTGGAGGCCTTTAGGTGGACCTCGGTGCGGCCCCAGAAGTAGTAGAACTTGGAACGGATGGTTGGCGAGTCACCCATATTGGTGATCCGGAAGCCGGCTCCGTTGTCGGAATCGTAGGTCACAGGGCGGACTGTTGTCTCCCAGATATCGATGTTTGGTGTGCTGTTGAAGTTGAAGTTGGCCTCCATGCCGAAGGCGGGATTGGGCGGACATGTCTTGTTCATGGGGAAGCAGTCGGTCGAGACCTGGGCGGCGGCATTGCCGACGAGGGAGGACCACGCCAGCAGCGCGACGGCTGAGGCGGGCACTGATGGGAGCCACATGGTGGTGGCGGCGATGGCTGTCCGAAGGAGTGTGTGAATCGGGAAAACAAAAATAAATATTTGGATATATGGTATTTGTCGTCGTCAACGCTTAGGTCAATGTTGCATGTCGATATTCGCACGATGTCGCCAGGACTTCGGTGCGGTAAACCGTAACGGCCGTAAACGGAAATCGCTGACAATGGCGAGATATAGAATCGAAAAGGGTTGAGCGTTGGTCGCAGTGCGAAGGAAGGAGCGAATTCGCACGGCAGTTTGGAGGCAATTCGGGCCTCAGGGAGTGACTGTCGGTAGTTGCAAGCAAACAAACACAGACAGTGCAGTGTCTTGCTTCGAAATGAGTGAAGTGGTCCAAAAGGAGTGACTCGAGCGCCGAGGTGCAGTGATGAGCGCAATTGCACCAAAAAGGACTCGGATGGGTGTCTCGAGGGGTCGATGACGACTGTGGAAAGAGCGAACACAGTGATGGGCAGACTGCAGACTGCAGACCGCAGTGAAGAACTGAATTGAAGGGGTAAAAGGGGCACCCATGACACGCAGGTACAGCTTGGAAACAGCTTGGCAATCAGACCCGAAGCGGGAAAGCCCGTCCGATGCACGAGCCAGCTTCAAGGGAGCCCCTGGATTCTGCGACGAGATCCGCACCGAAGCTGTCCCTTTTGGGATAGTGTTTCTTGGAGCAGCCAATCGACTGGCAGCCGTTCCCCGAGGAGTTGTGCCGTGCCCTTGGCGCGTCCGGGAATGGCTGTTCATTGCTGGCGATCCGGATCTTGCATTCTGCCAAATCACGAGGACAACGATCAAAAACTGGGAGGAGAGAAACGTCTTTCGGCTTGTTTCTATTTTTATTTTTAGTCTTCCTGTTTTTGACTTTTCTGCATTTTTTTGTTGGTTTTTTAGGGGAGATTGTGGAAAGGGTCGGCGGGTTCAAGATCTTGGGATGCACTTTCCTTTTTCTGGTGTCCTTTTCCTGCATTTCCCCATCATGCCGCGCTTGGCATTGCATCGTTTTGCATGAAACTGGCGCGGGCGTGCCGAAGCGGATCCAACCTTAACACGGCTCTCTCGGAACCTGGAATCCACCACCAACGCGCAGACCCGCTGCACCGTTCTACCGGAATCAACAACCAATCGCAAAGGGAAAAGTCATGGGTGATCTCAGGGAACATGAATATTCTTCCATTGCTTCCCAAGCTTGAGCCAAGCGGAAATACGAGAACACGAGGATACACTGCCCACCGCTTTGCCACTTTGTCCAACCGAAGAGTCCCGGAGATGGTGTTACCGCTCGAAACGAAATCAACAAATACCAAACGAAATGGTGTTACTTTCGTAGTATCAATAATCATCTCACAGCGTCACACGACAACTTAAACACAAGGGTACCCCCATCCTACTTCTCCGCCTCGGTCTCCCGCAGCGCCACCGACACCCACATGTCGGACTGGAAAAACAGATTGTAGTTGATGCTCTTCCACGGCTTCGCGGGGTTCACGAGCTGGAAGTCGAACTGGCGCAGCAACTGGGAATTTTGTCAGCACAAGCACAACTCTCTCATCACTGGACCAAGCAAGAACACCCCGGATCAAAGAGAAAAAAAAAGTCTCACCTCCACAAACACCTTATTCAGCTCCAAAAACGCAATCATCTTGCCCGCACATCCCCACCGGCCATACCCGAACGCGAGCTCCGCCACGCGGCGCATCTCGGCGCGCCGCTCGCGGTCCGGTCCCTCCGCGGCCTCGAGCCAGCGCTCGGGGCGGAACACCTCGGCGTCCTCGCCAAACACGGCCCGGTTGCGCCCCGTCATCCAGAAGTTGGGCGCGATCAGCGTCCCGCCCGGCACGTGCTTGCCGTCGATGGTGTCGCCGCCGGGGGGGATCACTTTGAAGGGCAGGCCGGTGAAGGGCGGGAAGAGGCGGAGGGTTTCGATTATCACGGCCTTTTTTTTTGAAGGGGGGGAGAGTCAGTATGGGTAGTGAGTGGGAAAGGGGGGGGGGGGGGGGGTCGCTTACCTGCAGATACGGCATCTTCTGGGCCTCGGCGCCGGTTATGGGGCTGGAGATGAGGCCCGCCCGAATGCCCGCGTCGATCTCGGCCTGCAGCGTGCGGTAGGCGCGCGGCGTCGTCATGAGGTAGAGCATCACCACCCGGATGGTGGTTGCTGTCGTGTCCGAGCCGGCAATGATCTGGATCAGCGCCTCCGTCTCGCACTTGCGCTGCGACAGGCCGTGGCGCATGAAGGAGCCCTGGCGTGCGGTGAGTATGGGGAGCTGAGGTGCTGCGTATGAGAGGTGGTGGGGGACAGGGGGGCATAGGCACATACTAGCATGTCTTGCTGGTCTTTGGCATCTGGTTGGGCGAACCGTTTTCCCACGATCGCCCTGCCGGTGCTGCGATGGGCTCTGTCAGCTTTGCCCATCATAAGGAGAGTCTGGAGGATAGAAGCACGCACGCCATGAGTCTCCCAATCCCTTTCTTGTCCTTTGGAGACGGCCCGGCCAGCTTGAGCATAAACGACGACCCGAAGATGGCCCGGAGGTACGGGACGGCGCAGATGAGGACGATCGGCGGCGCCGCGTCGTTGAGCATCTCAATGTGGCCGTGGATGTCCCGCTCCGCCTCGACGAGACCAAACTCCTCCCCGAATGCGAGCTTGGAGATGGAGTCGAGCGTAAAGTACTGCGCCATGTTGGCCAGGTCCAGCATCGGCTTTCTGTCCCAGGGCCCGACAGCGGCGTACTTGGTGCGGATCTTGTTCGTCATCACGTTCAGCATCAAATCGACGTCGCTCTCGAGGCTCGGGTTGTCCTTGCCCGCGTACCCGGGCGCCGTCTGTGCCTTGACCTTGTCGTGTTCGGTCGTGTTGAGCATATTGAACATGGAGTCTTCGTACGGGTCGGCCGTGCTGAGCTTGTACCAATCGGATCGCGTGTACTTGGACCGCGCCGCCGACGTGCGCCGGATCACATCCGGGTCGCTGGTTAGCAGTTCGTTGGGCCCGATGCGCACCGTCGACGGCGACCCGGCCCCGTACTTGGCTTCGGCCTCACTCCATATCTCGCACATGCGGCCGCTGTATGAGGCCCGGCCGACCCAGAGGTAGGAGAAGGAGGCTAGGAACGGGCCGTTGAACTCGCGAAGACGCCACCAGGCGAGGACCGATGTCACTACATAGGTGGCGATCGCGATGCCGCCCACGGTCAAGACCCACTCGCCGAAGCTGAGGCCCGAGATGATCTCCCGGAAGAGTACCGCCATCGTTGTTGCTTGTTGCGTGCGGGGTATGCAGGGAAGTTGACGATATGTGGCGTTCCGCGTGTCTCAGGCCGCTGATCCAGTCCAGACTGTCCAGTTGAGCTGTATCCGTAGTCCGCTATGTGGTTACACAGCACAAAGCGCAAGCTGCGACACTTGCTTCTGGTGTGTTAAGCATCAGAAGTTGAAACCGGTGAGGTTCGTGGTGGCGCTCGCTTGATGCTTTTTATTGTCTCCATCTTCAAGGGTATCATCCGGCCTAGGATCAATTCGGCGATCAACCCGGACTCGAAAGGTCCAGTCGGAAGGCGGTAAACCCAGACATCGCACCGTCACCGCGTTTCCGCTTCCATTCCATTGGCCCAACCCCGGTGCCGAGTCTGCAGGAGGCCCGGAATCGATGTGACTCGATTCGTGTTTGCACTTGATGGATTGACGCAGAGTCATTAACCTGGTTTATTTGCGAGTTCTGTGAGATTTTTTATCCCTCGCGTTCTGCTCGAGGTTTGCGTGGGTTTTGGAAATCTCCTACACACTCTTGCAAGGGGTATGAAAATGGTATTCTGCCAGTAGTAGGATTACGCAACGATATATGGGCCATCTTCGGGTGACAGGTCGGCGTCGACCCGTGATCCGGCATATCAGGATGAAACGCCAATGTCACCTCACTCTCAGGAGGGTAAGTGATTGCGCCTTGCTTTATATGATTAGCAAGCCGTGTCCCATTCAGGTCCTTTCGCTGTGTAAGACACATGAGGACGGCAGTTGTACTAAAACCGGTTTGCTGCAATGCCAACTTGGGCCTATTACTGAAGAAGATACCTAATCGTCATAGAGGAAGGCAGACCAAGGAGCTTCATGTGCCACCCCAATCGAGGAAGAGGAACCTGATTCTTGCTAGAACTTCCCGAGGGGGTTGATGTTGGTCACGAGAACTAAGCTCGGGACCGATCAGGTCGCGAAAGCGCGGCTCAGGTCAGGTCCAATATATTGATTGAGTAGAGCAAGTTGTCCTCGGTATACGTCTTGCGACGCTAGTAGTAACCCTCTGGTGCCCACCTTGGGCTAGCCTGGTAACAACGGTCAGCGGTACTAGTATGGTAAGGAGATTGGCTTTCCCCGCTTTCAGGCTTTCAGCTGGTCCGACCTGGTCGAGTAGGGAGGTAATCACAGAGGGGATTGTGCCAAGATTGTGGTCGTATTTTCGGCGTTGACTCTAACATCGAGCACACAATATTGGAATCGGGACCTGTTGGAGGTGGTGGTAGTGGGGTATATCAGTACACAGATCCGGCAGGTCCCCTAACGGGAACCGGTCTCCGTTTTGGGACCTCCGATAGGACCACGTGGATGGGGGAACTGGAAACCCACCGTACTTGTGCAAGTGCGGCCCCCAAGTCGAGGATTGGGACTTGGAGACGCAGCTTTGAGGCGTAAGGTACTCGCGTCGAGGCCGGAGCTCGCCACATGGTAAGCTCCACTCAGTTGCTTGGATCCTCCTCAACCACGCCGGGTGAGTCAGGCGCTCGGCTGTCAAACTCTCCCCGCCATTGATGATATATCTACATTCCGTTCAGACTTCGAGCTTCCGTGCGGTGCCTTGGTTTGGAACACCTGTGACCTTTCCCTGTCTTACTCACCGAACTTTGCCGCTCCAAGACAATTATGGCTGACAAGAACCAAACCGTCCAAACGACGCCAACGGACAACCTATTGGCGCCGTACGTCCGCGTAACAGAAGCCGACAGGTTGCCATACACGCCCCGCGTCCGCCTCTGCATGGCAGCCTCGCCACGCCTGTCAACAACCCTCCCCTATGACATCGACTTCCACCTCGAGCGAGACGACGACGACCCCAGGCCCTGCATGATCATATGGAGCTCCGGCCTCGACATCCTCATCCGCTCCAACCTCCTCCTCTTCCGCCACGTCACCGGCGCCGACGGCCGCCCGGGGCTCGAGAGGGTGGATGTCGGCCCCGATCCGAGGGTTAGTAAGTATGCCTGGGACCGGTACGACCGCGGGTGGCTTTGGGGCTCGGAGTCTGGGTGGGTGGAGCTTCCGGCGGGCGGGAGAAGCCCGCGGATGGCGAGCGAGAAGTTGCCGGAGCGCTACCGCAAGCTTCTTGTGCCTGGTGAGAGGTACGAGCTATTTTATCCGGGGGATGAAGCCCGTGTGTGGGTGTGGGGCACTCGAAGGGATCATTGGCAGAAGAAGTTGAGCCTTCCTATCGTAGGTTTGAGGACCCCGGACGCGGAGGTGGAGGAGGAGCTGCCGAAGTTGGTTTTGCCGGGTGGGAGTCGGTCGGGGTTTGTAGTGGAAACGGAAGCGGTGCCTTGGCCTGGGCGGGAGGAACACGAGGCCAGACTGGGGTTTACGAGCGCAAATAATGCGGAGCGGGTTTGGCGATGGGGCGAAGCGGAGAAGAGGCGCGCACCAGATCCTATTAAACCTTCCGAGAGAGTGTATGTGGTTTCCTTTCTCGTCTCGCACCGTACCCGCACCGATTCTGACAAGGTGGTGTTCCATGGTAGACAAGGGGCACCTAACCTGGTCATCACGCTGGACTGCCCTCAGGCATTGGCTTTGCATAAATCTCGCCCGGGCAGTACGACCTTTGAGATTGGCGCTAGGGTGACTTACGACGCCCCGGCATCTGAAAGACCCATCACGTTCGCACATGTGATCTCTGGCAGTCAGGGTCTATTGGTCAGCGAAGTGCACGCGAAGGCTATGAGCTCTACAAGCACCATGACTTGGACGAAGGTAGCGATGAGCAGGAATGGCAAACTTGCGAGATGGATGACGACGAGGAAGGGTATAGAATATTCGATTCCGACGGGCCGGATATCAAGGTTCGAGTTCGCGATCAGAGTGAGTTCATCAGCTTACGTCCAGGGGAGTCCTGGACCACGACATATCAGCTCCAAACGACAACATACACGATTCTTCCGAAGGATGTCAAGGCCGGCGATAGATTCCGCTACCAGTTCCTGGGCGCGGCCAATGTGGATTGGTGGGACTGGGGTCATATCGAGGATGAGCATGCTGAGACGGTCGTGAGCTTGCCGCCCTGGAGGGGGCGAGTAGTTGAGCCCAAGGACAATGGAGGGCGGCCAAGATTGGTGGTTCCTGGTTCAGACGCTGTCGAATTTCGAGTTGTCGGCTGACAACGGGGATTTTGAAAGCGATAGAAATCAAAGCGTGTCTAACAGCTGTGACCTGCTCTGTCGCTGACTGTCGATTTAGTGGTAAAATGCATAGTAGATTATTTTCAGACTAAGTACACATCCGACTCCTTACTCCACGCCCCTGAAGTGTTACCCTACTCGCACAAGACCGCCCGGCAGTCTACCAAATCGCTACTTCGTCTTGGCCCCCTCAATGGGACCCCCGGGCTTGGTCGCCGTGACAGCCACATAACGCCAATGCTCCTGGTGCAGATACCCCTGGGCGCCGGCCACCGTGTTGATAAACCAGCGCTCCAGCCGGAACAGCTTGATGAAGAAGTACGGCACCGCCGCCAGCATGTAGAACAGGCGCAGCATCGGGCGGATGTTGGCCGAGTAGTCGACGACCTTGACGTCGGTAAACCCTGCATCCTCCAGCATGCGCTTGAACACGCCGTCGTGCGAGCGCGCATTAGTCGGCATGGCTGCGTACTTGTTGACCAAGTTCATTTCGTCGGCCACTTTCTGCGGGATGTGCTCCTCCACGCCGATCGTGTGGTCATACTCGAAGAGCGCGAGTTTGCCACCCGGCCGCAGGATGCGGTGGAACCCTGCCAGCGCCTTCTCCGGGTCTGTCGCGTGGACGAAGGTCTCCATGGTGTAGAGGCCGTCGTGGGACTGGTCCGGGATGGACTCCAGATGGTGGTAGTCCATCTTTTGGACCGTCACGGTTCCTGGTGGGAGTTTTGCGCGAGCGATGTTGCGTTTCGCTTTGACGATGTGATGGTCGATCAGGTCAATGCCCGTGACGCGAAGGCCGCGCTCTGCCATGTAGAGCGCCACGTGGCCCACACCGCAACCCGCGTCAACCACCTGCGAACCCGATGGGAGGCCCAGCGCAAGGAAGAGCTTCTCCTCCATGGCCCGCAGGGCCTTCCCTACAGGGAAAGCCCAATATGTGCCCTCCTCATAGTATCCAAAGTGCCGTGTGCCACCCAGCACGAGGCGGTATCCTATCCGCGACTCCAGCGACTCGTAGTATGACTTGAGCAGCGGGTTCGCATCGACGAGGGGCTCTGCCGAATCCCGACCGGTGGTAGCCATCGTATTTCAGGGGGGCAGGGAGTAGATCGAAGGGCGGGAAGAGGGTCGTAAACAAAAAGGATGCGCTGAGTTTCCAATTAGCCGCGGTAGACGAATTGTGCATGTGTGGTTGTGGGAGGACTCTTACCTGGAACAGGCTGCGACAGAAAGTGTCGGGTATTGGGATGAGCGGCCTCGAGAAAGTGAATTCGTTGTTGAGGACTCGAGGAACAAGAAAAGTGTTGCCATCGAGTTCAAGACGCGAGCATCTGATTGTCCCGCCAAGCGAGCTGACAGCCAATGTGAACCCCTGCCATCAAAATGCAACTTCAAGCCGGCGCTTAATTCTTGCTTCCGCTACAGTGCGACCCTGGCTAACCACCGTGATAAATGCTCGGGTACCGTCGCCTTTCCCGCTTCAACTGAAATGTCCGAGAATAAGTTGGCGGTCTCGCAATACCCAGCACAACTTGAAAGTCCCTCTGTAGGTACCTATTGAGGATGTACCTATCCGACCCTAACGATACCGTATATATCAAACCATGCGGAATTAATGATTGATCCTAGCTCTTTGTATCTCTTGATCACAAAGGTAGAACGAGTTCTCCGCGGTCATGACACGGAAAAAGACTTGAGACATCTTGGGGTGGGCCCCCCTGGACAACGTGTGAAGCCTCGGCGGCAACTCAACCTACCATCTGAGGACCTGCATGTCACCGGCCGCCCCTGCAGCAAGTCGGGCCCCCAAAATATCAACTGGTACCACGTCGCCGGTTCCCAGAGGAACACGAAAATGCAGTTGGTTCTTTGCTCGGAACCGACTCGGGGATGGGAAAGAGGGAGGGGGGTGGGGGGTGGGCAGCCCTGAGTAAATACTGGACCATCCTCGCCGTCCTTTCTCGCGCATCTTTTCGCGGTTTGACTCCCAAGCCCAATTCAACATTGAGGCACGGCCGTTGACCGTGTCGTTTTCTTTGTTCCATGCATACATTCTCAGTACACCGTTCTTGATGTTCCAGGGCCTGGCGCCGTTAGTCGCGAACTCGGAACCAGATCAGGCAGTGCCTTGTTCTGTCCGTCTCTCTTTGCAAGTTCCCCCCCATGGAACTCAACGTAACGCTGGCCGCGTCCTCGAAAACAAACTCCTCAAACAACACTCTCGAGCTAACGGGCTGGAACCCATCCGATACAAACCGTGGCAGCATCGACATTCTCTGGTCGTGCTGCATCATCATCATTTTGTGTTGTTGGGTTTCAACCTTCCCCAACATCACGTCACTGAACGACAAGTGGTATCACGCATTCGTCGACAAGTTCAATCTCGCCTGCATTGGTTTTCTTGGCCCAGATTACCTCTTTGCCATTGCCCTTGGCCAACTGTCGAGTGCCATGAGGAGTGTGAGAGTAAGTACTAGCTTTCTAGGCCCTTTTTGACGACTCAACCATCAGGCATGACAGTCTTACACCCACTTCGTTAGCTATTCCAGGATCTGTCTCGCGTCGCCCACGGTAGAAAATGGACCTTGGTCCATGGTTTCTTCGCAGACATGGGGGGCTTCACCCTCGTCAGCCCCGACTATCCACCGTTCCCAGTCAACGCCGAGCAACTACATTATCTCGTCAAGCACGGCCATGTCGATTTTCCGAGCATAACTAAGCCAGAGATCAAGGCACTGAGTAAGACGGACAGCCTATCCAAGTGTGACCCCCCGGCCCACCGCAGCTTGCCTGACGTACCGAGTACTTTTTGGATGCTGACCACCCCACCAGGGTCATTGTACTTTGGCAGGTCCTCTGGTTTTCGGCATCGGAACTGCAGCGAGTCAGGCAAGGCTTGCCGATGACAACATTCGAGCTGACGGCGCTGTCCTTCTCGCTGACCATGCTCATCACCTCGCTCTGTTGGTATGCCAAACCGACTAGTTCAACTTCCATCATGCTACACACCAACGATGGAAGAAGTGTCCAGTACATCCGGGCCGCAGCCAGGAGTTCGGTTAGTCATTACTTCACTACGGCCCATGTCGTGGTGGTGTCGTGAGGTGGACTAATAAGGTGACAGACGCATCCCGGCCTCTCCTCGACCTGGTGCCGCAGCCCCTTCGACTTCATCTCCCCACACCGGCGGTTTCGTGTCGATGTGCACTGGTCCTATTACGCACGGCTCACCTACATGGTGAAAGTACCCTTCTTCTCGCGAGAAATCAAAACGCGCCTCTGGGACCGGCTACCCTCGGACGCTTGGCTAGTCGTCGACCGTGGCCTACTCGCCCCCGCATTCCTCGTCATAGTGGGATTTAGTGTATCGCCGCTGATCGCTTGGAACTGGCATTTCCCTACCGACGGAGAGAGGCTCGCCTGGCGCGTGTGCAGCATATACCACGCCGCCTTCTCCATTGCGCTGGGCGTGTATTACATCTATGCTGCGCTGCTTGAGGATAAGAAGGCTGCAAAACTAGCCAACTACCCGCAGTCTCTTCCCTGCACACCCAAGGTTCAGCAACCGGCAGCTATCGGAAGACCGGCCCTCGATGAGTCACGCCCGAGCAAGATCTGCCATGATGTCGAAGCCGGCTCGGCACCCCCAGAAAATGCTGATGCCAAAACCAAAGGAGTTATTCCGAGGTTGATCACCTGGCTGCGGAGTTGGCGGAACATCTCGCCCGATCGTGACCCGGACATGGCGATCGGGCTTCATGCGACCTTCCCGGCCCTGATAGGGACCTTCCTGTACATATTCTGTCGGATATTCTTCTATGTGGAGGACTTTGCTTCGATACGTCAGCAGCCACTGAGCGTCTACACGGCCATGAACAAGTTCATTCCTTTCATGAGCTAGCCCGTGGATAATAGGGTAGAATTTGAAGCTCGGTCTGGGGGCTCACCGTTCGCCTCTCTTTTGTCTCCGCCGCTCGCTCTACCTCGTCTATCGTGTTGCGACTCTCTTGTTGCCCCTCCTAATTGTAACCGAAGTGGCGGGTCCCTCCTAGAACAAGGCGATATCCGATACGAGATTCCGGGGATTCGTAGTAAGACTTGAGCGACGGGTTTGGCTCGGGATTAGCCGACTTTTCGTTTAGAGAAGACATGGTGTCTGGGTGGTTGACGACTTGAAGGGGACGAAGGAGGGAGGGAGGCTGGGCGATGATATGTTTCCCTTTTCCAAGAGTCGGGCTTGGCTGTCCGGTAGTTTCAGGGCTTGTTTTACGTCTCCGCTGGAATGAATGAAATACTTCTTCAACAAGATGGCTCACCTCTCGAGTTGGTGGTCTGAATAACTGGTTCCAACGGGGAATGCTCACCGGAAACGGTATTTGCGGTCTTTATGAGCAAGACGGACGGACGATCCAACAAGCGCCCATGTGCCACCAGCCCCCGGCTGACGTGACATCAATGATCAAATCCCCGGACGGCCCCGCGGATCAGCTCAGGATCACCGGAGCCGTGCCACACCCGCGCATCAGCCCTTCTCCATCACGGCGGCGCTTACGAGGGCGTTGCGCCTTTCTTTGGGATGAGCTTAGTAGCGTTAACTAGCGGTTGCTTTGTTGGGCAATGGAATATACACTCGAATGCACAAACTAGGCTATTTGAATTCTAACGGGGATTATCTTTTTAGAGTTCTGTCTTTTTCCTTCAGTCATCGACTTTTCTCTTCCCTTTTCCCTTTTCCTTTTTCCCTTTTCCTTTTTCCCTTTTTCTTTTTCTTTTCTCTTTTTTTCTCTCTCTTCTTTCCTGCTCTCCTTTCTGTCCCAAGTTTTCTTGGCAAGTCTTGGCAGATGCGCCGAACTGCCGCCCTGCCGCCATCCCGATCGCTTAGCGCGACTCGGACCCTGATTGATCACAAACATCTCCCACTCCACCATGGACCATGGCAGACGGCGCGGACCCCACAACTTCAACGACCAACAGTCTCAACAGATTTCGGCCGCCTCTACCACCACCCATCCCACACGCAACAGAGACTAAGCAGCGTACTATCTCGTTTCGCCACCCGGGGTACCCCGACTTGATTGGGCCGAACCTGGTCTCTCTCGACGCCGTCGACCATGAGCTGGGAGATGGCATCGACTACGACACCGCCCTGGCCGCCTGTGGAATTGTCGCTTGCAACAGATGGTCCCAGAGCTGGTTTGGTGTGAAGGACAGTCAGGCTGCCAGTGGCTTTCGTGCCGTTCCAAGGCCTCACGATGGCCTCCTTCGGGAGTCCATCTACTACTTCTTCGTCAGCCAGGACAAGGACGAACAATATCCCGTGATCCCCAGCTTTGACCACTGGCGCTTCCCACATGGAGACCTACCCGACATATGGCAGGCCCTGGATATCCCCTCCCCTAGCCCTCCCGTTGCCTCGCGTCTCAGACACCTCAAGGTTGAAGGCAAGCATGCCGCCGAGATCCGCGACGAGTCGTGTCGCCTCACAGCCTGGACCAACGCCGCCGAGGCCTGCCACCTTATCCCCTCCGCCAGTGCCACCTGGTTTGCCGTCAACGTCATGTCTCGGTACTGCCGCCTCTCGGGGGGCAGGAATCCGGTCGACGATGACCGCAACCTCATCCTCCTACGCCGGGACCTGCACTGGCTTTTTGACCAGCGCCATTTCACCATCCTGCCCAAGAGGAGCCCCGGTGATCTCTTCGGCAGCCCTTCCCTGGTCTTTCACACCCTGCAGCCCCGTGGAGATTGCGAGCTCCACGACCTGTTCCACAACCGGACTTTACAGCAACCCACCAGCGGCCTCTCCGTCGAGTTCCTCTTCGCCCGGTTTGCATGGTCCATCTTCTGCGACGAGATATACCCCTTCCTCACCGGCACCTTCCGATACGCAGTCCAATTGTTCGACCCAACCACCGGGGCGGTCAAGACGGAAACGCGTAACAGTCTCGGCCTATCCTCGGTTTTCCAGGTCTTGCCGTCTCGCACGTCCAGCCGTAGTATCAGTCCCCGGAAACGGAAGGCAGCCGACACGCAGGCTGACCACGGTTCGGATAATGGTGACGAGCTTGACAGCGACGGCGACCAAGACGAACCGCCACGTGGCCGCTCGAGGGAGCGAAAGCGGAGATTTATGGGGCACCCACGAGGTTTTGGCCCCTTAGCAACTGAGCCCAGCCTCGCTGGCGTTTCTGTTTCTACCTTGTCTACCGACGTAGAATCGTGCGGCTCGGCAGAGGACGGAGCTGAGGATGGAGGGGTAACAGAAGGAATACAAGCGAAAGGTTCAGACTAGCTTCATGATAACCATCAGATGAATTATTACCAGTCGGCCGCTCGCGACTTGCCTCGGTTTGAAATCCAAGGAGCCCGAGTGTCGGCCGGCCGGCGTTATTGATATCCATTGCAGTGAGACCCTGAGCCCATCTCAATATAAGGGCTCGTCGCTCACCTCTCTTCAGTCTCCGCCGCCCTCTCTGCCTCGTCCAACCTATTCCGATTCTGGTTGTTCCTCACGACTTGCCTCCCTTCCCGAAACGCGAAGCGCCCATAGCCAGTCGCGTCTCCCTGCCCGTTTCGATCCCGCCAGGGAGAAAGGCAGATGTGCAATTTTCATCACATCCATCTCTCAACATGGAGATGGCGTATTTTTGGAAGTCCAGAAGAGTCGGTATCCAAGACACGAAGAAAACGCGGATGTAAGACGCCGCGACCAGTGCGAGGAGCGTCTCGTCAAGGGGTACCCCTGAACCTGCGAATACCGGTATCCTTTCGGCTGTTTCTTGGAAGTAGGACACGGACTCGGCCTTGTCTGCGAGCCAGTTCAGAGCAATGCGAGTTTCAGATAGTCGGGTTTGGTACTTGGTCAGTCCGGCACCGACATCTGACAGTCTCGTGATGGTCAAGAAAAAGACGGCAACCCATTAGGTAGAACTGCCCAGCTAGAATAAGCAAGGAACCGTCTGCCCTGCAAACGAAACGACACTCCTCCCACCTTGATACACACACCAGTCCCCCCACAGTGCCCACGCTTGAAATCTTAAGGAAGTGAGACAATGAAGATAAACCTTCGATCACCTGCTAGGTGGCAAAGTAGCACTTTGTTGGCGGCCGTTAGACGATGCGGAGATCTTGACCAACCTAGTAACGCGACGCTACTGGGGTTATCCGCTCGTTGTCGGCGGGAGCTGGTCCAGGCCAGTTGTGAGAGGCTCGGAACCCCAACCTCCTCAGTTCAAGGTCGAGTCCCACGTGGGACCCGATGCTTCCTTGCAACCGAAAAACGTCGAGCCCTGGGCGGAGGGTCCGACCGTGCCCGCCTCTTCGCTGTTGACGACTTAACCTGCAACGTAAATAGCTGCGCATAGTCGACAGAGCGCCCCTACCGCCGATTGGGGGCCAAATGCGTGTCGTTTGGGGGCCGAGATTGGGGGCCGAATGGGGGCCGAAGTCCCTGACACTGGAGTATATATAGGGGTGCGAGGTTCCCAGTATAATCCAGAGAAAAAGCATCAGACCTGCTCCGACTGCTACCAGACCTAGATCCCCCTCCCCTATCAAAGTCCAAGTTAGTGCATTGCTTGAACACATGTTTTACGATGGTTAAAAGCTTAGCTAACGTTCCTCTCACACAGAACCTATCTAAAAGTCAACTCAGCAACACACCTCACCTTCTACCATGAAGTTCGATATTGGCAATCTTGTTTTGGCGGCGGCTTTGCTGCTTGCTGGAGGAAAAGGAGCAATGGCGTTCGACTGTGAGGTGTTGCAGTGTTTCCAGGACCATGGCGACAATTTACCCATTCATCAGACGGTTCCTTTCTGCCACAGTGATGATATGTACATCGGTCCCGAGGGTGGGCAGCAAACCTGCCGCTGCTTCAAGGATGCGTGCAGTCTCTTCAAGTCTCGATGTGAGGGTCGTGGGTGGCGAGTACACACGCTTGGGGGCTGTGTTTGTACTGGGCCGAGCGCCTGCTGATTGGAATGAGGGTTGGCGAGAACGATTGGACCACAGTCATATATTCTAGCTAGAAAAGGAAAGGCTTAAGTGAGGATTATGCCCCTGATGATGACCATGCTATTGCGCACCGGACTTGGTGTAGGCGGCCTCAGTACCATCGCCGAGCGCTCGTAGGAACATGTTGGAGGTGGTGGTAGTGAGGTATATCAGTACACAGATCCGGGAGGTCCCCTAACGGGAACCGGTCTCCGTTTTGGGACCTCCGGTAGAACACGTCCGCCTAACCCCAACCTTGTTACGAGAACAGCCGTGACTGTGAGTAGGTACATGAGGCTACCCACAGCTGTAACTTGCATAACGACCCTCATGGTCTCGGACCAAGTTCATCTTTCCAGCCGCTCATGTCGGAACCGCTGCAGCAGAGCTTTCGACATGAGCCGTAGGACACTTAGCAACAAGAATACCTCTCCACAAGCCGGGCAGCTCAGAATAAACGGACACGGTGGTTTTAGTTGGCCGGTCCATACAAGCTTGTTAGGACAACAAAATAAGAAACGCATATCCCAATTCAACTCGAGAGAAAGGCCTAAAAACATTAAATCTCAAGGAGTACTACACAGCCCAACGCAAAGTCGACGGCCGGGATTTCGAGAAAAGGGATTAGCATGCATTGTCACCACCCTTTCGATCACACCCGAACCCCGTGCAAAAAGCTCTTCCCATTCCGCAGATTGGACAGGATACGGCCCTCCCCCCCTGGTCCAATTCGCTGGCCATACGATAGGAAGCAGCAAGATATCGCCAACAACAACTTTACATCATAAGGGACCTCTAGGTTGAGATTACCTAGCAATGATACCCACAATGGTAACCATCGCAACCATCAAGGACCGCCCTCACCCCATGCTGATACGGCCATCGCTACAACCAGCAGCCGAGCGGGCACGATACCTCAACGCCCTGCTCATCCACTGCCATGGGGATCAGGATCATCCAGATACGGCTTGCAGCCATTGTAACAACAATCGCTCCCGAGGCCCGTCCTTGTTCTGCCGGCAGGCTCTCGGTTTATTCGGCGGCGCCTGCTCAAACTAAGTGGCGAGACCATAGCGCCCGCTGCGGCCTTCCGAACAAAGCTCCCCCTGACACTGACGGCGAACACTTGGGCCATCTGCTCCTCCCCTGGCGCGTTGGACACTCGTTTGTTCTTGTCTTTGGTGGTGGTAGGTAGGAATGGATGGGAATTGTCACGGCAAGGGGGAAGGAAACGCCAAGAGGGCCGGGGAGATACCAGAATATGCACAGCCTGTTGAAGCTCGAGAGAATGATGATCCGCAAGGACGAGAATGAAGCAATGAGGCGATTCGTCGCCTACCACTACAACCACGAACGAAGAGGGAAACGCCAAGAGGGAAACGTCCGATGGCACTGGAGGCGCCGATGCCGGTGGTGGAAAGTCGGGTTCGTATTTCAGTGTCGGTTGAGAAGACATTGCCCGCGCTTTGGTCAGAGTGGCCATGGGCGTGCAAGGGGCTGTTGAAAGACATGCTCCTAGCAGAGATCCTTTTTGGGGGATTGGTAGGTCAGGGTTGTCAGAAATGGGGGTGAGTTTGACTAGAACTGGTTTTTGCGGCAGCGGTGGGAACATTGAAGCCACGCGTCGTGTTCCATGGACCATGGTCCGCAACACGGTGACAGGGCGCTTTACCACTCTCCATCGGCAGAGAATATGAACGTTCTTCTCAAGCTGAGGCTCAGAGACTGATGCAACATGACCTGTTTTATATAAACCAAGAGTAGTTGTATACAGGTGTGCCACTATCAAGCAATGTGATGCCCTCTTTATATCCCCGAAAACCCTCGCCCTTGATACCAAAACCAAGCGCCATACTGTCGGGGTCCCCCCTCCAGACGGGCACATCAAGCCTTCTCCTCGGCGTGTTGAACTTTGATATCACTCATCGCCTGCACAGCGCAAAAGCGGTTAGCACGGTTCCCTCAAACACTAGGTAGGTAACCTCCCCAACAAGTCAAAGAACGTACCTTCTCGTTTTCCGACGAAGCAGGCCTCTCGCCATCCTTTAGCTGCGCAGCAGCAGAAGCGGTATGCCCAACACAGACATGCTTCCTGAACTTGCGCGCGGGCAGCTTCGCCTCAAACATCTCGTCGATCTCCTCGAGCGTGCGGCCCTTGGTCTCGGGCAGGAACACGTAGACCCACACGGCGGCGATGACGCACGACGGGAACCAGATGAAGCCGTACTGCGGGCCCCAGCTGAGCGACTCCGGGTTGATGAAGTAGGGCGCCGTGAAGGTGGTCAGCCACGCAAAGAAGAAGCCCACGGCGGCGGCCAGGCCGAACGTGTAGCTGCGCAGCCGCTGCGACGGGATCTCGCCGCCGGCCAGCCACGCGTAGGTCGCGATCATGCCGTTGTAGCTCATCATGTAGATGCACGTGAAGGCGACGAGCACTTGGCCGGTCGAGGTGGTGCCCGGGTGGGTCTTGTAGACGACGGCGATGATGAGCTGGAAGATGCCGCAGAGGACCAGGCCGATCATGATGATGACGCGGCGCCGGCCGTAGCGGACCACGATGAGCGAGTTGAAGATGATGGCGAGGATGCCCATGGCGCTGAGGATGTTGCTCATGCCGAAGGGGTTGGCGACCTCGGACATGCCGAGGAAGTATGCCTTGTACGCTATTTGGAGGGTTAGTTCTGGGCGGACCGGGTAGGGAGGTCATGGCAAGGGGACCTACCGATGATAAACATGGATCCAGACGCAGCCTGCAGCGTGACGGAGCACACTGCGAGCACGGTACGCCGCCTATCGATGGGGTTGGTGAACATGTCCATGACGGAGACGCTGCTGCCAAGCTCAATCTCCCGGTCGATGGCCGCCTTGATCTCGGCGGCCTCGGCGTTGGCGTCGGCGTCGACGGGACGCAGCCACTGCAGGGACTTGACACCCGCGTCGTACCGGCCCGTGAGGATGAGCCAGCGGGGAGACTCGGGGATGAAGAAGAGGGCGACGGTCATGATAACGGGGATGATGTAGATCATGCCGAGCGGGATCAGGTAGGCCGATTTGTCGGGCCGGCCGGCGGTAGCCCAGTCGATGATGGTACCGATGAGGGTGCCCTAGAGAGCTGAGTTAGTACCCCTGAGCCCAAAACCCCCGCCGCAAAGACAACCTACAAAAGATGTGAAAAACTGGAACGCAGTAAGGAACCATCCGCGATACCGTGCCGGGCTGCTCTCCTGGATGTAGAGTTGCGAGAATGTCATGAAGTAGCCGTTCGCCAGCCCAATGAGAAACCTGCCAGCGTAGAGCGCCCCAATGTTCTCGGTGGCCATCATCATGATATTGGCGATGCAACAACTGAAGCAGGCAATCCAGAGACATTGTCTCCGGCTGATATAGGTTGCCACGATGCCGGCTGTCCCAGAGCTAATGAAGGCGCCGAGGGTCATAAGAGACGAGATGAGCTGCTGTCGTTCCGTGTCGAGGTTCCACCCGAGGGGCGTTCCGGGGGCTTTGTGGCCGTAGATCTGTGGAAAGAACCAGCGTCAACTTCATGTTCTTTCGGCCCCTTTAAGACTTGAAAGGGTCGTCACTACGCACCTCGAGGAAGCCGCGCATGGCCTGTAGGCCGCCGATGAGACCAAAGTCGACGCCATACTGGAACGGCGAGAGTGCAATAATACCACAGGCAGCAAAACACTTCCAGTGGGATTTCCACGTCTCGTCCGTCTTGGACGCCATCCCGTGGAGTTGAGGGCGAGATGGGTTGATGTTGTTCGGGTTCCGATCCGGAAGGGAGTACAAGCTCAGGCAGTCAATGCAGGACGGCAAAGACGGAAACGAAAAAGAGGAAGGCCCCTGGTTGATGTACTACAACCTCGTTCATATATTCACATCTGGCTTTTCCTGGCAATTAATATGGGCTAGACCCATCCGCATGCCTGCTTCCATGCCGGACTCCATTCTCCAATCTGGGGAAGCAGGCAAATGCCGACCAAGCTAGGGTGTCACGAGCCATTGGCGGAGACCTTGCCCATGCGGAGAACAAACATGGTCGAGGATCACTTCGGATTGTTGGAGATGAGGGCAGACGGAACGGGGAACCACATCGCCAAGAAGGAAACGAGAAAGCGGGGGAGACCAAGAAGGCCAACGGTCGAGCGGCCATCCCAGTCTCCCCCAGTTAAGTTGACCCAGTTTGACCCCAGATCATGCACCGTCGTACCGGGTCTATTGGGGGGGGGAGTTGGCCTGTCGGCAGTATGGACACAGTAAAGGCTGAACAGAAAGATTAATACCGTAGACAGGCAGTGGTAAGTTGTCCTGCACATCCCCCCTGTTCTTGTCGTCTGGACTGCCGTCATTGGACAATCGAGGTTGCCGCACAGGGTAGGGTAACATCTCCCGCGTGCGCTACCATAGCAGCTAACCTGATATGAACCAGGGAGCCGTCGAACCCCAAATGTCTCCATCTCGGCCTGTTCGGCAGCTTGACTGACCACATGGGGATCTGCTTCTCGACCGTCTCCATCTGTGCAACCGTCACCCGGGTGCCCGGGTGCCTGGGACAGCCTGCCAGCTACCGCATGGTCCGCATGCCATGCCGACCAGTCCAAGTTGAGAATAGTCTTCCGGCCGAGACAAGGCGGAGGCGCTTGTGCAAGCCAGTCTACCCGACCAGAAGGGTCTGGACTCTGCAGCAACTGTGTGACGGTGGCAGGCGGGCAACGGTTCGGGGCACAGATATCGGACCGAGATCTAAGTCCGAAACGTCGAGAAGGGTTAGCGTGACAGACGTCCATCCACGTCCAGATGCAGACATCCTCCGAATCGAACTTTCTCTTGAACAACAATCATCGGATTCACCGCTCTAAATTCGGACTTTTCAGGAGCTCGTCGCTAAACACACGACGTACCCAGCCTCCGGGTATCCCCCGGAATAACAGGATCGGCAATGGTCCTATGCGAGTCGAGTCGGGATGAGGTTCGCTTCCGACGTGCTACGCCCTGACCACGGTCACCAACTGAACGGCCATGTGTCGAATCCTGTGAAACTCGACGACCTCCGAAGATCTAATAGCAGCGAAAAGCATCGGAGTCGAAGAATCGAAGCACGTCTGATTTCCTCCAAAGCGCCGGAACCCATTCGCTGCTGTCCCCCAGAGCAACACAAAAAGAAACAAGAACAGTCGGAACATGCGTCTCACCAACAATGGTCAAAACGGCCCCTGGGGAGAGAATGGGCACCTTCTTGCCCTACAGGGATCTTTCTGCTATCCCATGCCTCCACCGCTTTGCCCTCCGAATAAGCACAGGATCTTGAAGTCTGAGTTCACACTCGGGAAATGACTCGGATGGGGCCCTAAGCGCCATGACTCTTTTCAGAGTTGCATTCATCGGAGTAAACGGCACTCATTGCCAGCCGAGAACAAACCTAGAACTTGCTCGGTGTAGTTGCTGTCGGAGTTAAAAGGTATTGATCATGCCATGCTCATGCCTGATGCAAGCCTCTCCCGGTCCCGGCCGTCTGTTGTCACTTACCAGCGGCAAACCGCTGCATTCAACTCTCGGCCGAAGTAGACCGGTCCGTGGAAGGGATCAAGAGGGAACCGCCTACCGTGGGTCTGAATTTCTCAAGTCACACGGCCGCCCTGGCGCGGGTCTGTTTGAGTTAGCGCACTGAAAAACCGTTGAAAGTTTGAGCAGTATAAGAGCTCGGCCCGCAAGAAGCTTTGCAGGCAATGTTCCACAGCAGATAGATGAAACCCGGGTTCACCTTGACATTATTGCACCGCGGAAACTGACCCCTACAAGACAATGGTTAGTTTGTCCGTCACGTCGCTGCTCCGTCCATGGCAACTCCTGTCTTCGGGAACAGCAGCCACGCACAGTGGTGGTTAATCATCGAATTACCCATCAAGGTCACTACCCAGCACCTGTGGCGCTCTTGTAAGAGGCTTTTATAAACCAACCCCCAAGGATCCGACGTTTCCGTTGCGCCGGGTTTGTGTAAGATCCTGCACCGCTCTTGTGTCGGTGCCTGAGAACCCACAGCTTACTGCCGGGGGTTCTCCTGGGTCAAAGATGCTGACATTCGGTATGGTGGGTGGCAGGGTGGGCGTGTTTCAGACGAGACAGCGGGTCACCACCGCAACGCGTTCTGTGTTCACCTGTCATTGGTGTGACGCCCCTTCAAGCCGGCCGTTCCTTGCGCGCTGGAGCCGCCACACGTGAGTGACCGCCGCTGTGCAAACCTAAAACGGAAAGACGGAAACGAAGTATCAGGGAAACCGCATACGCAGGCGGGCGGGTGTGTGCCATGTGGGTTCCCACATGGGTGACACGGCCGCGATGCGGGTCAAGCACAAAGATGCAACTTACCAGGGGCTACAAATGAGGTGACTGAAGGGGGCGTCGTGGAGGAGGATCCAGTTCTTAGGGTCAAACGAGAACACAGTCATCTAGCACATATCGGCTAAGGCTATATACATCTGCTACCAGTGACGTATTTCGCCATACCACTCAATCTTGTTCTGCCAGTACACCAGAGCGAGTACGCCTTCTATCAGTCTTCGATTCCGCCTTGTTTCCCAGCCAAGCCTGGGGCATATCTCGGTCTTGAACTTGCGATCATGTCACTTCTGACTGAGCCTTTTATCTATCCAAATTCCCCAAGCAGTCACTGCATCTACCTTCCACAGATATCACGCTGGGCTCAAACCCGGAGACCAATCTCACCCCCAGAACCCTCTAGAATACGCCCCTCGCTACCCCCTTCACATGCTCACGGCGTCATGGCTCTGCAATCCGAAGCTTCTGCTGCTGCTAGCAGTCCAACGTTGAAGGAGCTCGTTGAATCCCTGAGAGCTCAGGCTTCAAGGACGCCGGACACATCACACGTTCAACCCGACCATAGTCAGGACGCTGTGTCAGCCGTCGAGCGCCCGTCAGAACGGCCAATGGTCCCAACAAGCAGAACTGACTGGGAATCCAAAAAGAAAACCATACAGGAACTCTATATGGATCAAAACATGGTCCTTAACGACGTCATCGACATCATGATTACCAAGTATCGGTTCAAAGCCACGTACGTATGAACTCCGGGTTCTAGGAAGAGTGATGATCTCTGACAAAACGCCCAGCGCGAGGATGTACAAAGGGCAGTTCGCAAAATGGAAATGGACAAAGTACAACAAGTCTGGCAAACCCGGATCAATAAAAACAACAAGGTCAAGAGTTGTGAAGAGAAAGACCACGACTGCTCGAAAGCCCGCGGCCCGAGCTGATGGGATGTGGGAACTGATGCCCACACAAGCACAGCATCTGGTGTCGCTTTCACAACATGCCCACCTCCAGTATCTCACCGACGAGGATTGTCGAGTGGAAACCACTCTCAGCGCCTATGCCGCCCTGATATCTCACTGGTCCGAGCTGGAAACCCCGTGGAGGACCGACTCGGACCAGAAACCCAACTTCTCTGAGCTCTTCCAACCCCGGGGCTATTCCATCCTCCAACACGTCCGATCCGCATATGACTTCTTCCAGGCCGGCCAGCCACAGCAAGGCGGCGACATGCTCCGCCGCGCTTTCCTCGGCATCGAGTCCGCCGTCGAGAACGGGATCGACATGGAGGCCCTCTGGGACTGCTGCCTCGCGGTGCCACACCTGGTGCTAGTCACGGGCTGGACCGACATGCTCGCCATCTTCGCCCGCTACCTCCACCAATACACAACCATCAAGCTACAATCCCACCACCCACTCACGCACATCGCCGCGGCCCTGCACCGTCTCTCCACTCCGCACTGGCACCAAACCGAACCAGCATTCCCCCCCTCTTCCACAACAACAACAACAACAACATCCCTATCCCCAACCCACCCCAACTCCCACCCCCACCCGAACAACAACAACCACCACCACCACCACAACCACCACAACCACCACAACCATCACAACCACCACCTCGCAACCTTCGTCCACCGCGCCTGGCACCTCTGGATCACCACCACCAGCCACATCCGCGGCCGCCACGACGACGTCACCATCCACCTCAAGCGGGGCTACGTGACACTCGTCGACGCGCGCCACGCCATGGCGGGCGACATACTGCGGGACTTTGGGCGGGTGGTGCGATCGTCGCTGGCGCGCTGTGGGGAGGGGGCGACGACGGCGAGGATTTTGGAGTTGGAGCATTTATTGGGGCGGATGTATTTGCCGCTTTTTTTGGATGAGGGGAGGGGGAGGGGGGTGGAGGGGATGTTGAGGGGGGTTGTGGAGAGGATTGTTGGGGAGGGGGGTGGTACTGGTAAGGGGGGGGTTGGTGCTAAGGGGGGTGGTGGTGGTGGTGGTGGTGATGGGGGGTATGTGGAGAGGTATTTGGTGTTTAGTGCGCGGAATTTTATGGCGGGGATTGCGGAGGGGATGGGGGAGTGGGAGAAGGCGGGGGTGTTGAGGAGGGAGAGTTTGGGTCTGGGGGAAGAGGGGGAAGGGAGGGATTTGTTTTGGGTGCAGACTTCGTGGCTGGTTGAGTCTAGGCTTAGGGGGCAGGGGAATCATGAAGAGGCGGACCGCATTCGGGAGGCGAGGGCGGAGGTGGAGGGGATTGTTGGGATGGGGCAGTTGGTGGGATACTGACGGCTTGGATTCAGGGGGTTAAACTGCTTACACCGTGGTTGACACTGATGCCCGGGGATACCATTAGTTTCAGGCTGTTCACGCCATGTACGAGGTCATAAGATAGGATCAGTGGAGTCTACTCATGTTATTTGAAAATACCACTAATCATAGCTATAAACTCATTCTCAACAGTATCAGGAAGCATCAATATACTGAAAACATGTGCTGGCGTGTGATAAGCCCGATCAAGACCAAGGGTTCCGGATGCTGGTATCATGCTGAACCAACGTTACTTGCTGCAATAATCTGGTCCATCTCCCTCGCGTGCAGCAATGAGTTGTCGATTTCACCTAAGTAAACACCAGTGGCAATGCGAAGTGCAACCTCGTGTTCTGTGTAGGGCTGTGGTTGTGATCCTGTAGCCGGCACGGCCACGTCTCTAAATCGCCACTGCGCACATGATATCACCTTGATTGTACAGACAGGATGTCACCTACTCACAATATCTGTAGAATTAGAGATTCAAATCTGACATCCTCGAGCTGCGGCCGTAACTCTCCGGCCCCTTGCTCAGTTCACCGTCGGGTGCCACAAGCGTTGACACATACATTATTATCTTCTCGTTTTGAGGATCCATCTCCGCCAGTTTCACTTTTTAGCAAGGCTGGCTTTTGGAAGAGTACTTGATTAGGGAGTATGCTTGCTTTTCACAGACCGAGTGTACTAAGGCATATTGCTAAAGTCTCTAAGGGGGGGGGATTCCCAGGTCTCAGGGTATCTCCGACACGTGAATATTGCTCCGGTACTACAAGCAATATATGCATCGTTCTGTTAGTTTGGAAGGTCCACACCGTGACTAGAGCCACGTATTGGAAGTCCCTGCAGCGGCCAGTGTAGGTACCTAGATACGTATCTCAGACAACTAGGCATGTATTAGTTTTATTGAACATAGGTACCTACTTGGCGAGGGTAATGACGGTTAACTATGGCGAGGAGATATTGAGTATAGTACCTAACTCATGCACCATCTACGTAATTTGGTGGAGATAACTTCTTACGCTACATGCCACTCAAGAGTCGAGGTGTAGTGAAGTGACTTCAAAAGGGGCGGACCTCGGCGACCAATAACACGATCTACAGTAATGGAAGACGTATTGGCGACCTATCAAAGCGCCGATCAGTCTCGAGGGAAAAGGTTACTCTTATGAAAAAGCAATGGCAGGGTGAGGATCTCGATCCCCATCTCCGTCATAGACCCATAATAACATGACGACATAGACTCTTGACGACTGTTATTTATTCACCCCCTTTTCACAAGTAAGCTGGCCATATGTAACCTCCTTAGTAAATATAACAAAACAACTCATTTATCATTAAACCGCCGCCCGAGAACTCCATCATCACGCAGACTAAAATATATCCTCATAAACCACTCGGAACAACACAACAACCACCAACATGACAGAACGCGCCCCCGGAAAGGAACAGCTCAAAGAGGTCGCCCAGCAGGCAGAGCGCGACCTCAACACGTACCAGTCCAAGACCGGCACCGGCAAAGGGCGGACCGCAGGGCTCGACGACTACGGCGTCAACGAGACAGTCGACAAGAAGTTCCCCGGCGCCACCGTCAAGGTAGGCGAGAACCTGGTCACAAACCGGAGCTACGACCGGCCCATCCCCACCGACGAGGGCGGCGACGTCGACGACAAGGGCCAGTAAGTGTTAACCCCACTTCCGCCCCCCTCCCCCCGGGCAGCCGAGAATAAACACAAACACCATACTAACCCCCCTCCCCCCTAACAGCTTCGTCCGCGGCTCCGCCTACGAAGGCGCCGGCGGCCCGGAAGACAAAACCGCCCACGTCTACCAGCACCATCTGGGCAAAGTCGAGGAAGCCACGGTACGTGGCTGGGGCAAGGACCCGCACGCGGTCGAGCGCGCGACGCTGCGCGCCGACCGGCCGGACCTGCTCCCCGCCGACCAGGCGCTGGGCGGGCGCGGGCGCGAACCGGCTGGGCGCGGCGAGGTTTCGGAGCAGGGACGGGCGGCGGCCAAGGCGAATGTTGGGCTGGGGGTGGAGAGTGGGGGTCGGGGTGGGGAGGTGCCGGCGCAGGGAAGTCGGAGTGGGAGCCAGTTTAAGGGCGAGTATTATGAGGTGATGGAGGAGGTGCCCGATCAGAGGGCCGATCAGAATGAGGTGCCGCCTGAGACTGTGACGGAGACGTCGAGGAATATTTGAGGCTGAGGGGTTTGAGGTTGGGGGCTGGGTATTATCTATCAGGTATCTGTATGACTATGGCAGTAGCGCGTTCTACTTTATGTGTCTATGTACTGGTCTAACTCTAAACCTCGTACGTGTGGTGGTGCCTCCTTGAACATGTATGCTTCAAAGAGTGGCTTTCGGAGACCCTACGGTCAAGATGAACTGCAACACCGGCATGAACCACTTGCCGACGGGCACGTAGTGCCCACCGGGATGCATCATGGTTTGGGCGTCCTTGCACTTCGCGGCCAGCTTCCGGGATATCTCCTCGACCACGATCGTGTCTAGGCTTCCTATGACATGGAAGGTGGGCGTGACAATCTCGGGGTTGTACAGCCACTCCAACTCGGGCGGCGCGGCGACGAAGCCGCCGTACAGGACGGCAAGCTTGAGCGGGCGGTGGCCGTTGGCCTCGCGCACGTTATCCAGCCAGCCCTGGTGCTTGGGTTCGGCGGCGGCTGGCGGTTTTCGCCCGCTCTCGAGGGCAGCGGCCAGCATCGCCGCCATGGACGCGCCCTGGCTGAAGCCGAGCACGCAATCGACCCCGCCGTCCTCATTACCTTCCTCCTCGCGCGTCTCCCTCCGTGCTTCCCGGAACACCTCGGCGATGTGGTCCATGCCTTTGTCCAGGCCCTCGTACTCACCGGTGTGGTCGTTCTTGCGGTACCAGGCGTACTGCTCGAGACTGGGGTCGATGCTGATGGGCCCCGTCGGGTAGATCAGCACAACCTCGAGGCCTAAGGGCTTGAAGGCCTTGGCAAACGCTTTGTAGAGCGCGGCGGTCTTGAGGGCAAAAAGCTGACCACTTTGTGTGTAGCCTCGGGGGTTATGTTAGTTTGAGGTGTCAGGGGTTGTTAGGAGTGGTTGGACATACCGTGGAGCATCAAGATGCGGAACTTCTTTTTGGGAGTATCCTTTGGGATTGTGGGCGCGTTTGTCACGGGCCGGGCATCCATGGGCATAGTGGTGGATTTGATAGATGAAGTGGTGCTGTTGATGATCAAAGTGTTGGGGATGGCTGTGACGGGCGAGGCCGGCGGGGCCGGTTGTTGAGTTGTTTCAGACATTATAGTAAAGAAACAATATTGTTCAAGTGGATGGAAGTTGGTCTGTGTGAGGTGGAGGAATCCCGGCGTTCCGAGCGAGGTTGGGCAAGAACTCAGAGAGATGCAAGAACTGGGAGGATGAGGGAGGGTGTGGGGGTGAGGCGGGTATTTATGTACCGAAGAACGAACTGGCAATCAGTCACGCCGGACAGAGCCCAAGCGGGAGCGTAGCAATCTGACACACAAAGTCTGCGCGTGACAGTTGTATATGAAGATGCGTAGGAAGCAAAGCACGAGGACAATATTATGCGAAACAAATGTGGAAGTTCCGCGGGAGTTGTTGCATTGTCATGATCAAGGTAATTGTGGGCGAGCCTCAAGATAAAATGCGAGCTACTTATACAAGCTGCTGGGTGGGATGCAAGTACAACGTAACCACCCTCCACCTACTGCGGCAGCATCACAAGAAGCAGTCAGGGAAAGCCATAAATTATGAGCAAGATATGTAACCTCTACTGATTCCCAGCATATCAACGAGTATCAAGACGAACTCTCAATGCGGGCGCCCAGCAACGGGTGGGTTGATCTATGCCAGGAGCGAAAACATCCACATCAATGGGGAACATGATGGAGGATGCCGATAAACACGCTGAGATCAGCGTGTTAACTGGCAATGCTGTGACTGTGTGTCCAGCGGGGTTCTCGTCGGCGAAACCAACTTCGGGAAGGAGCCGGCTCCTGAAATATGGATGAGGGCGATAACGAAACCGACGTTTGGGTGACGAATCCATCACACGACGCCCACCTCCTCCACTCGTCACTGCATAGCGGACCGGGGATGAACAGCTCGATTGACGTCGGCCGCTCTGTTGGCTGCTCTATGATACAAGTCCGTTCCTCGGACAGTTCTGCGGGGATATCGCTCAAGGAAATGCTGTGCTGCCGTTCTCGCCCGTCACTTGCCGTCACCACTCGTAGCCACCGTCTAGTGCGCAGCCTTCGCGTTGGGGTTCCGGGGGTCGTTCTTGAACTCGTCGGCTGTGTCCTTCGGTCAGTTCGGATCATATCGGGATTGCTGCACGGTGCGGTCATACACGACATCATGGCGGTCTGGGCCGAGTTGACGCCGTAAGCGATGACCACGGCTTGAAGAAAGAGTTAGCTCATATGTGCTCGACGGCGATTAAGCGCGGCATCGCGGCGGAGGGGAGGTCTCGGGGCATACCGGCAGCCAGGAACGGAGCCATGGGGCGCACTGCAACAATTGTCAGTCAGCGATTGCCCAATTATCGACAACAACACCGTGGCTGGTCAATTGACGTACACACTGGCGCAGGGAACTTCTTCAACGGGGCAACGCCGAACCAAGACATCGTGGCGGTATTCTCTGGCGTGACGACGGAGGTTCGGGGGGTGGTTTGGTGATTGGGGTTGTCTGACCAGAAAGCGAGCGTTTTTCGCGGCTCCCGGTTCTGGATTCGAAGCTTGGGCCAAACCCGTTGCCGAGACAGACTCGGCAGTTGTGGCCTTGCATTCCAGGTGTGCTTTGGGATTATGTGGGGCTCAAAGACGGAATCGTTGAAATGATCTTCCGAACTGGCAGAAAGTGGGGTCGGTTGCTCGGTTGAACTGTTCGTGCGGGGGCCAGGGTGCAACTTCTGTGACATCATGCACCCCCCGCATCATGGACAGGTGGGGAGGGAGGAGGCAGCGCCTGGACTCTGGACCCTGGCAGCTCAGGGCAGCTGACCTCCGCATACCAACCAAGCTCCAGCATTGAGGTGGCAACCTGGCAGCATGAAGCAACCACCAAAGCTCTCGTGCTTTCCCTGCATCCTCAACCGTCCTTAAAAGTGCGGGGTGAAGAGGTCGCTTCGTCAAACACCCGCTTCGTCCATCCAATTAACCTGCACCGCTCCCCTCCTCTTTGGCTTCGTTACTTCCCCTCTGACTCGATACCCAATCTCCCAATCTAGCTTCCCGCCTGCCGCGCCTTCCTGCTTTACTCTGCGATTGCCGCCATCACAAGCTGCCCGGCAAACCGAACATCGTCCGTTCAAGCGTCTTCTGCCGTGCTCCTGCTGTGTTTTTGTCTCTCGTCTGCTTTTCCCCCGACCGGTGCGGCACAACACGTGCCGCTTATCGAACGACACTCGACAACCATCTTATCGAGGTTGCTCTCTTTGTTTCATCTTCAATTGGAGCTTGCGTTTGTTGCGCGTGCGTTTGCTTGACTCCCGTCGTTCGGCACGCATCCAACCTCTTCCGGCTCGCGCTACCTTCCCCTCATTTGGGGTTCGACTCTGGGTACTGCCATCGCCCTCCTCAACAACTCATCAACCGAAAACCGCAACCATGCTTTCGCAACGTGTTGTTCGCGCCGTTACGGCCGCCCGGCAAGCGCCGACAGTAAGAGCCTTGTCAACAACAGCTGCAACCCGGAGCGACCGCCTACCAGCCCTGGGCGACATCAAGCCGGACCAGCACGAGACCTTCAACAGCCGGCAGAAGACGTTCCGGTCGCAGCTTGTGGAGGCACAGAAACAGCGGGAAGCCAGTGGGTTTGCCTCATCCCCCTCATCATCCTCTAGCGCCCCCTCCTCTTCCTCGGCCCAGGGCCTTGGATCGCTGAGCACTGCAACCACCGGTACAGGCACTGCGGCACACGCTGCCGAACAACAACCGTCCTCACGTAAGGCCGGCCCTCTAACCAACCTCATCTACGGCACTAAGGAAGGCCGCGAGCTGGACGCCCAAATCGAGGCCAGCTTCAGCCAAGTGCTCGCCCGTGGCAAGTACGTACACTCGATCGAGTTCCACGACGTAAAGCCCGAGTGTGTCGAGGAGTACGTCGCCCTCGTTGGGAAGTGGTACCCACGTGTTGCCGGCTCGGCCGAGAATAAGGTTCACCTCGTCGGAAGTTGGCGCACTGAGGTGGGCGATTGCGACACGTTTGGTGAGTTTAGACTCGGGCTGGAATATGTCAGCTACATAGCTAACAACCTTTGTTTCAGTCCACATCTGGGAATACCAACGCTACCAGGGCTTCCACGCCTCGCTGAACAGCATCTCGCATCACCAGGAGTTTCCCGACTTCGACAGGAAACTTCGCAGCCTGATCCGCGGCAAGCGCACCTCGCTCATGCAAGAGTTCAGCTTCTGGCCGACGACGCCGCCGCGCCAGCTGGGTGGCCTGTTCGAGCTGCGCTCGTACACTCTTCACCCGGGCAACCTGCTTGAGTGGGAGACGCACTGGAGGCGCGGGCTCAAGGCTCGCCGCGAGGTGATGGAGGGCGTGGGCGCCTGGTTCGTGCAGATCGGCGACCTCAACACGGTCCACCATCTCTGGCAGTTTGCCGATCTCGAGGAACGCAAGATCCGCCGTGAGAAGAGCTGGGGCATAGAAGGCTGGGCCGAGACGGTGCACAAGACGGTTCCGTTGATCCAGGAGATGAAGAGCCGAATCTTGGTCCCCATGCCGTGGTCGCCCGTGGCCTAGATTGACGAGTCGGCGAGTCGGTGGATGGAGTAGATTTAGCACAGCCTCATTGTTTAGCGTTGACTGGACTTGGGGTGGCAGAGGTCGCCATGTATATAGCAGTTGCTAATTTCGTTTGCATTGTTTCGTACCTTTTTCTGGCAGCTTGGAGTCGGCAGCAGAGTCATGCGTGTTGTTCTTTTGTCAAGAGCCGGGGGATAATACTGCAATATACAGTTAAGAAAGCTATACCGTTGGGAAAGAGACGTATTTCAAAGATTGCCAGCGCGTTGCCCTCACGCCGGGCTCTCACGCCCGGTCATGCCTAACGCAGCACATAAACACACCCATATCAACCATCCCATCCAACTCCAGCCCATATGAACAACCCTTCTCGCACAAGTTCCACCCCATCCCTGACCTCCTCAATCCTAAACGACCTCCTATCCCTCCCCCATGTCTCCCCAGCCTAGGCACTGGCCTCCCTCACACCAAAATCTCTAATCCTCCCCCTCCACCTCCTCCCCCAACACCGCCGCCAAATTCCGCCGCGCCACCGCCAGCGTGTGGCCCAGCGCGCTCAGCTTCGCCGACAGCGACATCAAGCTCGGATCCGCGCTCTCCACCCGCACCTTTTCCCGCACAAACACGTCCACCGCCTTGTTGGCTTTCTTGCTGCTGCTGCTGCTGCCGTCGCGCGTGCCCGAAAGTGGCACCAGCGCTTGGCCCATGGGAGCGGGAACGGGAGCCGGAGCCGGAGCCGGAGCCGGAGCTTCGCGGCTGGGGATCTTGGCGAGCGGTGCGGGTGAGATTGCGGGGAGCGCGGGTGCGAGCGGGGGTGACATGTGCGGCTGGTGGTTGTGGTGGTGGTCCTCGCCGGAGCAGCAGTAGCCGAATACCTTTTCGGATTCGTCGTGTTCGAGGCGGCGCGCCGTGCCGATTGCGAGAGCTAGTTTCGTGCCGAAGTTGAGGGGCGCGTCGGCTGGTTCGAGTGAGCGGAGCCAGAGCACGAGGGAGCTGTCTTGTATGCTGAGGTGGAAGCTGAGGCTAGCGGGGGAGGTGGATGAGGTGGCCGTGGTGGGTTGGGGGAGCGGTGGCGTGAAGTGGGAGGGCGCTACGGAGCCTGTTGTCCAGTGTTGCGGGTCGCCTGGTGGTGGGGCCCCTTTGAGGACGGTAGAGGCTTCGCTGAGGGACTGGGAGAGGAGCCGGAGTTGCGCGGAGAGGAAGTGTGGTGGTGGGAGGTCGGATGGGAGCGGGGTTGTCGGGGTTGCCGAAGGGTACGAGTAGGAGAGGGTCAGGGTGAGGAGGTCGATCGAGTGGGTGAGGAGGGAGTGGAGGGTTGTGAGGGGGGTGAGGTGGATCGGGTGGTCGGGGTTGATGGTGAGGGTTTGGTGGGGGAGGGTGCGCAGACGGAGGTGGATGGTCTGGATGGTGATGTGTTAGTTGGGATGGTGAAATAGACAGAGCGAGGGCAGACGAACCCCCTTGACTATCCGTGTACCGACGCGTGTGACATGTCCTTTGACAACCTCGTTCCGCGGCGTGCTCAACACTAGGGTGCTCCCCGGGTCTATCGGCGCCAGCAGCGCATAGCAGTCCTCGAGACCATGTTTAAGGTTGGTGAGGGTTTCGTGTAGCTCATCGATCAGCCAGTCGAGTTCGCGCCTCTGTGATCGCACAACCAAAGGTTCGATTAGCACCCAAGATGCATCCATAGTGTGGCCTATCTTAGATATCATACGCCTCTAGGAAGATAGGAGCAAGCATACCTCGGCGGTCTCAATTGCGACTTTAAGCTGATCGGGCGCGACGTGTGGCCAGATTTCCACTGACATGGTGGTAGACGAACTATCGCTGTCCTTTACCCTTGGAGTAGGCACCCATATTCCAGGGTGACGACGACGACAGTATTATGGGCTCTTTGGGAGCAATGTTGAGGTTGCCTAGGCGGTCGACGAGGTGGCTTCGGGAAGCTCCAGGGAACATGACGACGGTGTGGGGTGAGCTCCTGAAAGAGGCAGGCGGTGGGCCACCAACGGTGAGCAACCCAGACTCTTGGCGCATGACCACCCCACCATGGATCTTCAGCAATTCGGCCGTCGGCTTAAGTGGACTTGCTTCGCCGTGATCTACCTCCAACAAACGGACCAGCATCACTGTTTCTCTCCCCAGCGCTATCGATCAAACAAATCCGCTCCAGAGATACAAAATCCATCATTTATTTCGGTTAAGCTTCCTCAATACGCCGCCGAGCTGATTGAACCGCAACGCGCATTGAATCCCATCGAGAAAACCGGGCAACTCCCCCACAATGGCTCCAACAAAGCCGACGAACGACGAACTCGCTCAGCAGAAAGCCTTACCAAACAAGCCAGAAACAAAACTACCCCCCATCCCCCATGGTCAGTTCTCCCCCCCAATCCCCTCATCCATCCACCCACCGCCCCCATATCCCTAACCAAACCACCCAGGCTCCCGCATCCAAAAACGCCCTCTTCCCGGCCCCTCCCCCTCCGCACGCCCCCGAACAAACACAAACAGCACCGCCAATTCCAGCCGCCGCAGCGCCTCCCCTTCCTCCATCGAAGCCCGCATGGCCGCCGCCGACCCGGACGGCTACCTCCCGCCGCCGCGCGCATCCCACACCGCCGTCATCAAGGTCTCGTCGGGCGCCTCCTTCATGAGCCTGGTGCGCAGGGCGCGCAAGGCGCTGGATAAGGCGCCCGCGCGGCAGACGACCAAGGGACTGCCGCTCGCTGCGCGGGTGGCGGCGCTTAAGGTTAGGGGTGGTGTTAGTGGTGGTGTTGCTGGTGGTGGGGGGAGTTCGGCGGCGGCGGTGGGGAATGGAAGGGGGCCGACGGGCCGGCTGCTGGCGGATGCGCTGGATGATGTGGTGCTTGTTGCGACGGGGAGGGCGATTGAGAAGGCGGTGGATGTGGCGGGGCTGTTTACGCGGGAGAAGGATTTGGTGGTGTTGATGAGGACGAGGAGCTTGAGGGCGGTGGATGATGTGGTGGCGGAGGATGAGGAGGCGGATGTGGAGGATGAGGTTAGGGTGAGGTATGTTAGCAGTTTGGAGGTGGGGATACGGTGGGCGTCTTGAGGAGGGGACTGGGTCTTCGGCGATTGACGATGGGTGATTTCCAACCTGGGCTCGAGCTCAGGGGCAACGGCATCGTGGATGTTTTAGCATGGTTCAGGCGTTCGGACGGGAAAAGGAACGGCGGTGCCACGGTGGATGGTTTGGCGTTCAAGAATTGCACGGTTTGGGGTCCCAGCACCACCTATCACTTTCTAGTGCGGCACTCGCAGCTTTGCACAGCAAAGAATCGTACTAACGATGGAATATTTAGCGTTACGTACAGAATAACAACAGGGCTTTTTTTTTCTTTTTACCGCGTTTTTCTCGTGCACCTGGCGACACCCGGCCATAACTGTACACATACCCACGAACGGAGGTGTCCTCGAGGGTTGGCCGTGATGGCGGAGGGTCAGGTCAGCGGGCGGGCCGTTGCTTCCCGTCATGGACCAATTTGGCGGACTCAAATGAGGGACGACAGTTTTGAAGGCTTTCGAGAAGCGGCAGTTTCATTCCGCCCGACGAAACTTCTCACCATTGTCAGAACCCCTTAAACACCCGCCCCAGTCGAAACGGACGATCTCTGAAGCTGAAACTGGTTCTCAACGCACTGGCCATTGCGACTTCCACGATCGAACCAACATCATCGTTTAACCGGTTGAAAAGGGGCTAATCACAGCAAGATTGGGAGAACGGTTCACGGGAAGGGAACATATTTGCCGGATCGAGCGGCATCCCACCGATCATGACCTGGTCCCTCAAGCACGGAAGAGTCGTCGGATCATTGCGCTCCAGTTATGATGTCTCGGGCATCGGGGAATCGCAGGTGAAAAGGGTCAGCGGCGGATCCAGAGAAGCGGGACGAACTACAATGTGCTTCTTGTGTGACTCACGCAACTCCAATGAGAGCAGGAAGAGGCGAGGTTGGGACGATGCAGGAGACATCTTGGGCTTGCCCAGGCTGGAGCCCGAGACCATTAAATGTTAGCGTCCGGCCGGCCGGCGGAGTTCTTGCAACGTGGTGCGCCGAGGAGTTCTGCATGGCGACACATGGCACCAGAAAACATCATCTGTTGTTGCCGAAGCGGAATCATGGAATGGCATCCCCACAAAAAGAAGGCTGCCGCAAAAGCAACCCTGGCCAGCATGGACCACGATCGCCAGCGATTTCGCTTCTCATCTCTGTCGGAGCCGACACGCCGATTACCCCGGACTGCGCTAGGCGTGCTCGGCGTGCTGCCCCTTGCGGTTCAAGCGAGTCTCGTCGGTCGAGTCTCCCTTTCGCGCGGCCCACCCTAAATGGCAGAGGGCGGCACGTTATGCCAGGCACGCCAATCAAGGGCCGTAGAGCAAATTGATCAAATCTCGCAGGTCGCCGCCGTCTGTTGGGCGCTCCATCGCGAGAGACCCCGGGTGGATATTGTCGCGCCATTTAAGAGGAAGCCTAGAAAGAAGAAGGGAGCAAAAGACGCGATGTCGTTGCCTCGGAGCATCGAGCATTCTTTTTCTGGCTCTGGAGCTCGTGGCTGCGGCTGTGGCTGTGGTCGCTAACGAGTCGGGGGTTTCGACAGCGGCATGGTCCAGAGGAAGCGGCTCGGGCAGGCACAGCATCCCACAGCATACTCTATTTGGTAAAGTGCGCTGGCCGAGGTTGTATCCAAGAGCACCGCGCGTTGTCAGCCGGCGACTGCAATTTCCCGTTGAGACTTATGGCACGCCACCGAAACCGTTTTGTGCGGTGGACGGTTGTTGTCAGGGCGGCAATCCAATCAAGGGAAGCCGCTTCCCCAATTCAGGTCCCCAGATGGGGGCCAGAAGAGTGCGATTTCCGCGGGCCAGGATCGCATTTGGCGCCTGCTGAACGATTGGGGCAGGAAGGATGTCGAACATCCCTGCCGAAAAAGACGCAGGTCCCGGCAACCCTCGTGGCGCCAATCCCTGGGAGGGAAAGCGTCAGGTACGTCTCGTTGCGCTGCAGCCTGTGCAAGGCGGCTTTTTTGTTGTTGTCGGCTCTTTGGGTGCTTGGCGTCCAAAATCGCAATTTGCGCCGCAGAGTGTGGCCCTGGGGTTTCTGGGGCCCTGGGATGGGACGGACCCCCCCAGACAAACCCACAGACATCGTGGGCTTCTCTCATTCCTTCCCCATCCCTCTTCAGCTCTGCGCCGCCCACCCCCTCGCTCACACACAGGCTTCGTTGGCAAAGTCTACTCTTAGAGCCCCTCGCCCGACCTTGAATACTCGAAGTATTCAGTCTATCATTCTTTCTGAAACACTCTCTCTAGCGAAACATCATCAAACCCATCTCTACAACCAGCACTTGTGCTCATTCTTCGCTGAAACGACCCTGCACGAATCACTTCTTCAACTCACACTCGTCTCCAACTTCGAGTTCACAAAACAAAACTACGGCCTTGACCAGAACCAAGTCTCTCGGACTCGGAGCCGGCTTTCACTTCTTCTCACGCCTCGATAACGACCCCACAACACACTTATACCCCGACAAGATGCATCTGCCGACCATTCTGGCTGCGGTCCTCCTGCCGCTCGTGGCCGTCGCCGATGACCTGACGACGACTACTTCAACAAGCACCTTGACTCTCACCAGGACCCTCACGCTGCAGCGCGCACAAATGACGGTTGTCGTCAGCAACAACAGCACCACGACCGCCTTCACGTCACCCACTCCCACGACCTCAGATGGACCGGCCGCTACCACCACGGAGCCGAACGCCGGGTTAGCGCTTAGGGCAGGCCAGATGGCCGTCCTCGGCGTGGCTGGTGCTGTCGCTGCCGTCCTTCTCTAAGCTCAGCGGCGCAACTCGGTGGAAGTTGGAAGTTTGGATCTTGGGACAGGGTCTCCTCATCACTTTTGATGGGGACACCAGTCCACGACAGCCCGGCTCACTGCTGGCTCGAATTCTTCGATGCGAGCATCGCACCAATTTTTTCTTTTGTTGGAGTGAGGCATCCTTGACACAACCGGATGGGTTGGCTCTTTCGCCGGGTCACAACGGCGTCAAGAGTCCTTTGACCCCCGACTAATCTCGGCCTCTACTCTCTCTACCTTACTTATTCTTCGTTCTTCCGGCAAACCATCGGCACACGCAACCTGACCACATCGCCCGAGATCTCTCCCGTTTGCCGCTTGCGGCTCACCGTCAACCTTGATACCCTTTTCTCGCCTTCTCTTCCGCCCGCGTCACCCGCGCGGGCTCGTTCGACACTACGTTCAGGGGGTTGATCTCGGGCGAGACGCGATGGTTTGCCCGGCTGGACTTTACTTTTTTTCTGGGGGCTGATCTGGGACGGATCTTGACTTTTGCATATGAGAGGAGGAACAACGGCGGGGATGGCAGGGTCACAATCTGGTTTCATTTCACGGCGTGTTTTTCACGAAAAGGCTTTTTCTACGAGGGAATGATGGACGCGGCGCAAGGAAGATGCCCTTTTACTTCTCTTCACAACTTTTAACTTTTACCCTATATATTCAACTTTGGTCGATACCCTTTTCCACTTGCCGGTCCCTGTTTCGTAGTTGACCACATTCCATTCTCCTCCATAGGTTCCATGCTCCGCGTTCTGCATGAGCTGTGTTGACTGCCCTCGCCAACACCCGGGCAATTCTGTTGGCGGTAACTAACTCTGCGCCACACCACAAACATTCTCTGTAAGCGCCGACCACGGCACACTCATATCACCAACACCAAACAAACATACCATTCATCCCAGGTCCCCGCCCAACAGACCACCGCTCCCCGAATAGAATTTCCAACACGACAACCACTCCCGCGAAGGCCACACGCACTAACCCAACCATTCACCACCCAAGACATTCACTCCTCCTTTGTGTCCAGAGAGTTCACTTACACTCCAAGTGTGTAGAACAGCAGGGGCCAGGGAGCAGACAACCTTCGCAAAGCAAGCGCTGGCCCAAGCGCCGACCCCATGTGGTCCTTGCAAGCCTTGGCGCGGGTGCTCATTTCCGGCCGTGTGGAGCAAGGCGATCGCCATTTTCGGATCGGACCGATCGCGACTTACACAAGGAACACAAGGGGGCACAAGGGCCTTGCCTGCGGTACGGCTTGAGCTGAAAAGTTTAAAAACTACTCGTCGGGCCTTCAAAAACGGCGCCTCCCAACCCCCGCCAGGGGGTTAGTCGGGGCGGTTAATCTGGGTCAGGACAGTTGTGACGAACCTGTCTCTGGACCCGTCCTGTTAGGGTTCAGTATCGGTCGAAGGTATTCTCTCAAGGGTGCTTAGGTTCGGTGCAGCCAAAGGGTGCACAACAAAGACTTGTCTCAACAGTAGGCTCTCGAGCTTGTAGCGAACTGTAGTTGTGATTGCTAACTGGAGAACTCCCAGAGCTCTCCAGAACGAGTGACTATATACTGTCTAATTTCTGGGTGCTTAGTCTGCTCAGTTGCTGAGCACACTGAGCACACTGCTCACCCTGCTCAGTTGCTGAGCACACTGAGCACACTGCTCACCCTGCTCAGTCGCTGAGCGCACTGAGCACACTGCTCATTGGTTATGTTAATGATTGGTCCGGGGCGCCCCGCGCCCCACTCCTGTGCTTCCAGCTCAGTGGTCGTGACACGATGCCCCCTCTCCGTGGCTGACGTCTCGGCGGCCTAACCTGCTACTTTTCTTTTTTTTTCGGCAACGCTGGTCCATTCTTCCCTTAGTGAGTATTCTCCTCGTCCCTCGTCGCCCACCATGTCTAACCGAGTGGTTAAGAGTTCGAAACGTGATTCCTCCAGTACTCAACGCCGCAAGGACCTTGCTCGCGACATCTCGTTCTTTGGCATCGACATGCTTCCTTGTTCTTATTGTGAGGCCAACGATCTTAAAGACTGCCGAGCCCTGGATCGTTCCGTCAAGTGCAACAATTGCCTTGAGCTTGGTCGTCCCGATTGCGACGTCCATGGTCTCACGCGCACCTTATCCGCCTCCTTTCGCCGCCAGAAAGAGAAACTGGACAAGGAGGAAGAAGAGGCGAACGCCGTGATTCTCCAGGCCGCTTCTAAGTTAGCGCGCCTTCGGACTCAGCGTCTTGCTCTGTCGGAGCGCTTCCACAAGGCGGCCGTCCGCGAGGAGCGCATCATCGAGGACCAGGAGCGGGAAGAGGCATTGGCCACTCTTGCCCCGCAGTCTGCCGATCCGTCTGGGGCCCAAGAGTCTGTCGTCCTTTCCTTGATATCGTTCCCCGACTGATTGTCCTCTAGGCCTTCCTTCGACGATTGGCTCGCCGGGGTCGATCCTTCTTTGGTGTTTCCTGTGGCCGGTCAGGGTTCCTCTGGTGGAACTCCTGAAGTTTCTCGGGGCAGTTGAGATTTGTAGCTGGTTGCCATGAATTGTCTTCTGGGCCGAAGTCCAGCCACTTGACCAAATACTCCAACTGTCCTTTCATGATGCGTGAATCTAGGACTTCCTCAACGTCCCATTCCTCCTCTTCGTCTTCTGCCTCGGCGTCCTTGTCGAGTCGCGCGTCCTTGGGTGCTGGTTCCAGAAGCGAAATGTGGAAAACGTTGGTCCGTAGTCGCATTGTTGAGGGTAACGCGAGTGCGTAATTGTTCTCCGAAATCCTTTTGTCGATTTTGAACGGTCCGATTTTGCGAAAATCGAGTTTCCTGCTTGGTCGCTTCGTGCGAAGATTTCGAGAAACGAGGTAAACTTTGCCCCCCTCTTCTAGGCGAGGTCCCTCGAGCCTGTTTCTGTCGTAGAACCTCTTCATCCTGGTTCGTACGAACTCGAGTTCTTCCTTGAGCATCGCATGCAGCGAGCTCATTTTGTCGGCTTTGACTGCCGCTCGGGGCACCGAGACATCGGGCCCCTGTCGCAAATCTGCTTCGTAGCCGTAATTCGCGAAGAATGGCGTGACCTTCGTGGTCTCCGTGACGGTGGTGTTGTAGGCGAGTTGTGCTGCTGGCAACAGCTCGACCCAATCGTCCTGCTGGAAGTTGACGTACAACCGTAGATATTGCTCGACGACCTGGTTGAGTCGTTCCGTCTGTCCGTCCGTCTGTGGGTGGTAAGCAGTCGAGAGCTTACTCTTCGTACCCAGCTTCGTCATCAGAGCTTGCCAAAACTTTGATGCGAACTTTGTATCTCTGTCCGTAATCCATTCCTCCGGCCATCCGTGGACCGAGGTGACGCTGCGATAGATCACGTCTGCAAGTTGTTCTGCTGACCATGTTTCCTTGTAAGGGAGGAAGTAGCTCCACTTGGTGAGTCTGTCCACCATCGTGAGGATGCTGTCGTATTCCACTCCCGTTACTGAGTCCTTGGATAGTGGCAGTTTGGTGATGAAGTCCATCGTCACCGAACTCCATGGTCGTTCCGCGACTGGCAATGGTTGCAACAGCCCGTATGGCTTGTGTCGTGGCGGTTTGCTTCGTCCGCAGAGGTCGCACTCTGCCAGGACTTCTTCCGTCGCTTGCTTGATTCCTGGGAAGTCGTAGTTCTGCTTGACTTTTGCAATTGTCTTGCTGATTCCCATGTGTCCTCCGAGTTTCGACTCGTGAATTTTCCGAATGAGCTCCTTTTGGTCGCCGGGCCTGACGTAGGCCTTGTCGTGGTACCAGAGTCTCGTTCCTTCAAGTCGCAATCCCGCGATCTTGGATTCCGGCTCTTCTTGCCATGCATCGCGTGCGTCGTCCGCGATGATTCCTTGGAAGTCTCGTTCCAATCGTTGTTCCCTGAAGGCTGCACAACATTCTACAAACTGTTGCAGAGGCCTGGCATTGGGATCTTCCTGCTGTCGCTGAAGTGCTGCGATCTCGTAGTCTTCAGTCGGTTGGGAAGCGTGCCGTAGCGATCCGTCTGTCTGTTGATGTAGCAATGGTGGTGAGGCTTCAGATGTGTTGTCATGATGATCCGCTCTCCTACTCAAGGCGTCCGCTCGTGCGTTCTCTGACCCTTTCTTGTAGTGGATCGTGAAGTTGAATTCGGACAGGAACTCTGCCCATCGAGTTTGTCGTCCGTTCAGCACCTTCGTGGTGGTGAAGTAGCGTAAGTTCTTGTGGTCCGTGTACACCTGAACTTCGTGTGTCGTGCCGCTGAGGTATGGTCTCCATTCCTGGAAGGCTTCGATGATTGCGAGAAGCTCCTTGTCGTGGATCGGGTAGTTGAGCCTTGGTCCCTCGAGTTTCTTGGAGAAGAACGCAACTGGGTGAAGCTTGCCGTCCTTGTCCCTCTGACCAAGTTGTCCTCCGATCGCGAAGTCCGATGCGTCAGCTTCGACTTCGAAAGGTGTGTTTGGGTCAGGCAGCATGAGCACTGGATCGGCGATAATCGCGTTGCGGATCCGTTGGAAAGCTTGCTCGTGCTCCTGCTTCCACTGGAATGTGGCATCCTTCTTGGTAAGTTCGTGTAGGGGTCTCGCGATGTCGCCGAAGTTCTTGATGAACATCCTGACAAAGTTGGCGAATCCGATGAATCCTCTGACCTCTGTGGCGTTCGTTGGTGTCGGCCACGTCCTGACAGCTTCCAGTTTCTCGGGTTCGATCTTGACCCATCCTGGGGAGATCTCGTAACCCAGGAATACTGTCTTCTTGACATGAAACTCGCTTTTGTCCTTGTTGACTGACAACTTGTGCTCATGCAGTGCATCCAGCACCTGCTGCACATGCTTCTTGTGTTCTTCGAGTGTCTTGGAGTAGATGAGAATGTCATCCAAATAGCAGACTGCAAATTTATCGAGGCAATGTCGAATTGCGTGGTCGATAGCGGCTTGAAATGTCGCTGGTGCGTTGGTCAACCCGAACGGCAT